GCTATAAAAAGGGATAACTGCAGCATGTAGCTTGTAGGTTTGTTATGAGGATTGAAGGAGAGCACTCAGCAGTCTAAGAGAGTGGGCATTATGTTATGTCATAAACACTGGCCGTGCTTGTACTGCCTTCTGGAAGGCAAGATTTTTATTGTGTTGTTTTCAATGTCCATGATAAAATGTGGCTGCTTCTAATTGGTCTCTTCTATTATTTCACAAATACAATACAGTAGAGGCTAGAGTGACAGTACTGCATCTAGGATGCCTTGTTTTACATGTAGTTGACCCGAATTTGATCCCCAACATCCCATATGGTCCCCTGCACCCACCCTGAGTGATTCCTGAGTTCAAAGCCAGGAGTAATCCCTGAGCATCGCCGGGTATGGCCCCCAAACAAAACAAAAATATAACACATTACTCTTTGCATATTAATTGATAGTAGGTCATTTCCAATTTTGCTACTGCAGTATTGCAATAAATATCCATATATGAATGTCCTGGGGCAAGGGGTAAGAGAATCTGAGTGGGGGTTTAGCTGAATCTTGGGTATGTGCCATTCAACTTTATTCATGATGGACAAATCGTTGTCCAACAATGTAGGATAGTTTCTGTTTCTCATTCTCTGGCATGAAAACCCTGAATTTTGGGGCTGGAGCGATAGTACAGTGGGTAAGGCATTTACCTTGCACGTCACCAGTGCAGGTTCGATACCTAGCACCATCTCTGGTACCCCAAACCCGCCAGGAGGGATCCCTGAGCATACAGTCAGGAGTAAAGCCCTGAGCACTGCTGGGTGCTTCTCAAAAACCAAGAAAAAAGAGGCGGGGGGGGGGGGGGGGAAATCCCTGAAATTAGCAAATGTGGTAAGTTTGATATTGCCTTTTATTTCCTAATTTGCATTAAACTAGAAGAATTTCTGCACCTTTCCCTATGTTTACTGGCCATTTGGGTCTTCCTCTTGTTTATGTCACTGTATGCTATATCATGTTTTACTTATTATTTATTTTTTGGTGGGAGGGCACACCAGTGGTTCTCAGGGGTTACTCCTGGCTCTGTACTCAGGAAGTACTCACTGTACTAACTCCTGGCAGGCTGGGGAGACCATATGGGATGCTTAGATCAAACTGGGGTGAACACTGTGTAAGGCAAGTAAGTAAGTGCCTGCCCCACTGTACTATTGCTCCGGCCCCGGTTTTTATTTATTTTATGAACTTGTGTCCCAGCCTGTAGATTGTGGCCACGCAAAGAAAGGTTGATGGACTTGGATTTGGTAATAGAGGCACATTGTGCCACAAACCTGGGTAAAGATGGGAGGAAAAATGAGTTTCAGGAGGAATCGCAAGCATTCACTTTTTGACAAACTTGAGCGTCATTTGAGTCACCCAAGTCTGTGCTGAGAGATACGTCTGGGAGTTGTCAGCTTAGAGAGGGCATGTGAAGAGATAGTAAGGCATATGGTTATCTCCTGGGAGAATATAGAGTCACGTGGACTTACACGTTTAGAGAAAGAGGTTCCATCAAGACCACAGATGGGGGAACCTGTAGAGATAAACTAGATGTTAAACAGAAACGTAGACCGGTGGGAGAGCATAAGCCTTGTTTGTGTGAGGATCCGGGTTTGATCCCCAGCACCCAAAAAGCCCACATATTTTTTTCTTGGATTTAAATAATAGTTATATTTTGGATATTAAATAAATAATATTATGGAAGTTAAGAGAGGAAAGTGATTCTTTGTTCTTTCTCTCCCAATTTCCATATTGATGACTTAGGGTTTCATTGCCCAGATGTATCCTAACTGCTTGGCTAGTTGGAATTTGAATTTATTTCAGAGTGTCTCTATTGTAAACTGCACTCTGATGAATATTCTCGGGGGTTTATCTTATTATCAACATTCTGGTTATTTCCTTTGACTACATAGGGTTAAGAATATGCCTATTGAAGTGTATTTCCTCTGAGTTGTTCTTTGTCTAGAAAGGTTATATTTCCATCAGCATGGGTTCCGCATTTTCTCCCTTCTGGGGGAAAAGGTCTCAGAACCAGATACTGAACACAAACAGTTTTGGGTTTCTTGTTTTCATCTGGTTTTTTTTTTTGTTTGTTTTTTAGGCCACACCTGGCGGTGCTCAGGGCTTATTCCTGGCTTTGCACTCAGGGATCACTCCTGGTGGGGCTCCAGGGACCATATGGGGTGCTGGGAACTGAACCTGGGTAGGCTGCATACAAGGCAAATGCCCTCTCTGCTGTATTTTCACTCTGACTCCTGATCACAAACAGTTTTTTTTTTCTTTTTGGGTTACACCCGGCAATGCACAGGGGTTACTCCTGGCTCTGCACTCAAAAATTACTCCTGGCGGTGCTCAGGGGACCATATGGGATTCTGGGAGTCGAACCCAGGTCAGCCACGTGCAAGGCAAATGCCCTATCCGCTGTCCTATCACTCCAGCCCCCTCACAAACATTTTTTAATGGTTTCAAAGTGAATCAAGATACAGCTATCAATGTTATTTAGCAAATTGTTGTTTTCTTAAAATTTTTGGTTCCATAATGTGTTATCATATGTAGTTCCCTACAACAAAAATTTTTTATTACGAAAATTTGGGGCTTGTGTTTTGCGGTCACACCTGGAGGTGCCCAGGGATCCAGAGCTCAAGTCTTCTGCATTCTCCTGAGACCTTTGAGCAATCTCCTCAACCCTTTAGCATCAAGGTTTTTGCTATTCTTAGTCTGTGTCTTGGAATAAATTCCTGAAGGGCCAAAGAAATAATACAGTTTGCAAGGCACTTACCTTGCCTATGGCCAACTCGGCTTCATTCCTTGACACCGTTTATACTCTAAGCACCACCAGTGCCAGGAATAAGCACTGAATAACTCTGGGAGTGCACCAAAAACAAAATAAAAGGGTTTTATTTTCCCCTTTGGAAAAGTCTGTTTTCTCTCTTGAACATGAATCTCTCTTTCTCTCTCCTCACATTTCTCTCAGTAAATTTCTTTTGGGGAGGGACCGTGGGGGTGGGCACACTCAAAGATGCCCAGACTTACTTCTGGCTCTATACTTAGGAATTACTCACAGGGACCATATGAGATGCTGGGGATCAAATCCTCGTTGGTCGCATGCAAGGCAAGTCCCTCAGTAAATTTTTTTATATAAAACTATTTTGCTTCATGGGGCTAGAGAGATAGTATGGTGGATCAGGTGTTTGCTTGTAAGCATCTGACCCAAGTTCAATCCCTGACACCCCATATGGTTCCTCAGTCCCCTCCAGAAGTGATCCCTGAGTGCAGAGCCAAGAGTGAGCCCTGAACACAGGTAGGTGTGGCCCAAAAGCAAAAACAAAAAGGGGAAAAAAAAAACACCCTAAAACAACCATTTTGCTTTTAAAAAAGAAAAGATTCCTGAAAATACATTTGATGAGACTAACTGTTGGCCGTTTCCAAGCTGAGGACACACAGTGATAAATCACAGTTACATCTGTGCTTTTCATATCAGCAGGCATGGGAGAGCATGACTAATATTTGGATTAGAAGAACTCTGACCTCTTTAATGACTTCTAACAGGCCGAAAGTATTCAGCATGACTCTATAGGCAATAAGTTCAGAGCAATACTTAGCTGAGGATGTGGTTCAGTGGCAAGAACCCTTGTTCCTGAGCATCACAGGGTGTGCCCCCAAATCAAAACGAACAAAACAATATAGCTTCTCATAATTCACTGGGCAGAGGTCCACGATGGTGTGTGTATGTGTGTATGGGGGACCATAATGCTCAGGAGGCAAAGGGACCAGGCCCACCAGGGATCTGTTGGTGGCCACCAGCACCACTCCTGGCGGTGCCCTGGGATCCATACAGTGCAGGGGCTGGAGCGCACATCTCATCAGCAAGGCATTAGCACTAACCCTTTGAGCTCTCCTCCTTTCTTTAAGGCCTAAGATCTGAAAGGGTTCTATTTCAGCCCTAGTATAGCACTGTAGCACTGTTGTCCCACTGTTCATCGATTTGCTCGAGCAGGTACCATTAATGTCTCCATTGTGAGACTTGTTACTGTTTTTGGCATATGGAATACTTCACGGGGAGCCTGCCAGGCTCTGCCGAGCGGGCGGGATACTTTAGGTAGATTGCTGGGCTCTCCCAGAGGGGACAGAGGAATTGAACCCGGGTCAGCTGCGTGCAAGGCAAACGTCCTACCCACTGTGCTATCGCTCCAGCCCATATATCCAGCTGTAGTATCTGATCTGTAATTTCAGAGAATTGGGGTTCAATAGCATTGTGTTGGCCAACTGATATCAGGGACTCCTCCAGAGAACACAGAGGTAGCATTTTGGTTTGATGCATTTGGAGGGAGGACCAGGTGGTCGGGGAGGCATTATATCTGACTAAAAATAGATTCGCTTCTGAAAATCGGTTATATACAGGCTTTAAAATTAATTAATTTTTGCTTATTGGTCACTCCCATCCAGAGACACTTAGGGGCTATTGCTACCTCGGTGCTCAGGGGTCACTCCTGGCGGTGCTGGGGGAGGATCATGTGCTGTGCCCAGGATCAGCCCGGGGTCAGCTGCACGCAAGGCTATCAATCACCTTACCTCCTTGTACTATCTCTCCGGTCCCTAGGAAAGCCAAAAGGAGTGGAAAGGCAGTCACTTTTATCCACAGAAAGTAAACAACACCTGGATTAGAATCTCTGGATTGGAGACCTAATTCTTGGCACCCAAGTCTATCTAGGCGTGAAGTCTGAGGGACAGCCAGAAACGAATTTAGAGGGTGAGGGGTTCTTCCGGCTTGGCAGGTTCCCAGCCCCGCCCCGTCGCCTAGGCCCGCCCCCATAGAAAAACCACGCCCCAAATCCAAAACCCCGCCTACACCTCCCACCACGCGGGCCACCGCCCCCAAGCCCACCAATCCCCTCCTTCCAAAAGGGAGAAGAGGCGGGGCGTGAGGCAGTTCCCGCCCCCTGACTGCGCCGCGCCAGCGGCCCTGAGGGCTTTTCTTCCGCCTCTTAGGAACGACTTCCGGATCCGGTGGCTGTCGGTGCTGGGTCCGGTTCGCGGCGCTGAGGGGCCCGAGGGCGGCCGCGGATGCCGCCCGCGATGCTCGGGGGCGACTCTGGGCGCTCGGAGCGCGAGGCGGAGGGCGGCGGGGCGGCGGGGCTGCCGGCGCCTCCTGCCATCGACTTCCCGGCCGAGGGCTCGGACCCGCAGTACGACGGTGAGAGACCCCTCGCGCCCCCCTGGGTGCGGGGTGGGGAGGGGCGGGCGGGCGCTGGCCTCGGGTCGGGGGTGCGGCTCCTCTTCTGCTCCTGCCGGGCATCGCGCCCTGCAGACTAGCCTCGCGGGTGACACGCAGACGCCCGAGGTTGGCGGCTGCTGCTGCTGCTGCTGCTGCTGCTGCTGCTGTTGCTGCGGCTGCGGCTGCTGCTGCGGCGACGGTGCGTCCGCCGAGCTCTTCAGCCTAGGACTGGAGCCGCGTCCAGCTGGGGGGGTGTCGGTCCGGTCGGCCGGACCGCCCGGCTTTGACCCTCTGTAGCCCATCTGGTCTCCCGAGCACCTCCAGGCGCGATGCCTGAGGGCCGAACCCCGAAACCCCTGAGAATCGCCAGGTGTGGCCCCCAGACCAACCGAACAGACCACAAACCACATGTGCAAGAAATGGCCTTGAGCACCAAGTAAGGGGCGCTGGAAACCTGGGCTCCAAACAGAAGTCGTTAGCATCTAAATGGGACTGCCATAGGTTTTTGTGTTTTGTTTTGCTTTGTTGTTTGATTTTGCTTTTCTGTTTTTTTTTTTTTGGGGGGGGGGCGTCAAACCGGGCAGTGCACAGGGTTTACTCCTGGCTCTGCACTCAGGAATTACTCCTGGCTGGGAATCGAACTCGGGTTGACTGTGGAAGGCAAACGCCCTACCTGCTATTGCTCCAGCCCCTTGCTTTGTTGTTTGTTTTGGGGCCACACTCAGCTCTGCTCAGGGATAACTCCTGGTGGGCTGCAGGTTTTTAGTAGTTGAAATAGGATAATTGCACAGAGAACACATTAAGGTGCAACAGGAAACAGATTTTAACATGCAGCTGTGGGTTTAAAGGTGCAGACAGAACAGAAAAGACTTGAACTTTGTGTTTCTGGATTTGCATCCCTAACACTACCTCTCACCTGGGCCCGTTGCATAGGAGGCCTACACTCAGCGTTGTTCTTTCTCTCGGCCCCCTAGAGTTCTTCAACTGTGGAAAGAGATGAGGGGCAAGGAAGATGGTATAGTTGCTAAGGTACTTGCCTTGCTTGCAGCTGACTCAGGTCCAATCCCTAGCACCCCATGTGGTCCCCCCAACCCTCTCCATGAGTGATCCCTGAACACAGAGTCAGGAGTAAACCTTGGGCCCAGCCAGGTGTGGGCCAAAAAACAGGAAAGAAGCGAGAAGCAGATGGGGTGTCAGGTGGGCCAGTTGTAATGATTTCTCAGTGGACAGATGGGTCCTTCCCTTTAGGTGTGTATTACAGACCCAGTGTCATGTGTTATGCTGTCAGGGAAGCCGCGGTTGTAAACACAAGCCAGTCTTTCCTGTGGCTGCGTGATAAGGTTCTCTGCAAGCTGGAGATTATTTTCTAAGGAAGTGATTATAGATAAGTTTTTATTATGATTTTTTTTTCTCCTCTGGGAAGGGCATCAACCCAGGGCTGTGCACACGCACCTGCTCTACAGTTGGGCTCTGCCCCAGCCTGTTTCAAAACTTTTCCTGTAGCTGCAGAGAGCACTGTTGTGTGTCCACTCTTCCTCCTGAGTTCGGAGTGTCCACTCTTTTCCTCCAGATCCCTGAGGTTCCAGACTCGATTTATCTTTTTACGGGGATTGTAAGGGCTGTGAAGAAGCTTCTTTTTTCAGTAGATGTGAAGATTTTTTTTTGGCGGGGGAGGGGGTTCACACCTGGCAGTGTTCAAGGGTTACTCTTGGTCTGAACTCAGGAATTACTCCTGGAGGTGCTCAGGGGACCATACAGGATGCTGGTGACCAAACCCTGGTTGGCCGCATGCAAGGCAAGTACCCTCCCCACAGTACTATCACTCTCGCCTCTGTAAAGACAGTTTTGTTTATTTCTGCTACATTAAATATTTTTTTATTTGTAAAGACAATTCTGTTTCCCATTCTTTTTCTGATTGTAGCAGTATTAGATTGTGATCATAATAGAATAAACAGTGTAAAAGCAGATTTCTTTCTTTTTTTTTTTGAGAGGGGTGTATGATTCAGTGCTCATTTGCCTGGCATGCTGGTGGCCCTTCTGTCCCCTGGTACTGTGTGGCCGTCTCGATATTGCCAGGTACAGCCTGGGGAGCCCTGAGCATTAATGACACCGACCTCTCCCCTCACACAAATAAACGGTTCAGTGATTTCCTTTTTCTGGGGGGGGGGGTTGGGCTACACCTGGCTGTGCTCTGGGGCTACCCCTTACCCACCCACTGTACTCTCTCTGCAGCTCAGTAATCTAGGTTTTATCTGTACCATTGCTTCGGCCCCCTACAGCACTGCAATTTCAAAGAAATTGTGCACTTGCCGTGCACACAGCCACCCTGTGTTCAGTCCGCGGAATCCCATCTGGTTCTCCGAGCACTGTCAGTCAGGAGTGCAGAACCTCTGAACATTGCTGGGTGTGGTCCATAAAACTAAAAAAAAAAAAAAATCTAGTATTGTAGTTATTTAAAATACCTCTCATTAGTTATGTGATGTTAACCCTATTTGAATTATAATTGGGCTTAATTTTCTTATTAGCTTATTAAATGCTGTATATAACTTTTATTACCTTTACCTTTTCTTGTTGTGTGGGGTGCACACACGTGTATTTGAGTCTAGTTCAGTCTTGTCACTTCAGGGCATCTTATTCTCTAAGCAGTGTCTACATGGCCACGTTTCCTAGTCTCTCTTTCCTGCACTCAGAATTTGCTTTGACTTCCAGCCACCTGTAGGCCAGTGAGCAAATTGCAGTGGCCTGGGTTTGAAACCTCCGCTCTCCTGGACCTGCTGCACTGCATAGAGGACGTGGAATGCTGGGGGTGACTTGATCTGTTGCCGCTGTTCCCGTGAGAGCATTTCTGGAGGAGTGGACAGACAGCCAAGAAGAGCTGGAAACAGCTTGTCATGCTCCATTTTTTTTGGGGGGGGGTGTGGTGGGCACATTTGGCAGTGTGCAGGGCTTGCTCCTAGCTCTGCACTCAGGGATCATCCTGGCAGGCTTGGGGGGCCATGTGGGTTGTCTGGGTTGAACCTGGTTGGCGACATGTAGTGCCAACACCCTCCCCACTGGAGTCACAGCACAGAATGTGGGCATCTCCCTCCGCCCACCCTTCTACCTCAGCCGCCCTTTGCTCATGGGCTTGACCCCTGGTATTTTGTCCTTTCTCGATCCCTTTGCCTCCATCCTTCCAGTCTCAGTGTTCTACACCCCGGCATCTCTGCTAGTTCACCCGCATCCAGGTTGCTCCTCGATTCACTCTACAAAGGCTCTCGTGATGGACCCCATTCTGTGGCTGTTCTGTTTCATTTTATTGCGCCTTCCCAGTGGTGTGTAGGTGCCCTGGGCGCCCCGGGATTCTCAGCAGTTTCATGAAAGGGCCCAAGGAGGTGATGCTGCTTAGACCCTGTGGGACCGGGGGCGGGGCAGGGGGAAGGTGCCCCAGGTCTCCAGGGCCACATTTGGCCATGCTGGGACCTGCTCGGGAACCATGTCCTGCGGGAATTGAACCTGGTCAGGTGCTTGCTGGACTTGTATGCTTACTGCCGTGGTTTCTCCTGCCTTCTGTTTTGCTTTTCCCCTAAATGTAAATGGTGTTTTGTTGTTGTTGTTGTTGATGTTATTGTTTTTGCTTTTTAGGCCACACCCAGGGATGCTCAGGGGTTACTCCTGGCGCTGCACTCAAGAATTACTCCTGGTGGTGCTTGGGGGACCATATGGGATGCTGGGAATCGATCCCAGATTGGCTGTGTACAAGGCAAATGCCCTCCCTGCTGTACTATCGCTCCGGCCCCTGTAAATGGTGATTTATAAATTAAATTCCCACTGTTTCCCAACTGTGGATGGCACTGCCCACCCACATGGGAGCCTGCTGGATGGTGGGGAGGGCAGCAGGAGCCCCGGGTACAGTGGGGAGCACGTTCTTTTTCTTCGTTTAAGGGAGGTCGATTTCTGGGCTGGAGCGATAGCACAGTGGGTAGGGCATTTGCCTTGCACGAGGCCAACCCCGGGTTTGATTCCCAGCATCCCATATGGTCCCCTGAGCACTGCTAGGAATAATTCCTGAGTGCAGAGCCAGGAGTAACCCCTGTGTGTTGCTGGGTATGACCCAAAAAGCCAAAAAAAACAAAAGGAAGGTCAATTTCCAGGGCAATCCCGAGTGGTTTCTCCCAGAAAGAGGCAGCAGGCCCAGAAGCCTGTGTCCCTCAGGCCTGGAAGATGCCTTTCCTTCACTGTCATTAACTTGTCCTTTTTGTCCCTTGCAGAGTCTGATGTTCCTGCGGAACTGCAGGTCCTGAAGGGGCCCCTCCAGCAGCCGACGTTCCCCTTTGCTGTCGCAAACCAGCTCTTGCTGGTGTCTTTGCTGGAGCACCTGAGCCATGTGCATGAGCCCAGCCCACTGCGCTCCAAACAGGTGTTTAAATGTTAGTATGACAGCACAGAACTGCCAGGCTGGGCGGACCTGGGGGGCGGGGCTGGTTCGATGGACGGTGGGTAAGGCATTTGCCTTGCGTGCAGCTGACCCGGGTTTAATCCCTGGCATCCCAAATGGTCCCCTGAGCTCAACAGGAGGGATCCCTGAGCACAGAGCCAGGAGTCAGCTCTGAGCACTGCCAGGTGTGGCTCCAAAACAAACAAACAAAAAAAAAATGAACTGGGGTTGTGCCCTTTCACTCACTCACCTGAGGGTGGGAGAAGCAGTGTTAGGTAGACAGAGAAGCATATATCCGTAGTTTATGCCTTATAGTAATGTCAGTAATATAGAAAGTGTATCTTAAAATTTCCCCTGGGTCATGATTCAGGAAAATGTTCCACCCTGGGACCTCAAAGACTCATGACCGTGAAGTTCTGTGTTGTGGTGGTTCTGTCCAGGCTCTCAGTCAGACATGCTGTGGTGCATGTGGGTCCGGGTTCCGGAAATGTCGCAACTGCTTGTCCTGGGCCTGAGCTGGTCTTTGGTGGGGTGGAGTCGGAAGCGTGTGGTAAGACTTGCTCCCGAGTCTTATCATGTGGCTCATTTTTGACACGTCTCCTGGCCGAGGGCTCCGTCCCCTGCGACTCCCTTGTTTCAGAGCTGGCTGCCAGGCCCCCTAGGGTCCCCCCACTTCTGCCTGATGTGGCTGTGAATCGTTTCTGCCCAGGCTGGAAAGTTTGCTCAGCCAGGCCACGGGCCTAGGGCCAGACTCGCGCTGGTTGGCGTGTGGGAGAGGCAAGGCTGGAGACGTAAATAGCCAAATGAGGGGACCCTGGGGATATCTAGAAGGGGAGTGCAGGGGCTTCGGGCCCAAGCCGTGGGGGCACCCACCCTGAGTCCTGTGTGGTAGGGATTTGGGGGGCCACAGCGGTGCTCGGGGGCTGCTCCTGGTGGTGCTTATAGGTACCATGCAGTGCTGGGGATTGGACTGGGGTCCCCACATGCGAAGCCTGGGCCTCTGACCCCGTGCTAGCTCCTCAGTCCCTAAATAAAAGTTTCTGATGTGATTCTGTTGGTTGATAATCAAATCAGGAAGTTTCCAGCAGAGAGACTCTACTCTTCTGTGTCCTTTGAATGAGTGAAAGCAAGTACCTTCTTGAAACTTCTTTTTTCCCAGGGTCCTGGGTGGTGGTGGCAGGTGGCCTTACCTGGGGGTGTCTGTGCTGGCGTCTCCCACCAGCTCCTGTTGTACTGAAATGCCACGTACAACACACGGATTCCCTCAGGGTTCAGTTCTGGGACTGCTTTATTCTCATTGCCGTCAGCCAAGCGTGATGGACGTTTGGACATAGGGAATCAGGAGACAACTGTGGGCACAATTAATTAATTAATTATTGCCACACCCAGCGGTGCCCAGGGCTTACACGTGGCTCTGCATTCAAGAATCGCTCCTGGCGTGCTTGGGGCCCATATGGCACCGTATGGGACGTCGGGGATTGAACCCGGTCGGCCGCATGCAAGGCAAGCAAGCGCCCTATCCGCTGTACCATCACTCTGGAATTTTTCTTTCTTTTTTATTTTTAATTCATTAATTTTATGAATTAAATTATCACTGGAGCGATAGCATAGCAGTAGGGCGTTTGCCTTGCGCACGGCCAACTTGGCCGACCTGAGTTCGATTCCTCCGCCCCCTCGGAGAACCCAACAAGCTACCAAGAGTGTCTCGCCCGCACGGCAAAGCCTGGCAAGCTCCTCATGACGTATTCAGTATGCCAAACACAGTAACAACAAGTCTCACAACAGAGACGTTACTGGGTCCGCTCGAGCAAATCGATGAACAATGGAAGGACAGTGCAGTGCAGTGCAATTTTATTTATTTGTGTTTAGGACACCCCAACAATGCTCAGGGATTATTCCTGGCTTTTTGCTCAGGGATCACTCTTGGCAGTGCTTGGGACCCCTGTGGGATGCCAGCGATCGAACATGCAAGGCAAGTTCTCTCCCCACTGCACTCTCTGGCCCTCGCCTTTTTCAAAACAGAGCTTAGTGTTTTTCTCAGCATGCTGGGAGACTCGGACCTGCCGTGCCTGCTCTGGGTCAAGAGCTGAGCTCAAAGAGCACTGGGCACTTGTCCTCTGTGTTGACTCTGTCCTGCCCCGGAACGTGTGCTTGGGCGTGGCTTTTGCTGGAGACACCCTGCCCAGAGCTAGCATTCCCCTCTGAGCTCAGGCTGGGCTAACGGATGTGTTTCCCTTCTCCCTAGTGCTGTGTCAGACCTTCATCAAGATGGGGCTGCTGTCACCTTTCACCTGCAGTGACGAGTTCAGTTCCCTGAGGCTGCACCATAACCAGGCCATCACACACTTGATGCACTCGGCGAGGGAGCGTGTGCGCCAGGTCAGCGCGGGGAAACTGACGGGGACGGCACCTGTTTCACCCTGGTACCACTGAGGGTCCCCTGATCATTGTCGGGAGTGATCCCTGAGTACCACTGGGGTGTGGTCCCTCACCCCAAACGTGATTTTGTGTGTGACCGAAACAATTTTTTTTTTATTTTTGGGTCACACCCGGCAATGCACAGGGGTTACTCCTGGCCCTGCACTCAGGAATTACCCCTGGAGGTTCTCAGGGGACCATATGGGACACTGGGAATCAAACCTGGGTTGGCCGCGTTCAAGGCAGGTGCCCTACCTGCTGTGCTATTGCTCCAGCCCCCGAAGTAATTTTAATCTCAAGAGGATTGTACTTTAAGGCATGGAATTCTCTGTTTTGTGAGCTCTTATTTATTCATCAAATATTGTGGACTCACGAGTTAGGGATCTCATGGAGGTTCTGGGGCTCAGCTTCTGGTGACAGCCAGGAGTTCTACAGAGAGCCCAGGGGACCCAGAGAGGGTGTGAGTTTTTGGGGCGATGGAGGGTGTTGCTGAAGAGTGCCCCCAGCAGGGGCTGCAGCGGTGGAGGCATTGTGGGGGTGCCCAGGGAATGGTCCATCTGTGGACATGGCGGCAGCCCCTGGTGTGGGAGAGTAGAGATGTGCAGTGTAGGCACAAAGTAGGATCTCGAGACCCTCTTTTTTTTTCTTTCATTTAGGAGTACTGTTATTTATTTAGCCACTGATTAGGCTGATTGAATTGGGCATGAACTCCATCTTACTTTTTTTTTTTCATTTTTTAATAATTTTATTTATTGAATCACCGTGAGAGCAGTTACAAAGCTTTCGGGTTTAAGTCTCGGTCATACAATGAAACACCCGTACCTTCACCAGTGAAGGTCCAGTGGCCTCCGGAGGATGGTGGCCACTGGGCCGCCAGGGGGAACAGGCCAAGGCATGAACTCTATTTCCACCTGGGATTGCCCAGAGCTGGTAACCCAGAGCCGCGGGGTACGGACGCATTTCTGCCAAAAGCCGCTGGGTTCCGAGATTTGTTTCTGAGTCTCTGGGATCATGGCTATTAAGTGGCTTGATCAGGAGCCAGAGAGGCCATTCATGGGCAGTGACTCGAGGTCTTGTTGGGATGGGGAGGAAAGTGCCGATTCCACCCCCTGTGTGTCTCGTCACTGGGGGCCCAAACCTGACTGTCCAATGGCCTCTGGAGGAAGAGACCCTCTTTTTTTTTCGTTCTGTTTTGTTTTGCTTTTTGGGCCACACTGACGATGCTGGGGTTACTCCTGTCTCTGTGCTCGGGAATTACTCCTGCTGGTGCTAGGGGTACCACACGGGATGCCAAGGCTCCAGCTTGGGTCAGCTGCGTGCAGGGCAAGTGCCGTCCCTGCTATACTGTGGCTCTGGCCCCAAGTTTTAAGGTTCTTTTCCTAGGAGTAATGTGGGCAGCATCACAGGCTTTTGAGCAGAGGAACCCCAGAATCTGAGTGACGTTTTCACCCTAGATGCTTCACTGATAGTAGGCTGAGGGGGCCACGGACAGGGACGGGGGGTCAGCTATAGGCACAAGAGCTCAGAGCGGGGAGCAGAAGCAACAAGAAAAGGTGAATTTCTATAGATATTTGATGGTGAAGGCAAAGTATATTCTTGGCTTATTAAGTTTTGTCAGTGAATAGCAAGAAGGCAGCTTTGTTTATTTTGGAGGACCACATTCAGGTTATTCCTGGCTCTGTGCTCAGAAACTTCTGGTGGGACTCCAGGCACCATATGGTACGCTGGGATTCGAATCTGGTCAGCTGAGTGCAAGGCAAGAGCCCTCCCTACCTGCTGTACCATTGCTCTGACCCCTGAGGCAGCCGTTTTCGCTAGTGAGCTCTTGATTAAGGGAGAAATACTGTCACTGTCACTGTCACTGTCCTCCTGTTGTTCATCGATTTGCTCGAGTGGGCCCAGTGACGTCTCCATTGTGAGACTTGTTGTTACTGTGTTTGGCATATTGAATACGTCACGGGGAGCTTGCCAGGCTTTGCCGTGCGGGTGAGATATTCTTGGTAGCTTGCCAGGCTCTCCGAGAGGGGCGAAGGAATCGAACTTGGGTTTGCCATGTTGGCCACTTGCAAGACAGACGCCCTACCCACTGGGCTATCGCTCCAGCCCAAGGGAGAAATAATTTATTTGAATTCTTTATAATTTCTTTTTTTTATTTTTGGCTTTTGGGGTGCAACCAGTGATGCTCAGGGGTTATTCCTAGTAGGACTTGGGGGAACCATATAGAGTGCCGGGGGTCAAACCTGGGGTTTGATCACAAGCAGGGCAAATTCCCTACTATCTTCCAGCTCATTTTCTTATTTTTTTTTTAAATTTAGGACTATTAATGTGATACTAAATTTTTATAAGATTGCTAATTGCATAGAAATTTTTAAATGCTTTTTAAAATGTTTCTCATTCTAGGATCCTTGTGAGGATAATTATATCCAGAAAACCAGGTATGTATGTATTTAATACATACTCTTGTTTGGTTTTGTTTTGGGGCTACCCCTGGTGGTGTTCAGGGCTTAACTCTGGCTCTGTGCTCAGGGCTCACTCCTGGTGGGCGTGGGTGGGGGGATCAGCTGGGGTACCAGGGATTGAACCTGGGTCAGTTGTGTGCAAGGCAAACACCCTCCCTGCTGTAGCTGTACTATTGCTCTGGCCTCTTAAATACTTTTCTGATTTTATAAAGAGTAAAATTCTCCAAAAGATTAAAGGTTGGGCTGTGACTCAAAGGTCTGGGCTCTTGCTTTGCGAGTAGAAGGTTTGATCTCTGGCGTTGCATGGTCCTCTGAGCACTGCTGGGAGCACCTCTGGAGCACGGAGGCAGGAGAGGCCCCTGAGCACCTTCAGGTGTTGTCCAGTTACCCCACCCTCCCTTCCAAAAACAATAGCAGGATTAAAAAGTTAGTTATTAATCAGTTAAAAACAAACAACAATAACTAAGTAAATGTAGCCTGGGCCTGGGGAGGAAGTTCCAAGTGCGGGATGCTGCTCCATGTGCCGGAAGCCGGGGTTTGCTTTTCTGTACTACATGGGCTGCTGAACATTGCCAGGGATGGCTCAAAACCTAGACAAACAAAAACACCAAAAAACCATGTAGTGTGAATTTTTTCTTCTTGGTTTTGGGGCATGCCCAGTGGTGCTTAGAGTACAATGTGGATCCTGGGCTTGAACCAGGGCTCCCGTATTTATTTTTTTATTTATTTTTTTGCTTTTTGGGTCACACCTGGCGATGCACAGGGGTTACTCCTGGCTCTTCACTCAGGAATTACTCCTAGCGGTGCTCGGGGGGACCATATGGGATGCTGGGAATCGAACCCGGGTCGGCCACGTGCAAGGCAAATGCCTTACCTGCTGTGCTATCACTCCAGCCCGTGGGGCTCCCGCATTTAAAGCCTGTGCTCCAGCCCTCTCCAGGCTAAGTTTTCAACGTTGAAAGCGTCGGGTTGGGATGTGCTCAGTGGCAGAGAGTGAAGGGTTGTGTGTTAAGCCCCCCCCCCAAACAAAGGTAACTGAAAATGAAAAATTAGGTTCTCAGACGTTAATCATTACCTAAAGGCTTGCTTTACTTTCATTTCCGTTCTCCTTAATCCCTCGCCCTCCTCCTTCATTCTTGGTGGCTTCTGTAAACTGTGCCCTTAATTCTGAGTACTGATGCTCAGTCACTCAGGAGCATGCGGCTGAAGTTTGACTGTGTTTAGAACTTGCTAGTTTAAAATCTCATCTGCATCATGATGGAGTCTTAGTAAAGTTAACGCTGGGCTCAGCTTCTGTTAGTTCCCTTGAAGATTTTGAGGCTTGCTGCTTTAAAACTCTGGTCATTGCTTCTAAGTGAAACACCAAGTGCTGGTAAATTAGTTAAGATTAGCTCTTGACCCCTGCCTTCATCTTCATTCCATCCCGAGTGTACTCACAGTGAAGATTTCCACTAGCAAACTAGGGAGTTCATTTCCGGTCATTCTTCTTTTAATTAACACAGTCAGCGTGCAAGGCCAGGCTGCTAGTGACGCGGTCATCCCCGCCCCGTGTAATTTGTGTGTGTGTCCCAAGTCCCTCCCTAGGGTGCTTGAGGTGTGGATACTGTGCACTCAGGTCCGGTTGGAGTCGAGTGTGTTAGTGGCACGTGGGAAGGGATTGACAGTATCAGCAGTGGAGGAGAGGAACATTAACCCTGGACGGATATTCAGATGATTGTGGTTTCCAGCTCCAGACTGTTGCACTGGGGAAACTCTTTTTCCCACCTTGAGTAGCATGTGACCTGAGGAAGCTGACACGAGGGAGAGGGTTGTCCCCTCCTCGTGGCAGCGAGCTTGAACCATCTTAGGGCATTTTGATCGCTTGTGTCTCGTTTTCAGATCCAGGGAAGTTGCGCTGGAAGCCCAGACCTCACGGTACTTGAATGAGTTTGAAGAAGTTGCCATCCTAGGGAAAGGCGGCTATGGACGTGTGTACAAGGTGGGTGCCCTTGTGCACCTTTTGGTGTGCTGCTGCTCTTCAGACAGACCTTTGGAGGAGTTTTGTTGCTAGGCTCATGGGAAATTTGTTGGAAGTCCTGTCGCCTGACTTTTATCCCAGTTTGTCGCTTCCAGGAAGGTGGCAGATCAAGAGGGTTTGGTTTGGGGACCTCAGCCGAGAGTGTCTCAGTGCCCTTCTGCGTGCATATCGAGATTGCTCTCCCTGGCTCCTTAAGTTTTTCTTACCCACTTTAGGCTTAGGTGGTACTGGCAGCTTTACAGTCTTGTTCTATAGTTCACTTGTATTTAAAAACGTGTTGTTAGGAGCCAGAGCAACAGTACAAAGGGTAAGGAATTTGCCCTAGGTTTCATCCTCAGCACCTCATAGGGTCCCCCAGCCCCGCCAGGAATAAACCCTGAGCACAGAGCCAAGAGTTAAGTCCTGAACACCGTGTGGGACCCCCAACCCCCTAAAAAATATGTGTTGCTGCTCAAGTTGAAGTATTGTCTTCATTTATTTTTTTGGTAGTATTTTCTTTGGACAAACTCTTAGCCCTTTTAGAATGTTCCCGATTTTCAGCCCTCTTAACAGCTTCTCGATGTCGAACTCCTCCTAGATTTTGCCCCAGGCTGGTCCTCATGGCCGACTTCCCTCGACAGGGCAGGCAGGATTCGTGTCTTCATCTTGGTTTAACCTCTTTGGCTGGTTTCACTAGCTCAGAGGAAAACATTATCTTCATTCTGTTGAAATTTAATAACACAGGTTTTCTTGTACATTTTAGGTCCGGAATAAATTAGATGGTCAGTACTATGCAATCAAGAAAATCCTGATTAAGGGTGCAACGAAAACAGATTGTATGAAGGTACGATGTTTAAATTATAGTCTCTGTTGTGAATAATTGAGTTTTTGATACCTTTATCAAAGAGTAATATGTGTATGTGAGAATATTGGTAAATTGGTGATGTGGATTGCCAGCTTGCTAGGACTGGGTCACAGTATCATAAGTGTGGATGGTCACATTGTATTTGACTTAGTTTTTTTGGTCTGTTTTTGGGTCACACACAGTGGTGCTCAGGACTTACTACTGGCAGTGCTCAGGGGACGATACGGAGTGCTAGGAATCAAACCTTACTGTTGTACCTGTTTTTTTATTTTTCCCTCTTTGTTGTTACACCTAGTAGTGCTCAGGGCTTACTTCTGGCTGGATGCTTAGGGATCACTTCTGCCAGGTCTCTAGAGACCATATGTGGGATAGAATCCAGATTGGCCGCATGCAAGGCTGGCACCTTACACTGTATTATTGCTCCAGCCCTGACTTTTTTTTTTTTGTTTTATTTTGTTGTTTTTGGGCCATCCCCAGTGGTGCTTAGGGCTTACTTGTAGGCTCTGTGCTCATGGAGCTTCTTGCATTCAGGGGCTCAGAAGGGATGCAAGGCAAGTGCCCTACTTGCTCCAGGCCTGACACTTATTTTTTACTTTAAAGAATATGTATATTTTTTATTTTGGGGGCCACACCCAGTGATGCTCAGGGCTTACTTCTGACTCTGTACTAAGGAATAACTCCTGACAGTGCTTGGGTGTCCTCCCTCCCATACTGTTGCTCCGGCCACCATGGAAATGGAATTTTTTTTGGGGGGGGTCACACCCAGCGATGCACAGGGGTTACTCCTGGTTCTGCACTTAGGAATTACTCCTGGTGGTGCTCAGGGGACCATATGGGATGCTGGGAATTGAACCCAGGTCGGCCATGTGCAAGGCAAACGCCCTACCCGCTATGCTCCAGCCCCGGAAATGGAATTTTTAAGCACATGATAAATGCCTACCAGAGCGTGTTCTAAAGGACAGAATTCCTGCTTTGGGTCATAGCTGCCTCTTCCTGTCCTGCTGTGTGATCCTAGGCAAATGACTTCATCCTCAAAGCCATTTCTGGCTTCTGTTTTTAAAATGTGGTGACAGCAGTGCTTTATAATGATCCAGGAGGATAGGGCTTACCTGGGAATATTGGACCCAAACAATTAAAATTACATGTTCTGGGGCTGGAGTGATAGTACAGTGGGGAGGCCGCATGCCTTGAAAGCAGCCAACCTGGGCTCTGTCCCGGCATCCCATAGGGTCCCCAAAGCACTTCCAAGAGAGCACAAAGCCAGGAGTAAGCTTAGAACACCACGAGGCTTGTGGGTACCCCTCCCCCCCAAAATATGTATATATAAAAGTATTATATGTCATTTTTTATATAAATTAAGAATTTTTTTTTTACTGACTCACTATGAAAAACACAGTTACAAAGTTGTTCGTGGTTGGGTTTCAGTCATACAATGTCCCAATACCCATCCCTTCACCAATGTGCGTTTCCCACCGCCAGTCTCCCATTTCCCTCCCACCAGCCCCTCCCCAGCTATTTATTTAATTTAATTTAATTTTATTTTATTACTTTTTGGGTCACACCCGGCGATGTACAGGGGCTCCTCCTGGCTCTCCAATTAGGAATTACTCCTGGTGGTGCTTGGGGGAGCCTGTGGGATGCTGGGAATCAAACCCAGGTCGGCCGTGTGCAAAGCAAACGCCCCACCCGCTGTGCTATCGCTCCAGCCCCTCCCCAGCTATTTCTGAAGTTGCTGTAATATTGGCATTTTCTCACAAAAATATTCACATCGATTAGATTCCTACGCTTTCTCAGTGGCCCCTTTGCTCTGGCAGCTGTCTGGTCCGAGGGTGAGTGGGTATCTGGGAAGGCAGAATTGGGTCGTTTCCTCGTAGGTGCTGCGGGAAGTGAAGGTGCTGGCGGGGCTGCAGCACTCCAATGTCGTGGGCTACCACACGGCCTGGATTGAGCACGTGCACGTGGCCCAGAGGCATGGTAAGTGTCGTCTGCAGGAGGGGACCACCGGGGACATGGGGTGTTCAGTGCTGGGATCGGAACCTAGAGCCTAGCTCAGGCGAGACAAATGCTCTAGCCTCGAGCCACATCTCAGCTCCAATTTTATATTTTTGCTTTTTTTAATTTTTAATTTTTTTTTTCCACTCAGCAGTGCTCAGGTTTTACTCATGAGTCTGAGCTCAGGGATCTCTTGGCAGTGCCCTGATTACACGTTTTATTTTATTTTATTTTTGCTTTTTGGCTCACACCCGGCAATGCTCAGAGGTTACTCCTGGCTCTGCACTCAGGAATCACTCCTGGCAGTGCTTGGGGGACCATATGGGTTGCTGCGAATCGAACCCGGGTTGGCTGTGTGCAAGGCAAACACCCTACCCGCTTTGCTATCGCTCCAGCCCTCCTGATTACACATTTTTAAATGTTTCAAAGAAAGATAGTTTGCTTTGGGGTGGAGGGCCCCCAACCTGGCGGTACTCAGGGCTTACTCCTGGCTCTGCGCTCAGGGATCACTCCTGGTGATAAGAGGACCTTATCAGGTGCCAGGGACTGAACCCAGGTGGTCCTTGTGCAAGGAAGGTGCCCTCTTTGTACTATTGCTCTGGCCCAGGAAGACAATTCTACGAAAATTGTGTTTGAGTTTGATCCCTGGCATTGTAAAAACCAAAAGGTCAAGAGAAATGACAGGAAATCCTATTTCCGTGTTAGTGAGTGAAGCCAAGAGCCAGAGGCCCCGTCCCTCCTGTCTCCGGAGCGACCTCAGCACAGCCAGTGGTGGCAACTGAGTTTAGGGTCACTTGCCCAGCCTCGGACAGTGACTCCGGGCTTCTCCCCAGAAAGTGGGGGATGCCCCCCTGATAGAGATGTGCTCTCCATGGTTCTCAGCAGGTCTTGATTTAGTAACAGTATTTTGGGTACGGTCTGTGAATTTTTGGTGGTGGAGGGGCCACACCTGGCTGTTGCTCAGGGCTGACTCCTGGCTCAGTGCTCCGGAAACCATGTGGTATACTGGGGACTGATTAAACCCCAGCCGGCTTCATGCAAGGCAAGCGCCCTCCTTGCTGTACCTGCCCCAGCCTCTGGTGTGCGTGTTTCTGCGGCCTGTGATGAGCAGAGGGAAGGTGCTGCTTGCACCAGACTTTTGATGCTCCTTTGTCCTGCAGACAAAACCTCCTTTCAGTTGCCATCCCTGGAAGTGATCTCGGAGCCGGACAACGGGCCTGTGCCACGGTGCGTACTTCCTCCTGCTTCCTTCTTTTCTTCCCGCTTCCTCCTATCTCCTCCCACCTCCTCCTGCTTCTTCCCACCTCTTCCTGCTTCCTCTTACTTCCTCCTGCTTCCTTGTGCTTCCTCAACGCCACTTTCTTTCCTGCGCCATCTGCCGGGGAACCCAGCCTGCTCTTGGCGCTCCTGATGACTGTGGATTTCCTCCTGCTTCTCACTGCGATTTCAAGAGTGTTCCATTCTTGTCTTCTTCCACTCTTCTCCTCAGCACTTTTTTTTCCCCATAGGGGCCACTGCCAGCGGTGCCAGGGGGGTCCAAGGCCACCCCTGGTGATAAATGGCCTGGCTGGGTGCTTCTGACTTGGTGCTCAGCCCCTACAGTGAGTTTCCCAGACCTGGCAGTGCTCAGGGAGCACCACGCCGCCCATGTGGTTTTTGGAGTGCTCAAGGGCCCGTGAGGTACTAGGATTGAAGCCAGGGGTCCTGTGCCCTCCCACTCGACTTATCTCCCTAGCCCTGACATGAGCCCTGACATGAGACCAGCTGAGCCATCACTTTGTGATGCTTATGGGTGTGTGAGGGACTGACTAGTCACGCTCATGGTTCTGAAGTCTTTTCTGTGATGAGAACATGGTCAAGATTCACCCCCAGTGGCTGCTCTTAGGGTTCTTGCCTCCCGGCAGGGGCTTCATTTTTAGGGGGCTTATGGTGCGTGTGTGTGTATGTGTGTGTGTGTGTGTGTGTGTGCGCGCACGCGCGCGTATGTGTGTGCGTGTGTGTCTTTGGGGACTTTACCAGCGATACTCAGGAACTGTTCCTGGCTCCATCAGGACTGAGCCTCGATGTTGTTTGGGGGGTTGGGGGCACACACCCGGGTTGCTCCTGGCTCTGCACTCAGGAACCACTCCTGGCGGTGTTGGGGGACCATATGGGGGTGCTGGGAATCGAACCTGGGTCGGCTATGTGTGAGGCAAGTGCCCTCCCCGCTGTGCTAAGGCTCCGCCCTGTTTAATTTTTCCTTTAGGGAGGACGGAAGTAGCAGCGGCTCTTCCATTATCTTTGCGGAAGCCCCTTCGGAGCAGGAGCAGCCCGTCGCTGACTCGTCGCTGGCGAGTGTGAGTCACAGGCTAGTGAACTACGTCCCCCGTGTGGTCCCGCGAGAGCACCGTGGGCTCGAGTCCTCTCCGGAGCTTCCCGACAGTGACCTGTCCTCCGGCTCCATGGTGGAGCAGCGACTGCCAGTCCCACTTGGTTCCGACCTGGAGGACAATCTCACGTCCACCTCCACAGAGGAGTCCTCGGAGGAGAACTTGGGTCTGCTGGGGCAGACAGAGGTGAGTCTGAGCTGCGTTAGAGGGAGTGAGCCGGGGGAGGGAGGGAGGGAGTCGGGGTGGCCCCAGAACCCCCTCCTCCAGTCCCGTATTGTGTTTGCTCTTCAGCTGGGAGCTCTATTTTTACTGTATGATAACCCTGAGCTGTAATAATATATTTCCGCATTAAGATGTTCCTTCTGTATTTGGGAGGTGACATTGGGTCGCTGGGTCAGTTCTCAGGATAGACTTGTTGCTGGCGCTGATTTGCGAGGAACCTCCATGGACGGGTATCACTGGCATTTATAAAAGCACTTGAGCAGGACCGGCGCTATAGAACAGCGGGTAGGGCTTTTGCCTTGCACGTGGCCGACCCGGGTTCAATCCCCAGTATCCCGTATGGTCCCCCAAGCACCATCAGGAGTAATTTCTGAGTAATTGCAGAGCCAGGAGTCACCCCTGAGTATTGCTGGGTGTGACCCAAAAAGAAAAAAGAAAAAGCACTTGAGCGGGTCAGGCACTTACCTTGTGTGTGTCCAACCCGGGTTCGATTCCCAGCATCCCTTATGGTCCCCCCAAGCTTGTCAGGAGAGATTCCTGAGTGCACAGCCAGGAGTCAGCCCTGAGCACCCGCTGGGTGTTGGACAAAACCCAAACCCAAACCCAAACCCAGACCAAACAAAAACCAAAAAAGCAGCACTTGATCTTTAAGGGCTGGGGAGATGGTTCAGAGGGGGTGGGCCCTGGGTTGCTCCCTGGCTCCATAGGCGCCCGAGTAACCCTAAGCTTTGCAGGTATGGTCCTTCCCAGAGCAGAGCAGGGACGTTTCCCGGCTCCCCACAGTCTCGTGTTCTCTGTTTATACATACATGTCAGATTCTCCTCTGAAATGTGGGTAGCAGCACCTCCTATATGAAGCATGAGGTGAATGCGTCCTGAGTGCAAAGAAAAATCACTCGAAGGCCTTGCACTTGGAGCCCTTTTATTGCTTCCTGTTCGGAGCGTTTTTCTAGGCTGCTTGGTACGTGAATGGCGACTGAGCATAGTCTTTGCTTAGCTTTCCCTGAACAAGTCATTAGTCCCGTGCGGTGCTAAACCATGTGCATATCTGGGGTATACACGCAGGAGTGGAAAACCCCGGGCCGCTCCAATTACTCAGATGCTGTTGGTATAGTGCGTGGACTCGTTCCTCCTGGGCAGCTGCCCTAGACCCCGGCCCACATGGGTCACATGCGCCTTCCCTGTCTGTCTCCTCTCCTCTTGGGGGTCTTGGGGCGGTTGTCTGAGTGATGGCCCCGGCATGTCCCCAGGTGCAGTACCGCCTGATGCTCCACATCCAGATGCAGCTGTGCGAGCGCTCACTGTGGGACTGGATCGTGGAGAGAAACGTGCGGAGCGGCGACTGCGTTGATGAAGCATCATGTAAGTACCCACCGCGCCTCTGCTTTCCGGCTGGGAAAAGCTTGTTTGTTAAACCTGAGACGTGCACACACCAGGAGTATCCCTGAACCAGGATCATTCCGAGCTAGAGTACAGAGCCAGGAGTGAACCCTGAGCACAGAGCCAGGAGTGAGTCCTGAGTACAGAGCCAGGAGTGAGCCCTGAGCACAGAGCCGGGAGTGAGCCCTGAGCACAGAGCTGTGAGTGAGTCCTGAGCACAGAGCCAGGAGTCAGCCTGAGCACAGAGCCAAAAGTGAGCCCTGAGCACAGAGCCGGGAGTGAGTCCTGAGCACAGAGCCGGGAGTCAGCCCTGAGCACAGAGCCAGGAATGAGCCCTGAGTACTGCTGGGTTTGACCCAAAGCCAAAACAATAAAATCATCAGGAAGGATTATGGTGGAGAACTGACAAATGTGAACTCCGTGGTGGTGAAGGCTGTGGCTGCAGTGATGGTTCATGTGGACGGCATGTGTCCTGGAGGAGAGAGGAGAGTGGGCACTGTCTCCCATGGCTTCTTGTTCCCCAGCCTGTCACCTCAGCCCACGGGTGGGAAAAATGGGCCTAATGTAGCGGGTTGGGCGCTAGTTCCTGGCATCTTGTGTGATCCCCGAGTACTGCCAGGAGGAACCCTTGAACATTGTTGTGTGTGGTCCAAAAGCCAAATAAAGAGAAGAAAAACAGGCGTGGCTGGGGAGACATTCTGAAAAATACCTGACCCGCGCTTCTCGACACTGTCAAGGTGGCCATCCTAAGCAGGATGAATCTGAGAGACTTTCACACACCAGAATCACCTCCGGAGCCACGACAGCTCGATGTAGTCTGGTAGCCTGGATGGAATCGTGGAACGGAAGCGGGACTGTAGGTAATGGCTGTAGGGACATTGGCCAGTGTCAAGTGCTGAGGCTCCTCCTTGACACACAGCGTCACTCACAGGATAATCTGGACCACCCTACCAGTAGTTTTCTTTTCTCATCTTTGGTTTTTGGGCCACAGCCAGCAGTGCTCAGGGATCACTCCTGGTGGTACTTGAGAGACCATATGAGGTGCTGGAGATTTTTTTTTTTCTTTTTGGGTCACACTCAGCGATACACAGGGTTTACTCCTGGTTCTGCACTCGGGAATTAATCCTGGAGGTGCTTAGGGGACCATATGGGATCCTGGGAATCGAACCCGGGTCGGCCACATAAAAGGCAACGCCCTACCTGCTGTGCTGTCACTCCAATCTCACCGTCTCTCATTTTTTTGGTAAATCTAACACTTTTTTTTTTTTTTTTTTTTTGCTTTTTGGGTCATACCTAGTGATGCACAGGGGTTACTCCTGGCTCTTTACTCAGGAATTACTCCTGGCAGTGCTCAGGGGACCATATGGGATGCTGGGAATTGAACCCGGGTTGGCACGTGCAAGGCAAATGCCCTACGCTGTGCTATTGCTCCGGCCCCAAATCTAACACTTCTAAGAAACTCCACCTTGGGCCGGAAAGTGCAGGGTTGCCAGAGTACTGTAGGTATTTTCAAAGAGACTTCGCTATCTAGATGTTAATATTGGGAATGAAATTGTGAAATAAAATTGCGTTTTTGCTTCCAGGTCCCTATGTGATGGCCAGCGTTGCAACAAAAATTTTTCAGGAGTTGGTGGAAGGTGTATTTTACATCCACAGCATGGGGATCGTGCACAGAGACCTGAAGGTAAGCCGGCGGGCGCCTGTCAGGAGCCTGGGCCTCTGGGCCTAATGGGGGTCACTGAGAAACGAAGTCTGCGCATGTTTGCTGCCTGTTCATTTCCTTGTGAGGAGCCCATTATTGTTACTTTTATGTAAGTTGTCTTCCTGCATGTCCTAAACATGAATGGATTCTTATAGGTTGAGTATGAAAGTAGCGGTTTAGGCGCTGGAATGATAGTACAGTGGGTAGGGTACTTGCCTTGCAGGCAGCTGACCTGGGTTCAGTCCCTGATACCATATATGGTCCCCTGAACTCCAGGAGTGATTTCTGAGTGCAGCACCAGGACCAAGTCCTGAACACCACTGGGGGTGGCCTCCAAACAAAAACAAAAAAGAAGCAGTCTTTGGGCACTGGGAAATTCTCTGTAGAGCACTAGTGTCAGATAGGAAGATGCTTATCACACATCATTCATGATACTCCGTATACTGAGTGCTGACAAAATGCCCATTTACTTCCTTGGTTTGGGGCCCACACCCTGCTCAGAGCTTACTCCTGATCTGCTCTGGTTATTACTCCTGGCGGGGCTCAGGGGACCATACAGGGTGCTGGGGACTGAATTGGGTCAGCTACATGCAAGGCAAGAGCCATAATCGCCTCCTCCCACCCACACTGTACTAGCTCTCTTGTCCTTTTTGGCTGTTTTAATTTGGTTTGGGGGGCCACACCCAGCTGTGCTCAGGCCTTACTCCTGGCTCTGTGCTCAGGAGTCACTCTTGGGAGTACTGGGGTGGGTAAGTGTGTTCCTGGGGATCAGACTTGGCTGCGTGCAGGGTTTGCACATTGCTTGCTTCACTACCCACTATCTCTCTGGCCCCTGTTGCTATTGTTAAACTCATCAAGGACAGGGCAGAGCTCAGTGGTAGAGGGTTTGACTTGGTCTCAGTTGGCCCTGGCTTTAATCCCTGGCCCTGCAAAAAAAAAAAAAAAAAAACTTAACAAAACACCTAACCAAAAGAAGCTCTTTAATAGCTTTCAATCTTTATCTACCAAAAATAATCAAGGAGAGAAAATACTTCTTTGATATGTTTTATTCTGCATGCTTTTGGGGCAAAAGTTATGTCACAGAAAATGTGGGGCTGGAGAGATAGCACAGTGGGTAGGGTTTTTGGCACCCCACCCCATTTGATCCCCGAGTGCAAAGCCAGGCGTCAGCCCTGAGCACCACTGGGTGTGGCCCAAGATATAGACAGATAAAAAAAAAATCACATAAAATGCATTTCAGAGAAACAAAGGCTAATTACACAAATCAGGATGGGGGCGTTGAAATGGTTTTTAAAACTACTGAGTTTAGATATTTGGGATGTGCAAGGTGACGGGCTGAGTCTGTTCTGGGTTTGTGGAGCGAGAACACGTGTGAGCCCCTGAAAGCCCGTGGCGCTCTGATCCGAGAGGCCCCCTTTCAGGGGGGAGCCGTGTCCTGGCGGCCAGCCACGGCCAGCCACATCGTCCCCGGGAGGAGTTCCTTTAGCCGTTGTTTCTGCTTCTCCCCACCCGTGCTCCGGAGGCTCCTCTGACAGATGTCCTCCAGGGACAAGGGCTCCCGAGATTCCCTCATCAGCGTCTCCCGAAGGAGCCGGAACTCGGGCAGCAGGAGCCCCGCGGGCAGCGTGCCCTGGGCATTGGTCAGCTGCAGAGGGTAGGCGCGCTGGAGCAGCCGGGCCAGGAGTGGCCTGTCTCTGATGTTGGAGCCACGCTCCAGGTACTTGTAGACGGGCGACTCCCCACGCCGCGTCAAGGTATTAACAGAAGCCCCCGATTCCAGCAGGAGGTCTATCATCGCCTTCCTGCCTCCCAAGCATGCCGCATGCATGGCCGCCTGGCCCTCATGGTCCTGGGCGTTGACCTGGGCCCCGTGCGCCAGCAGCAGCCTGATGCAGCCGAGCCCTGCTGCCAGCAGTCGACCCGCCTTGCCGGAGGCCACGCACACGGCCAGTTGTAGGGCCGCACTCCCTGTGGCAGACATGGCCTGGTTCACGTCGGCCCCGCACGCGATGAGCGTCTCCATCATCCCCTGGTTGAGGGTGTTTGCGGCCACGTGCAGGGGGGTCATGCTGGACGCGTTGGTGGCGTTGACCTGGGCTCCCCTTTGGGCCAACATGGTGAGGACTGGACAGGTCCCGTAGGTGACGGCCAGGTGCAGCGGCGAGTGGCGGCTGCCACTGTCCACGCAAGCATTTACTCGGGCCCCATGTTCGCACAGGATGCGGAGACAGGCCAGAGCACTCTGTTGGGTCTGCGTCTCGACTCTTTGGCTGTGCCTTCCCGGCTTTACCCACAGTGGGGAAGCGAGTGGCCAGTGCAGGAGCACACGGTGAAGCGCGGTCAGTCCTTGCGTGTCCCTGGAACAGGAATTGTGCCGATCACCGCTCAGCTCAGGGTGGGGAAGGCCCAAAGGCAGCAGCGTTTTGTGCCCCTGTGCTGCCAGGGAGCTGTACCCCAGAACCCGAGGACAGGCTTCCAGACACATCTCCCTGCGGTTGTGACCCCAGAGTCCCAGCACCCAGGATACTGGGGTTGCCTGGCATAGAATCCGGTCTGCAGCACAGCCCCCACTGGGGAGTGGCACCAAGCGATCTAATGGATCGTGAGGAGGGCTGGCAAGGTCAGGCACCCCAAATCAGTTCCCAGTGGCTCTTCAGGGGTTCCTGGACTTTTCACCTGTCTGTGTGACGTCAGGGAAACCACGTGTCCATCCCGGCCCAGCCCCCAGCTCTGCGCCGTGAAAGTCTCTGGGACTCCCCTTTCCTGTTCCTTTGTCTTGGCTAGGCCAAAGGAATGTGAGAGCTCCGCCTGCCGTCCTGGCCTAGGGACCAGTGGGTGATCCCCGCCTGCGTGTGTGAAGGCCCCCTAGGGACCTGCGACCCTACCTGTGCCTCCCGACCCCCGTCGGTTGTACAGCCTGCAGCCAGATTCCGGGGAGCGTTCTAGAGTTTCCAGCCCCAAGGATGGTATGTGGTGGAGAGCAAGGACAGAGGAACCTGAGGAGGATGGGCTGACTGAGGGAGGGCCCGGCTGAGGAAAGACTGAGGGGGCACCTGGAAAGCGAGGGGGGGTTGTCCTGGGGATGGTGGGGGGCGAGGTTGGCCAGGTGTCCTCTGAGGAGCGCGAGTTTGGAGGCCAGGGCATTGGCCGGGTTCTCAGCAGGATGTGGGAGCAGAGGAGCCCCGGGATGGTGTCTGTGGGGGGCCTCACCTGGTCTCCGGGTCAGCCCCGTGCTCCAGCAGGCAGAGCAAGCTCTGCGCCCGGTGGTGCTCTGCAGCCAGGTGGATTGGCGCGACGGACTGCATCTGCCTCACGGGAAAGGCAGTGCATTAGTGGCTGGGCGTCCCCCCCAGGCTGCCCATGTCCTGCCCCTGCCCCCGCCCGCCTCCCAACCCTGAATCCGTGAATTCAAGTAAAGTCTGTCGCTCCCACATGCAAGTGTCACAGAGCCACAGAAGTAACTGAAAGCTTTGGAAGTTGCTGAATCCTGGAGAGAGAAAAATGGGTCCAGCAGATCTAGCACTTGCCTTATGCGGGTCCCCCCCATGGGCCCCCAATTCAGGCTGGGCATCACGTGCCAGGAGTGTGGCCCAAGCTGCCCCCCAAGCCCTTCAAATTGCTGGTTCCTTAGCCGTAAGGTGGGAGGTGATTGCTGTGAAGCCCCTCCTCCTTACATGGACCCACTGTGTGGGAGTTTCATGGGGTTTTCTCCTTTGTGGGGGCGCTGGGAAAGGGAAGCGTGAGTGGGTAATTCGTGTGTTTGGGGGTTGTGATGCGAGGGAGCAAACCCAGGGCCTCTGCACAAAAGACACCTTTCGCATGGAGCCCATTTCCTGGCCCGGTTTTGCGTTTCTTTTTCGGGCTTTGGGCCTGCTCCTGGCTCTGTGTTCAGGGGCCCGCCCGGATGCAGATGGGAAATGTCACCTCCTGTCCTATTTCTCTGGCCCCAGCTTTGTGCTTCTTCACTTGCCCGGTCCTAGAAGGGCCAGAAAAACCCACGTGTCCCTCTTCCCCCGCCCGCCACGGGATTTTAGGCTGTGCCATGTGTCGTCTGTTTAGCAGAGTGTTTATGTGAAGCCCGTGGGCCAGAGCCCCCATGCTGGCTGGGCCTCTGGATGCGTGGAGGGCAGCGGGAGGTGGACACATTCTGGGAGTGAGGGGCTGAGGGAGCGCTTGGGGGTACCTGGTTGAGCAGTAGCCCGTCGCGGGAGAAGCTGGCTGGCACGGTGAGGAGCTGGTCCAGGGGGTGACTCTGCAGCAGTGCGTAGATGGCCACGCAGTCCTCGCGCAGGATGGCCTCGGAGAGCCCCAGCTCCCCGGGCACCCCTCCCGCCACCCCGGCTGCCCCTCCGGGGTGCGTTGCCCATTGGTGTGGTCTCACTGGAGGTAGCTTGGCATCAAGGCCCGCCTTAGGAGTCTCTGGGGTACTTGGCTCACTTCTCAGAAGATTCTAGAATTGTGGGGGCTGGTATTCTGGAGTAGAGTTCTTTGGGGTAGGGGGGCCGAGTGCAGGGGAGTGACCCACACCTGGCAGTGCTCAGGGGTTTTTCCTGGGTCTGCACTCAGGAATCACTCCTGGTGGTGCTCAGGGGAGCATATGGGATGCTAGGGATGAACCCAGGTTGGCCACAAGCAAGAACAATGCCCCTCCCACACTATATACTACAGCTCAGGCCCCCCCAAAAGATGATACATTTTAGGACTTGCTACTCAAGTTTTTAAAAAAGAACATGGGGGGCTGGAGCGATAGCACAGCAGGTAGGGAGTTTGCTTTGCATGCAGCCTACCCGGGTTCAATTCCCAGCATCCCAGATGGTCCCCTGAGCACTGCCAGGAGTAATTCTTGAGTGCAGGAGTAACCCCTGTGCCTGTGCGTCACCGGGTGTGACCCAAAAAGCTTAAAAAAAAAGTTTAAATGAAAATAAAAAGTATAAAAAATAAATTAAAAAAATAAAATAAAAAAAGAACATGGGGATCTGGATAGCCGGTTTAAGTGGGTAAGGCACTTGCCTTGAATGTAGCAAACTTGGGTTACATCTCTGGCACCAAGGTCCAGAGTAAGGCCAGGACTGGGTGTGGTACAAAACCCAAAACAAAATACCCACTAGGAGTAAGCCAAGAGCCCGGCTGGGTATGAGCCCCAAACCAAAATAAATACATAAATCAACTTCTTGTGTGTGTGGTTTTTGGGTCACACCCAGCGGTGGTCAGGGATCACTCTTGGCTTGGGGACCCTGTGGGATCCAGTTGGTTGTATGCAAGGCAAGCTCCCTCCCTGCTGTACTAGCCTTCTGGCTTTTACTTTTAGCTTCTGAGGAAGTGACTTGCTCCTGGGTTGAGAAGAGCTGCCTCTGACAGGTTTTTACGGTTCATTTTACAAACAATGAGGAGTTGACTTCTTCTGTTTACAGCCCAGGAACATTTTCCTTCACGGCCCCGATCAACAAGTGAAAATCGGAGACTTTGGCCTGGCATGCAGGGACCTCATCCAGAGGCCCTCAGACTGGCCCAGCACACACAGGAAGGGTGAGTGGGTGCCCCAGGGGCCACAGCTGAGCCCCACCATGTTGGGGAGGAGGGCCAAGCCATCTGGTGCTGGTCGCTGCAGAGCTGCTCAGAGTCAGTGTCCCCAGCGATGTCACCAGGGTAAGTTCTGCCCCATGACATGCTGACTCTTGGTTGCAGGAACAGCAGCTCATACGTCCAGAGTGGGGACTTGTCTCTATGCCTCACCCGAACAGTTGGAAGGGTCCGAGTATGATGCTAAGGTAGGACTTGTTGCCTTTTTGTTTGGGTCCATAAGGGACTCTCTCTGACTCTGTGTTCAGGGGTCACTTCCAGTGGTGCTCTGGACCCTGTCTGCTGCGAGGAACCACATGCAGTGCCAGGATGGAGCCAGGCTAGGCTGCTCACAGGCAGACCCCCAAACTCCCAAATGTGCTCTCCGGCCCATGGGACCGTTACTGTGGGAGCCATGTCCTGGATGCACCTTTTGACATCTGAGATGGGGATGGTGACACTTTGGCCGCTTCACTCGGGCCATTGTGCCTCCGCATGGGGACCTGCCACTGTGACCCCCTGTTCTGTGGGAACTCTGCAGTGCCTTAGAAGCCTGCTGGGGTTGGGGAGGCAGCACCCTGAGACAGGGCCTTTGTGCTTGCCTATCTCTCCCCACCAAATGACCGTCCTCTCGGCCCTCTGGGCAGGGGTGAGGGGACCTCCCGCCGCTGGTATGCTCCTCACTGGCCGCTGCCCTTCCTGCAGTCAGACATGTACAGCCTGGGCGTCATCCTGCTGGAGCTCTTCCAGCCCTTCGGGACAGAGATGGAGCGGGCGCAGGTCCTGACAGGTGTGAGAGCCGGGCAGCTCCCCGAGTCCCTCAGCAGACGGTGCCCCGTGCAAGCCAAGTGCATCCAGCAGCTGACTCGGAAGGTCTCCTCCCAGCGACCGTCAGCTGCCCAGCTGCTGCAGAGCGAGCTCTTCCAGACTCCCGCCAATGTGTGTAACTCGTCACTGGGCCTGGCTGGGGCGCGGGTGGGCGCTGGGGTCCCAGTGTAGGAAGAACAATTGAGCTGAGACAGAAGTATCTGGAAACAGATGGTGGCAGCACTCTGGGTTTTGTTGGCCCCGGGAGCAAGATGGCCTTGCCACGATGCTTTGAGAGCACTGGTACATCTCCCAGGCTGGCTTGTCCCACCCATCCGAAGGTTTCTCCTTTCCTTCCTCCTCTGCCCTGTTGCCTCTGTCGCTTCCTGACCATAGCCTACTTGCGAGAGACAGATGTCCTGGGTAAAGCCTGCAGTCACCTCGCGAGCTGACCCTGGGCAGCTGGGCTGTTGAGGGACTTGAGGCCTGGGGAGCCCACCCTGCTCTTTCCCTGTCCCCCACTGTGTGCCTGCTGTTCTCGGGAACGCAGCACACAGCTCTTCTGTCTTGCTGAGATGCTCCACGGTTGACCAGTGTTACAACCTGAAATCGCTGCCCGCTCCCGCCCTTTCCTCTGAAGTTCCGGGATGCGCAGGGTTCGCAAAGTTGTTCCACCGGGGGCATGCCACAAAGCATTCAGTCCCCCAAGGGATCCCTGAGCACACGGCAGGTGTGGCCAACTTCCCCCACTCCTCAGCACTGTCTCCCCCCTGCCCCCTCCCCCACCAAAAAAATAAAAAGTTCTCAAGGGCCAGGGAAGAGTTCTGTGCCAGGTTCAGTCTCCGGCACCACAGGGTCGCCTGCACACTGCTTGGTGGGGCCTCAGAAACAAGGAAAACAGAAATAAAAACTTGTCAGAACTTGAGAAGCCATTGCCAGCTGTGAGGCATGACAGCCGTAACCTGACGCGGACACGGACACGTGAGGGAGTCTGGGAGTCGGAGGCACAGCCCCTGCTTCAGATGCTGCCAAATGCCCGAGTGGTTTTAGCCTAAAGCTGCTCGTTGGGGTCCCTTTGATTTTTGTTTTTAATGCTCGGAAGTTACTCCTGGCTGTGCACTCAGGAATCACTCCTGGTAGTGCTCAGGGGATCATATGCGGTGCCAGGGACTGAACTTGGGTCAGCCGCGTGCATGTTCTGTGGCTCCCCCCAGGGCTCCTCCTGGCCATCTCCTTCCTTCCAGGGAGGAGCTGGGTCATCCCCAGCCACCTGACAGTGCAGTCAGCACCCCTGGCTGTTGTTTCTCAGACCTTGTAACCTTTGATTTCTGCTACAGCACTGCTTCATTGTCTTCTGGGCTCCATCTTTGCTAGTGACAGCCCTCAAATGTCTTTTTCGGTGGTGGGGGGGGGGGGGTTCTTATTTGGGGGCCACTACTGGCGGTGCTCGAATGCAGGGGATTGAACCTGGGTCAGTTGCATGCAAAGCAAGCATCCTCCTGCTGTCCTCTGTCTCTGGCCGTTTTTTTTTTTTTTTTGCTTTTTGGGTCACACCTGGTGATGCTCAGGGGACCATATGGGATGCTGGGAATCGAACCTGTGTCGGCCATGTTGGCTGCATGCAAGGCAAACGCCCTACCCGCTGTGCTATCGCTCCAGCCCCCTGAATGTCCTTTTTCAAGTACTGTTTGGGGGCCGGAGAGACGGTACAGCAGGTAGGGCATTTGCACGCGGCTGACCCATATTTGATCCCCACATCCCACATACTGCCAGGAGTAACCTCTGAGCATCCCTGGATGTGACCCCCGCCCAAAAAAAAAAGCACTGGATGGGCATGCACCCGGGACACAGGACACAGCCACACATCGGTGCCACAGGTGTTGATGGGAGCAGTGTGGCTGCCAGAGCCACAGATGTGTGGGCTGCAGACACCAAGTTGTGTGGTCCCCCTCAGGGTCCCTGGCACCTGCATCCAGGTCTGGGGGTCTGCCCCAAACCCTGAGAACTAGAAGCCATCTTAACGCAGCCTCCGACCTGCTCTTCACAGGTTAATCTGGCCCTCCAGATGAAGATCATAGAGCAGGAAAAAGAAATCGAAGAATTAAAGAAGCAGCTGAGCGTTCTTTCCCGGGACAAAGCAGGCCAGGACGGCCTGACCGCTGGGGAGGTGCCTGTCTCGCCGTAACGGGCCTCGCCACCTCGGAATATTGGACTCCTGATAAAAAATGGCAAGGGTCCGAGCCATAGGACAGCGGGGAGGACATTTGCCTTGTACGAGACCAACCTGGGTTTAATCCCTGGCGCCCTATATGGTCTCCCAAGCCTGGCAGTATCCCTGAGCAGAGCCAGGAGGAAGCCCTGAGCATTGCTGGGTGTAGCCTGAAATAAAAGGAAGGAAGTTTTCCGAGTAATTGTGTCTGTTAGCGTCGGCTTTGGCTGCTGTGGAAGGTGTAAGTCTGCCTCTATTAAAAAACTACATGAGTGACCTTTTGTGCCGAGCGCTCTGGACCGAGGCTGCTGGGTCTCCCTCTCCACTCCCTACAGCACTGTCAGACACCCCTTCCATGCCCCCCCCCTCCAGCCTCTGAAACACAGCCTTTAGTCTCAGATTCACTTCCTTCTCTTAACACTTCATGCTGACTGCTAGGTCCACCTCTACAAGGTTCTGCAGAGAGCTGCCACTGTCACTGCCCCACACCCAGCTCTGCACGCTGGCCACTGAGTTTTGACAGCTGCCAGCATCCCCACCCTTCCCTCAGCTGCTGGGGGGCGTGGCCAGAAATCTGCCGGCTCACTCTGGAGCTGGCTTCAGGCGGGTTCAGAACCCAGGCTGCTGCTTCTCTTGCCTCCAGCTAAGGAGCGGCTCCAGAGCTGGTCCCCACCATACCCTCCAGTTAGCGCTGGAGCAGCTTTTGCCCATGTGCTCCCCTATCCCTGCTGCTTTCCCCCCTCATCCTTCCCCAGAGGCGCCGGTGCTGGCATCCACCCAAGTGCCAGAGGGCTCCTTGCAGTTATCCAGGGGGCGGTGCTTCCCCACACCCAGCGTGTGATCCACTTCAAAGACATGCCACTGCTGAGGCTTTTATTGACAACTGGCCAGAATCACGACAGGGGTGGTGGCCCCAGTCTTCTGCCCACAGGAGGCAGGAGTGAGCACCCTGGTTAGCCCTGAGCCTCGGGGGGCCGTCACAGCAGTTCAGCTCAGGAGGCGGAGGGCGGAGCTGAAGGGGGGCAGGTTCTCACAGGCCTGTGCCCACTTCTGCACGTTGGCCGGCAAGGCCGCGCTGCGACCGCCCATCTGCCGGAGCACAGACCACAGCACGACATCAGCCACTGTGAGCTCACTGCCCACCAGCCAGGGGCTCTTCCCAAGCGCGGAGTTCATGGCGCGGAGCACGGCAGCCTGCTCCTTGCTGCTGCCCTGCTGGAGCTGGAAGATGGCCATGTCCACCCAGCTGTCGATGAGGGTCAGCGTCACGGCATTATGCTGTTGGCCAAACAGCGAGAAAAGGAAGCGTGCGATGTTCCCCTCGCCCTCGATGGGACACATAGTTTGGACACTGAACTTCATCTGCGTCTTGGGCACTGAAAGGAAAGATCCGTGGGAAGCCAGTGAGCACAGTACCCAGGAAGCCCGTTTCAGGGTTGAGGGACAGGGTTGCTGTCCCTCCCTGCCTGTGATACAGGACCCCTAATCGTTTCCTGGGCCAGAGAGGAGGGTGCCCCGGGTTAAGATCCAGCTTCCACGGTCACTCTTCAGCCTCTCCAGCAGAGCGTCCTAAAATAGCTGCCCTGCTGGGTGCCCAGGGCTATTCCTGGTTGTTCTCAGGAGTGATCCTGGGGGACCCATGGTGCCAGGACTCTTTCAGCTGCCTCACCTGTGCTGTCTGCAGCCCATGGTCAGCTGCCCTTTCAGATGGGGAAAAAAAATCAATCCCCTGGCTCCCCCACTGGAAACTACCTTTCTCAAGAGAACCATGGAACTGCCCTCCCTCCCGCCCCCCACTGGATCTGAGGCTTCCCCGGACTGTTCAGCGGCCCACAGGGGCAGCACCATCCACCCTAGGAACCTGGTTTAGCCTCTCAGAGGTCTGAAGGGCTGTAGCAGGCAGGGGCCCTGCTGGTCACCTCATGTAGCGGTGCAGGCTGTGCCCACTCACCATCCTTCCAGATGAGCGTGAAGGCCAGCTGGTACTCCTGGCGCGGCCCCCGCTGGGCCTGCTCCCCGAAGCAGCAGAGCAGATTCCGGGGCACGCTGCGGACAGCTGAGTGCGTGTGGACTGTGGACAGGACCCGGTAACGGCTGCACAGCAGCTGGTGCAGCACCAGCAGGGACAGTGGCGGCGAGGCGGGGTTGGCGTTGATCACGATGTCTTTCAGCACCCCGTTATTCTGGGGGGAGGCCAGACACGGGGAGTACATTCGTGAGGGCCTGTGGGGGCCCTGGGCCTGGCGCTGCCCTCAGGAGACCAGAGCTACCTAACCGAATCCTCGCCTCCCGTAACTGGTCTGAGCCTGCAGCAGGGTTGCAGGACTCGCCCTGCTAGGGTCTGCCCCCAACCCGCCCTGCTGGCCCCCACAAAACAGCTTAACTATTCCTTAAGAAACTGCATCCCTGTCTGCCTCAACACTAGAAAGACAAGTGTAATGACTCCACCTACGAGATTGTTCTAGGGCTGCACCTGGGCAGGTAGAGTTTCCATATCCTTTTGTGGTGGAGTTAAGTACCAGGACGAGTCCCAGAATAAGGGCCTGGGCTCCAGTGGTCACTGCTGGAGGGGCCCAGGAGGGCATTACCCAGAGCCCAGAGGCGGTGCCTGCCCAGTGCAGCTTTTTTTTTTTTTTTGTAGGAGTACTGCTATTTATTCAGCCACTGATTAGCTGATTGAATTGTGCATGAACTCCACCTTACTTTTTTTTTTCTTTTTCCATTTTTTTTATAATTTTATTTATTGAATCACCGTGAGAGCAGTTACAAAGCTTTTGGGTCTAAGTCTCAATCATACAATGAAACATCCGTACCTTCACCAGTGCCCATTCTCCACCACCAAAAATCCCAGTATACCCCCATCCCACACCCTCCCCCTGCCTGTGGGGCAGATGATTTCCACATTACTCTCTCTCTACTTTGATCACATTCACTATTTCGACACCAGACCCACCATTATTTAAGATTTTACCCCAACACTCAGATCTGCTGAAAAGGCAACAATAGACAATTTGTGTTCTATTGCTGGTTATGAATAACATGATGTTGTGTGGCTGCCAGTGCAGCTTTCTTAACCTCACCCCGGGGAGCCACAAGCTTCCAGGGACAGGACGGTGATGCCTGTCTGTGCCCACTCCCTGGCCTCTGCCTCATGTCCTGGCAGAATCCCACTAACAGTGAGTTTCAGCTATACTTGCCTTGCACTCGGCTGACCCAGGTTCGATCCCCGGCACCCTCTATGGTCCCCAAGTACTGCCAGGAGGGATCCCGGAGTGCAGGCCCAGGAGTAAGCCCTGAGCACTGCTGGGACAGTCCAACCCACCCCCTCCCATGCACTCTGGCACCACAGGGCTGGGAACTGGAACAGCTGGAGTGCCCACATACACAACAGGAGAGGAGGGCATGGGGGCACAGGGGCACCAAGGGGCCACAAACATGTGCCAGGCAAGGCACCACAATCCTGCCTGTGGCTGGGAAGTCTCCGGTAGAGCCTTCTAGCAGCGACCCTGGAAGAGGGGCCAAGCAGGAGAGATCTGTACCCTCAAATTCTGGACTTTCCTATAGGTGGGCCTGTAAACCCTCCAAAACCTTCCCACGTAGTAGCCCCAAGACCGTGTTGTGGGGTGAGGGGGTTCTAACCGGGCTCGGTTTCTCTTAGCCTCCAGGTGATCGGGGAAACGTCTCTCTTCACCACCTGCAGACGTGAAAAGGCTGAGTGCTGCTCTAGACCTCATGGAGGCTGCTCGTTAAGGCTGGGGGGCCCAGCTTCTAGATGGCAAACTGGGTCTCCTAAGAGCAGTCCGTTAGATGGAGGCCTGCCCCTGGCTTTGTGCAGTGGGCTTCAAAGGGGCTGGCAAGGGCTAGAGTGATAGCACAGCAGGTAGGGCATTTGCCTTGCACGCAGCCAACCTAGGTTTGATTCCCAGCATCCCATATGGTCCCCTGAGCACCGCCAGGAGTAATTCCTGAGTGCATGAGCCAGGAGTAACTCCTGTGCATCGCCAGGTGTGACCCAAAAAGAAAAAAACCAAAAAACAAAAAAACACAAAGCGGCTGGCAGTTTGGTAGCTGGACCCCTGGACTCAGGCTATGTGCTGGCCACCAAGCTCCCAAGCTGCTGCCTAGCAGGACAGCCCCAGCTTTCTCCTCACGAGATCAAGCAGCGGCTCTGGAGCCTGGCGACTTCACTGTCAGCTTGTGCGCCTGCCCGGATAAGGGGTCTCCCAAGCACGGCCCCCCGCCCACCACCCTGCTGCAGGCATACCTGTCCCAGCACTGAATTTAGGTCCACCGTGCTGGCGGACAAAGCGGCGGGCTCCTCGGCTTGGATTATGTTGCTCATATCCAAGTCGGCGTCCGGCGTGTGAATCATCTTGGAGAGTCCATCCACCGCAGCTTTCAGCTCGTACAGACGCTTCAAGATGTCATCCTGGCGGGACTCGAGAGCTTGGAGCGAAGCAGGCGGTGGTGCCTAAACAAAGCGACACTAGGATGTTCCTTTCCGCTCACTTCAAGTGTCGGTCTGGACGGGCTCGCTGGTCTATGCTGCTCAGCCCCCAACAGATCTTTAAAGACATTGTAAATGCAATAGCAGGGCCATCTCATTTCCCTTCGGCTCATGCATCCTGCAGTGGGACCTGCCCTGCCACTGCGATAAAGCAACAGCTGTGACTGGACCACTCTGATAGCCAGAAGACTCTCATTCCAGCAACAATCCAAGGACAGACAAGGACGAAAAACAATACAGATTATTCTTCAAATCAAACTTGTTCAAAATACTTTGTGAGAATAGAACAAAGGTGTGTGTATGGGCTTGTATGTGTGTGTGGAAGGGTAAGAGTGTAATCCAATAATTTAACAGATGGGGAGGGAATCCACAGGTGTTTTTTTTTAAAAAGCGTCAGGGAGAGAACTCAATGGACTGGAGCACAGGTGGGAGCTCCTGGTTTAACCCCTGGCACTGCAACCCCTGACCCACACCCCCCAAAATACAGTAAGTGCCCTGAGGCTTGGAAGCATCCATGGGGGCCAATGATTTTCTGTGCCCACGTTCCATCTGGAACTTTCTTCTCCCCTGTCATGTCCAACTTCATAACACGGAAATGCTCACATCCTTTGTCCCCTGGATCTTTGCATTTTTTTCAGCCTGGTATAATGATAGACTGCAGGCAGCTATGTAATATGGCTGAGGAAGAACTCGATTTGTAGGCTCAGATGAAAAAGCAGTAATAAGGAAAACTCCCCAGTCACGCTACAGGCTCAGCTCCCACAGAGACAATCCACCAAGTGGAGATGGGAGATGACATGAAGCTTGAAGGCTCAGAACTCAAGAGAGGGGCTGGAGTGATAGCACAGCGGGTAGGGCGTTTGCCTTGCACACAGCCGACCCAGGTTTGATTCCCAGCATACCATATGGTCCCATGAGCACTGCCATGGGTAATCCCTGAGTGCAGAGCCAGGTGTGACCAAAAAAAAAAAACCCCAAAAAAACCCTTACTCAGAACTCAAGAGAGCAGTCAGCACACTGGCAACCATTTCTCTCCATGCTCACGCAGCACCTGCCCATGTGTGATCTCTTTACCCACAGGACCGTCTGCTCCCCTGGGTCATTCCCTGCCCCCCTCCCAGGTGTACTCTTCGCTGGCTGCTATCAAGTCCACGGAACACTGCATTTGGGTCCCGTTGGCCTGCTGTGGTTCCAGAGGAACCACCCCTCCAGCCCTCCCTGAGGTGGGGGCGAGAGAAATGCCCCCTCCTCTCACATCATGCCCCTGTCCTTCTGGTTCCTGACCCCAGTCAGTGACCATTCTCTCGTCCCTGCCCTTGTTTAAATGCCAGATGTCTTCTGGGTGGACAAAGCAGCAGCAAGGCTCGGTAGTCAAGGACACTCTGTGGCATCCCCTGAGTCCAAGAGCGAGGGGTGTCAACCTGTGCTCTGGGCAAAACTGTCCATTTCCACAAAATGCATCAGGGACCCTGTCCAGTCAGGGGGGAAGAGGCATCTGCTGAACACATGAGCACTCAAGAATGCTTCAGTTCCTCTCCACCCCGCTGTAGCCTCTGCAGAGCTGGGAGCAGTCCCCAAAGTTCCTCTAGATAGCTCGGTAGCACTGTAGCACTGTCCTCCCATTGTTCATAGATTGGGCACCAGTAACATCTTGCAACAAACTGTGAGACTTATTGTTTCTGTTTTTGGCATACTGAATACTTCACGGTTGCTTGCCAGGCTTTGCCGTGCAGGAGAGATACTCTGGGTAGCTTGCTGGGCTCTCGAGAGGGGTGGAGGAATCGAACCCGGGTTGGCTGCATGCAAGGTAAACGCCTTACCGGCTGTGCTATTGCTCCAGATAACTCGGTACTAAGAAAAAATCCCAGCACAGCTTGATGAAACTCTTGACATCAAAGGTAAATGAGTACAAGGAGCCTGCATGTCCCAGCAACTCTGGATAACCCACAGCTCGGGGCAGGCCCAGCTCCTGACCTTCCACTCCCCGGAGGCAAAAAAGCAACTTCCCGGCAATGGCAATGGGGGGAGGCACACCCGCCCCCATGCCCCTCCGGTGCCCGGGGCATCGGCCTCAACAGCCCAGGAAGGCCTGTGTGTGCTGGACAGCGGACGCCGGGAGCCCGGCGATCCCAACACGACACGAGGCGGGGGGGGGGGGGGGGGGGGGGGGGGGGACACGGGACGGGGTCAGAGCGCGAGGTGGGAACGAGTGCGCCGGCTGCTCTGGAGGGGGGCGTGACAGGCCGGGCCGGGTGGCACTGGGTGGGCACACGCCACAGGCAGCCCGGGACTTTTCCAAGGGCGCATAAACCCGTCACTCGGCGGTGGGCAAAAATCTCCTAACAAGCTTAAGTTGCCGTAAGAGGGTATAAAAAGGAACACAGGTGCAAGACAGGCAAATATTTAAAGTTTTAACTTTTAATTTGTGGGGCACCACACCCGGTGCCCGGGGTTTCCCCCTGACTCTGCGTTCAGTTCAGGGGCCCGACGGCAGCCGGGCCGCGCCCCATCCCCGCGCTGTAACTACTGCTCGGCCCCTGGCACAGATTTCAAGACAGAAAAAAAAAAAAAGGTTGGGGATGACCCGACGGCCGGCAGCCAGGGAAGGGCCGCAGAGAGCAACGCGTCTCCCAGCTCCGCTTCGGGCGGCGGCGCCTGCGCACAGCGAGGAGGCGGCGGGGACCAGGAGGACCCGCGCGCCTGCGCACTGGCGGGCTGGGGGGCGGGGCGGGGCGGCGAGCTCCTTACCTGCACGTGGTCCGCGTCGGGCGCCGAACCGCCGCTCTTGCTGTGCAGATTGGGGAGCCGGTACATGCAGGTGGGGAGTTCGACGTGAAGAGAGGCACCGCCCTCGTGATAGGGCTTTACCTGGTACATCGGCATCGTGGGAACCCAAGGAGGGGAGATGGTGGGCGAGGGTACGCGAACGCGCAGGAAGCGCCGAGGCCGGCCACGACAGACTGCGGCCACCTCCTTTCCGAGCGGCTGCGGGCGTTCGGGAAAGCGCCGTCGCTGCGATCTCATTGGTCTGCCCTCGTCTGACGTCATGGCCTCGGCTTTTGACCCCACCAATCAGCGGGAAGGAGGGAAGGGAAGTGTTGGCGGGCCCACTCGGAAGGGGCGGGGCACTGGTGCCGAGGCAGCCAATGGGCGCTCGGAGGGGCAGAGCCCTACTGAGGGCTGCGGCGCGCTCGGCTCGGATCCCTGAGGCACGTCAGAGTCTGGATTCATGGATCTGACGGCGGGACCCAGGTGAGCGGCGGGCCGGCTTGCAGCGCGCTCGCCCGCCCTCCGCCTGGCGGCCTTCTGGATTCCTGCAGGCCCGCGGCGCCCAGGGCGTGGACGCTGGGGGCCGCTGGGCTGGGTCGGTACCTCGCGAGCTCCGCCTCAGGACCTGCAGAGCGGGAGCGTGGAGCGCGCGTCAGCCGAGCTCGGGTCCGCTCCCGGGTGCCCGCCGCCCCGCTCCTCTGTCCAGCGTGGGGGCTGCCTGAGGAGGCGGGCGGCTCGGGCGTGGCCGCGGCTCGGCGAGCCTCTCAGCACCGGGTTCGGCTCGAGTCGCCGAAGGCCCCCGTTCCCCCTCCCCCCCCCCGTGCAGTGTCGCGGAGCCCCGAACCCCGCCCCTCCGTCAGACTCCACACTGCGTTATCTCCGCCGCCCCCAAAGCCAAATGCACGTGTCTTCTGGGGGATGGGGGGAAGGGGGCCGCGTGAGAGACGTTTTCTCGACGCTTCTGTTCCGCGGGGAGTCGGGGCAGGCTCTGCTGGGGAACCGTGCGGTGCTAGGGGGGTGGAACCGGGCTCTGCAGCCTGCGAGGCCAGTGACGTCCGCGCGTGCGGCCTCTCCTCAGCCTCTGGCACTTGAAAGACAGGAGAAAGCTTCACCAGGTAGAACGAGATCCATGTTGGCCCCTCGGGTTTCCAGCCGCTTCTGGAAGGTCTGACGTCCGAGCTAGACGCCCGGGGACTAAGCAAGGATGCCCCTGCGGGGACGCTCCTGTCACCTGTTATTCGCAGGGTGCCCCCCTGGTGACTGGAAGGTTCTTGAATAGCCTGTAGGATTGCATTGATGACGTGAGTCAGGACCCGGATACACCAGAGACAGTGTCCGATTCACTACCTGCAGCATGAGGGGACATGGGGAGAAGGATTGAGGAAGAGAAGAACGGATCTGGGCTCCACTTAGAGGCAGTTTCCAGAGCGCTTACCGGATGGTAGTAAACATTAATTAGGAAAATTATGTGACCACGCGGCTGGAGCAAATAGCACAGCGCCGTTTGCCTTGCACGCGGCCGACCCAGGTTCAATTCCCAGCATCCCATATGGTCCCCTGAGCGCCGCCAAGAGTAATCCTGAGTGCATGAGCAAGGAGTGACCCCTGTGCATTGCCAGGTATGACCCAAAAACCAAAAGGAAAAAGAAAATTATGTGACCAGATTTGTGATTTCTAAAACGAACTCTGAATTGGAATGGGAGGAAGGAAGTGCATTCCATATAAAACTCAGAGATCGTTCAAAGGACTAGATCCTTCTCTGTGCCTCCGGAAGTCCAGGTTCCACCTGTCAGTGCTGACTGAGCAGGACCCGCCCCTAGCACCTCCAGTTGTGGCCCAAAGAGCAAAAAAAAAAAAAGAAGAAGAAGAAGCCAAGGTGACTCTTTTTTTTTTTTTTGCTTGTATTTTTGGCCACCCCCAGTGTTGCTCAGGAGTTATTCTTGGCTCTGCACTCAGTAACTACTGGTGGGGCTCAGGGGCCTCCATACCTACTACATCCTGTATTTTCTACCATTGTCTTTTTTTTTTTTTTCACATTGTGTGTGAAAGAGCCCACTGTTGAGAAAGGTCATTCACCATTAGTTTTAGAGGGGAGTTTATGTATCTCTTCCATATAGGTTCTAGTAAAATTAGATTCTTTCCATCTCTATTAAATTCAAAGCTTCAATCCACAAGATTTGGAGTTGATGGTTTGGGATCGTTGGCTGTGTGCTTAATGTTTGTAGAACAGTCATATGTGTGAACATAATAAATGGGTATACGAACACAATAAATGGAAACCAGGAGCACACAGGAAACCAGAAAACCACAATAAATTAGACCCAGGAGCTGTTAACAGAGAAGAATGATTTCCAACAGTGGAGGCCACTGTGGAACTCATGGTCTCGTTCTTGCTTTCTTGTTATTGGTGTCTTTAGTACGGAACCTGCTAAGGCCATCAAACCCATTGACCGGAAGTCAGTCCATCAGATTTGTTCTGGGCAGGTGGTACTGAGTCTCAGCACTGCTGTGAAGGAGTTGGTGGAAAATAGTGTGGATGCTGGTGCCACCAATATTGGTAAGTTTGGGAAGTGGTTTGTTTTTAGAATTTTGTTTGGTGGTAACTGGGGATTGGTCCCAGGGACATGCAGGACAAGGTCACTACCACTAAAATACATACCTGGCAGTCTGGGAGAGTTTTAAACCACATAAATGACCAGTTTGTGCTATTTTATTCAGGGAAAAAATGTGTTAAGTGTAATGAGACATGTAGTTGTTGGAAAACTGGAAATTTATTTTTTTAAGATAATTTCAGATTTGTAGTTACTGGGCTACACTAGCACGCGACAGGGACAAATGGAGACGTTACTGGCGCCCGCTCGAGCAAATCGACGACTAATGGGAAGTTAAGTGATTAAGTGAATTTCAGATTTATTAGGAATCTAGCACTAGTGGTAATAGTAGCAGTTAGCTTGTACTGTGTTCTTGCTATTCTTCATCAGATGTTGTGTTATAGGTGAATCAACTCAAAATGCAAGATAACCTTAGGAGAGGGTTGGTACTGGTAAAGTATCTGCCATGACAAAAATGACGTTAAAAAAATACTTAACATGACAGTAGTTCATTTTGAATAAATGTCGCTATGTCTCACATTTGCATTCTGTAAACTATATAAATAGTGTTATATAATGAAAGCTTCTGCTGTCGATCAATTTCTGAGAAACACATTCTAAATTTTTTAGATATCAGGCTTAAAGACTATGGAGTGGATCTCATTGAAGTATCAGACAATGGATGTGGGGTAGAAGAAGAAAACTTTGAAGGCTTAAGTAAGTTGAATTTTACTAATCAATATTTAGGCACAATATCTCAGAATTTTGAATAACACTGTCTTAGGCGACACGAAACCAGCTTTCTAATATGTTACTTCTGTTGTTTTTTTGTTTTGTCACTTGAGATGTCTTGGACCTTATTTTATGCCTCTCTTTTAGCCCTGAAACACCACACTTCTAAGATTCAAGAGTTTGCTGACCTAACTCAGGTTGAAACTTTTGGCTTTCGGGGGGAAGCTCTGAGCTCACTCTGTGCACTGAGGTGATGGAATGTTTTTGTCCGCTGACTTAATCCCTTATAAAAAATCTCTCAGCAAATTAGAAAGTATTGTTAAAGTCATTCTTGTTTACATTTTCCCAATAGACTATTCAACTGCATTTTTGTTCTCTTCCCACTGCTAAAGGTGGTCCTTCTGAAATGTAAGCAGAGAACGAGAGCAGGAGAAGAATATTGTAAAGAATCTTGTTACCTTTATCAGAGCAGTAACTTCTCAGTTTTAAAATCACGGGGCTGGAGTTATAGTACATCAGGCAGGGAGTTAGCCTTACATGTGGCCGATCTGTGTTTGATTTCTAGCATCCCATGTGTTCCCCCAAGCACTGCCAGGAGTAATTCCTGAGTGCAGAGTCAGGATTAGCCCCATAGCATCTCTGGGTATAACCCAAAAAACAAATAATAAAAATAAGAATCACTTACATATAAGAAATACCATTCAGTGCTCGCTTCAGCAGCACATATTCTAAAAAAGAAGAAATATCATTCATCTTAATTTATTTCAGTGTTCAGAAAATTAATCAGAATTTTAATTTAATTACACAAGTTTCTAAGTTTTTATATAGTTTTCCACTTATCGTTAAACTGTGATATCTTTTGGGTCCTTTCAAAAGTTTTGTTAGAGCAGTAATCCTTGTGAATAATCACAACAATCAGTCTTTGTGTATATTTGGGGTGGGGGAGGAATCTTTCATTGTTTTGTAGTTTAGCCAGAATAAATCCCAGGTATCAAAACTTTCGTCCCACTCACTAGATTAGGTACCAGTTCTTAGGGTTCATGGTGGCTCCATTACCCATCCTGATGTCGGGGGATTATCATCTCTTGGAGACTTTTAAGAGATGAGGGCATGCTCAGGCACAGATCCACACACTGACTTTCCCTGTGTGTCCTTTTTCTCCCACAGTGACTTGACAATTTCTACCTGCCATGAGTCTGCGAAGGTTGGGGCACGGCTGGTGTTTGATCACAATGGGAAAATCGTCCAGAAAAGCCCCTACCCTCGACCCAAAGGGACAACAGCCAGTGTGCAACAGTTATTTTATACGCTACCTGTGCGGCATAAGGAGTTTCAAAGGAATATTAAAAAAGTGCGATATTTAAGTGTCAGAGTCGGGCTGTGATTGTCTCTCATTTGCTTATGTGGAGGAGAAGTCACTCAAGAGGCTCCTCCTTTTCCTGTTTTTTTTTTCTTCCCACACCATCCCCCTTCCTTTATTGCTGATGATGTTCTGATGGCTGGGTTTGCACACGTCTGGCTGTGATGCTTCCAGTTTTTGTTTGATTTTAGGCCATACTTTGCGGTGCTCAGGACTTACTCCTAAATCTGTGCTCAGGCATCACTCCTGATAGGAATTTGGGGGACCATGTGTGTTGCCAGAGATCAAACCTGGTTCAGCTGTGTGCAAAGCAAGTGCTCTACCTGCTGTACTATTGCTCTGGCCCCTGGTGCTCGCACATTTTTAGCTGAGCGTGGTACACATCAAGTTGTGTGCTTGCATCCTTTTGGCCTGGTACTGACTAAGTTTTGTCCTATCTTTCTTTGTAAAGTGATTTATACTCATTCTCCCTTGATTAGGTACTACAAAATTACATATTACAGGGCCAGAGAGATGGCATAACCTGTAAAGCACTTGCCCTGTACACGGCCAGTCTGGGTTCCATCCCCAATACCACATATGGTCCCCTGTGCCCTTCCAGGAGTGATCCCTGAGCTCAGAGCCAGGAGTAAGCCCCAAGCATGGCTAGGTATACTCCCCTCCCCCAACAAAACCTTAAAAACTTTTTTTTATTTGTTTGTGTGTTTGTTTTTTTCTTTTGGCTTTTTGGGCCACACCTGGTGATGCTCAGGGATTACTCCTGGCAATGCTCAGGGGTTACTCTTGGCTCTGCACTCAGACATTACTCCTGGCAGTGCTCAGGGATGCTGGGGATCGAACCTGGGTTAACTGCATGGAAGACAACACCTTCCCCACTGTCCTATTACTCCAGTCCCCCCTCTTTTTTTTTTTTGCTTATAATTCATAAGGATTATACCTGGTGGTGCTCGGGGGTACTCCTGACTCTACACTCAGGAATCACTCCTGACTATGCCCAAGATACCATATGGGATACCAGGAATTGATCCTGTGTCGGCCATGTGCAAGGCAAACGCCTTACCCACTATACTGTTACTCTTGCCCCTAAATTGTTTTCTTGAAGTTTATTAAAAATATATATTACTATATATATGAAAAAACTTTACTTAATAATTAAAGAATTTTGCACAGAAAAATATCTATTTTTTAATATTTCTCACTGTTTTGATGTCTTGAGGGGGTTGTACATTTGTGGTATCAGGAGTTACATGTTTGGTTGCGTTGCTTATTGGGGTAGCACTTGGGGTGCTGGGGTTTGCAGTGATAGTTCCAGAGTCAGTAAATTAATATGATGAAATAATGTAACAGAAATTATGATCCTTTTAAGTAACATAGTATTAGGTGCTATAGAAAGTTGATGTTTCTGCCCAGCAACCAGAGTTTGTATCCTGTCAGGTTAGACTTTCAGCCTAGATTTTCACTTATGAAAGAAGTGTGACTAAGAACTAAAACCTCTGAGTTCCCTTTTACAGTATAAGGAGATAAAGTTCGTGGGCCTTTCTAGAGGGAATGCCTTATACCATGCATAGGATAGAAGAATCATGAACTAGGTCTTAGAATTTTTATTTACTTATTTATTTTTAGGCCTTAGAATTTGGACAGTGTAGTTCTTATGAGATTAGAGTAATGCTGAATCTTGTGTTTGTGTTTCTGAAACAGGAGTATGCCAGAATGGTCCAGGTCTTACAGGCATACTGTATCATTTCAACAGGCATCCGTGTAAGTTGCACCAATCAGGTTGGACAAGGAAAAAGACAGCCTGTGGTATGCACATCAGGCAGCTCCAGCATAAAAGAGAACATCGGATCTGTGTTTGGGCAGAAACAGGTAGTGGTTGTCTGTGATTTAAAAATGGTACTTTGTGGGGCTGGAGCGATAGCACAGTGGGTAGGGCATTTGCCTTGCATGCTTCCAACCTGAGTTCGATCCCCAGCATCCCATATGGTCCCCTGAGCACCGGCAGGAGTAATTCTTGAATGCAGAGCCCTGTGCATCAGTGAGTGTGACCCAAAAAACAAAACCAAACAAAACAAAAAATGATACTTGTGGGGCTAGAGAGATAATCTAGTGGGTAGGGTGCTTGTCTTGAATTTGACCAACCAGGTTTGGTCCCTGGCACCCCTTATGGTTCCCTGAGCCCCGCCAAGAGTAAAACTTGAGAACAGCCAAGAGTAAGCCTTTAGCACTGCTAAGTATCACCCAAATTTTTAAAAAAAAAATTAAAATAGTGCTTGTTGCTAGTGTTTGGAGATGATAACTCTTTCCAATGGAAAGAGACTGCATCCAAGAATTTTTATTGTGTAACTAGTGCAAGATAGCTGAAAGTTTTTTAGTTTTTTTCTAATTGTTGAACCGAATGAAAGAATACTTTTTTATGGGGACTGGAATTATAATACAGCAGTTAGGACATTTGCCTTGTGTTGCACTCAGCTGGGCACCCCATATGGTTTCCCAAGCTCACCAGGAGTGAACCCTGAGCTCAGCCAGGAGTAAGCCCTGAATAGTGTTGTGGATGGTCCAAAACCCATCCAAAAAATGAAAGAAGAGGGCCTGAGTGATAGTACAGTGGGTAGGGCAATTGCCTTGCACGTGGCCGACCTGGGTTCGATCCCCAGGATCCCATATGGTCCTCTAAGCACCACCAGGAGTAATTCCTGAGTGCAGAGCCAGGAGTAACCCCTGAGCATTGCTGGGTGTGACCCAAAAAGCAAAAAAAAAAAAAAAAAAAAAAAAAAAAAAAGAAGAAGAAGAAGAAAAAAAAAAGAAAACAATCCTTTTACTTTCCAAAAAAAGTAAGTATTCTAAGTACTGTGGGCAATGTATTGACTATGGATATATGGTGCTCAGGTGTTTCATCTTTCTAACAGAAAATCCAAGGGACTGACATTCTGTTTTTTTATGCCCTAAATGTGGATAGCTCATTAGGAAGGAAATACAGAACCCCTTATTCCATTTTCTTTTCAGCAGTTTGTTCTGTTCTGTCCAGAAATAACCATGAGTCTTGGTTTCTTGATAGCTGCAGAGCCTCATTCCTTTTGTCCAGCTGCCCCCTAGTGATCCTGTCTGTGAAGAGTATGGGCTGAGCTGCTCTGACACTCTAACCAACCTATTTTGGTAAGTAGATTTGCCAGGAATATTCCAGTCAAGCATTTTTTCCTGAGTTCCTTAGTTGATGTTTTTACATGTGGCCTTGTGTTATTTTTAAAGATAGTTATGGGGCCAGAGATAATAGTATGGTATGCATGTGCTGATCCCTGTTTGATCCCTGGTACCAAAAATGGTTCCCTGAGCAATATCAGGGGTCACTCCCTTAGCTCAAAGACTGGAATAGCCCCTGAGAACTGTTGTATGTTGCTCAAAAAGCAAACAAAAAATAGAGTGATTTCGTGCCCTATAGTTTCATAGGTGGGTGGGAATACTGCTGGGAAGGAAGATTTATAGAGCTCAGGTACTCATAAACTGAATCCCTAATACTCAGGAGCATGTTGAGGGATGTTGTAGGTTTTGTTCATTACATTAACGTACTATCTGGGGCTAGAGCAATAGTACAGTGGGTAGGGCATTTTCCTTGCACGTGGCTGACCTGGGTTCAGTTCCCAGCATCCCATATGGTTCCCCAAGCACTGCCAGGAGTAATTCCTGAGTGCATTTGCCAGGAGTAACCTCTGTGCATCACTGTGTGTAACCCAAAATGCAAAAACATACCATCTGGAGCTGGGTAACGCCTGTGCCTGACCTGAGTTTGATTCCTGGCACTCCATATGGTACCTGGGCACCGTCGAGAGTGATCCCTGAATACAGAGCTAGAAATAATCCCTGAACTGCCAGGTGTGACCCCCAAAAAAAACAAAAAGATTGTTCCATCTGATCTGGTTTCTGTCCTTTTCACCTGTCTGCCCTGTGCGTGTTCGTTTATCCTGATAGCATCTCAGGCTTCGTTTCTCTGTGTGCTCATGGGGTTGGAAGGAGTTCAACGGACAGACAGTTTTTCTTTATCAACCGGAGACCATGTGACCCAGCCAAGGTATTGACTTTGTAAAAAGTTTTTGTATTAGGTGTTTAGGACTGGCTTTAACATTTTATTTTTGAATTTAGTGACTTTCTCTGGTGGAAACAATTTACATTGCTTCTGCCTCAGGCTTAAACTGGTTCTCTTTTCATGCTTCAGGGGCCGTGAGGGTTCAGGCCTGACTGCATCTTCAGCAGTGGTGGACCTTAGGAATGCTTCCTGTTCCACAGAGATGCTGTGGAATCACTCCTGTGCCATTGATGTGGCTCAGAAGTTTGCACACCTGCATTTTATATGTGAGGCTCTGAGTGTGAACCTCAGTATCACTTGCCCTCCTCCCCACACTGCCAGATGTGGCTGTTACGGTAGCCATAGTAACAAGATAAAACTTCTACTGTCAGCCAGGAATGGTCTGACTTTAAATTTATTGTGTGTATTGTAATTAGTGTGAGTTTATGGTTTCTCTCTAATGGATTTCACAATCTCATTATAAAGTCATCTGCCTATATTTCTCAGCGCATGACATTGTGTTTTTATGAGCATTTTGACTGCACCTGCATTTAATTGATATTTCCTTAAGAGCATCTGTAGGCTGAAGAAATATTCTGTTGTTTAGGAATTTCTGATTTAAGATATCCTTTTTAGGGCTCAGTGATAGACCACGTGACTTGTATGAGGCCTTGGATTTAGTGTGTGCGTACACAACACACACATACACAGACACACACAATTCTTTTGAAGAGTGTGAGGAAAAGTTTTTGGCTAATATTCTGGTTATCTTGATCCTGAGATGGTTTTGGTTGAGGGGTTTTATTTATGCTATATATATATATTTTTTTTTATATATATGGCTGGAGTGATAGCACAGCGGTAGGGCATTTGCCTTACAAGTGGCCAACATGGCCGACCCGAGTTCGATTCTTCCGCCCCCTCGGAGAGCCCGGCAAGCTACCGAGAGTATCTTGCCTGCACGGCAGAGCCTGGCAATCTACCCATGACGTATTGGATATGCCAAACACAGTAACAACAAGTCTCATGATGGAGACGTTACTGGGCCCGCTAGAGCAAATCGATAAACAACAGGAGGACCGTGACCGTGATATATATATGTTTATATGTATGTATGTATTAATGTATGGAATTACCATATGGTGTTCTTTGCAAATTATTGGTAGACAATTATACTTCAATAAAGCTATAATAATCTTTGGTTTTATATAGATTTCCCGGCTTGTGAATGAGGTCTATCACATGTATAATCGACATCAGTATCCATTTGTTGTTCTGAACATTTCTGTTGATTCCGGTGAGTTCCACCAGGATTTCATTTATATTGGCTATCTTTGCTTACGAGAATAAAATGAAAGTATAGGGTCAAGGAGATCGCTCAGTGGATAGGAAGGAGTGCATGCATCAGTGATCATTGGATAGGAAAGCATGCATCAATGGCTGAATAAATAGCAGTACTCCTACACTAAAAAAAAAAAAAAAAAAAAAGGAAGAAGTGCATGCTTTGAGAGCTGGAGCTGTGGGCTTCATCTCCAGTACTACATGATTCCTCAGCACTTTCGGGAGTTACCCTGAGCGCCAAGCGGAGCCAAATCCTCTGCACCCCTGGATTTGGCCCTAAAATAAATAAGCAAAAATGAAGCATAAGTCTCTGATAATACTAAAGAGAGACTTTTGGTGATATGTTGTTGTTTCCTCCCTCCACCTCATCTGGTGATAGATTTTAAAGAATTTTAATTTTACTTTGTAGAACTTAGTTTTTATAAGTTATTTAAGCTTTCTACTTGAAACTACAATTATATTACTAGGAAAATCAACTTCTCTGTTAATCAAGGGAGAAAGACTGAAATTTTCTTCTTAATTTTGAAAATGTTTTTTTCTCTCTGTTAAAATTCTGGATTGTGCTACCTGATTTTTTTAAATTTATGTTTTTTGGGAGGGTTGAGGGCATGCCCAGCAGTACACAGAGCTTATTTTTGGTTTAAGAATCACTCCTAGGCTGGAGCAATAGTACAGTGGGTAGGGCATTTGCCTTGCACATGGCCGACCCGGGTTCGATTCCCAGCATCCCATATGGTCCCCTGAGCACCGCCAGGAGTGATTCCTGAGTGCAGAGCCAGGAGTAACCCTTGAGCATTGCCGGGTGTAACCCAAAAAGCAAAAAAGGAAAAAGAATCACTCCTAAGGGGCTGGAGCGATAGTACAGCAGGTAGGGCATTTGCCTTGCACATGACAGACCTGGGTTCGATTCCTAGCATTCCATATGGCCCCCTGAGCACCGCCAGGAGTAATTTCTTAGTGCAAAGCCAGGAGTAACCCCTGTGCATTGCTGGGTGTGACCCAAAAAGAAAAAGAAAAAAAAATCACTCCTAGGTGGGGTCCTGAAGATTAAACCTGGGTCGGGCATGTGAAAGGCCAGTGCCCTACCCACTGTATTAGTTGCTCTAGCCCTAAGTTGTTTTTTTTTTTTTAATAAAAAATATTACTTATTGAGACTAGAGAGATAGTACAGCAGGTAGGGTGCTTGCCTTACACACGGCCAACCCAGCTTCAATTCCTGTATGGTCCCCCTGAGCACCACCAGAACTCATTCCTGAGTGCAGAATCAGAACCTGTATGGTCCCCTGAGCATCACTAAGTGTGACCCAAAAACAAAAACAATTTTTTTCTCTTCTTCCCTTTTGCTGCTGCTGCTCTTGTAAAGGTTGGAGTTTGAGCAAGCCTTGACTTTCTGAGGCACCTTGTTCCTCGTGGCAGTGTCCCTGGAGGTGACACATGTCCTTGTGCTTGCATGCACCAGGCTGTGGGCTGGAAAGTCACACTGATTCTGCCAGGGCTCCCGGACTGCAGAAATGCAGGGATGTGCTCAGTGCATATCCCACGAACCAAGATGACCTCTCACTGCGCGCAGCACAGCAGATGCCTTCTGCCACCTGATCACTTGATCACTTGACTTCCCGTTAATCATCAATTTGCTTGAGCGGGCGCCAGTAACGTCTCCATTTGTCCCTGTTGCGTGCTAGTGTGGCCCAATGGCATCTGTTCGTTCTAGGAACACAAAGAGCCTCAAACCGATCATTCATGATCTTGATGAAGAAGTCTGACCATCTGGTAGGTGGGTGGCCACACTGTCTTTTGACATCCTGTGGAATCCAGTCGGTAATGGCTCAAGTCCAGCGGTCATCTCTAAATCTCATTACGTGACCAGCCCATCTGATTTTTGACGCCTTGGCAAATGAGACAGCGTCCCTGATTCTTGATCGTCGATGAAGGTCGGAACTCCGGATTCCTTCTCTCATTTGAGTGAATCGTGATATTCCAAGAATAGCTCTTTCAATTCCTCTTTGGGAGATCCGAATAGCGTTCTCATCCTGTTTGCATAGGGCCCAGGTCTCTGAGGCGTATTTTAATGCAGGAAGAACAGTGGAATCAAAGAGATGTGCCCGGAGCTGGAGGTTCTTCATCCTCTTAGCTATTTCTTCGATGCTCTTGAAGGCGTTCCAAGCCGCTCTCTTCCTCCTGCGCAGCTCGGGTGTCAGGTCATTTGTCATTTGACTTCTCGACCTAGGTACACATAACTGTTGCATTCAGAGATGGTCGTTCCATTGAGAGCAAATGGAGCATCAGGAACAAGGCTGTTTCTCATAAACATTGTCTTCGTAAGATTCAGCTGTATTCTGACCTTTCCACACTCACGGTTGAAGTTGGCCAGCATTTGTGCCGCTTGGCTAATGTTTGGTGTTATTAAAACAATGTCATCAGCAAAGCGGAGGTGGTGTAGTTGCCGACCATCTATCTTCACTCCCATTCCTTCCCATTCCAGTCGTCACATGATGTTCTCAAGGGTGGCACTGAAGAGTTTCGGTGAAATGGTATCACCCTGCCGAACCCCTCTCTTGACATCAATGATTACTTCTTTGTAGAATGGTGAGATCCTGGTACTGAATCCATAATACAGCTCACGGAGGATCTTGATGTATTGAGTTTGAATGCCCTGATTGGCTAGTGCTTCAATGACCGCTTCCATCTCAACAGAATTAACGGCCTTTAAATCAATGAACGTTAGACAGAGTGGCATCTTGAACTCCCGAGAAACCGCAGTGAGCTTGGTTATCGTGTGGATATGGTCGATGGTGCTAAATTCTTTGCAGAACCCGGCTTGCTCTCATGGTTGTCCTTCATCTAGTGTTCTGCCAATCCTATTCAGGATGACTTGAGTGAACAACTTGTAGATGACAGACAATAGGCAGATCAGGCGATAGTTGCCAATGTCATGGATGTCTCCCTTCTTGAACAGTAGTACAGTCCTGCTGGTTTTCCACTGGGACGGAACCTTGCATTCAGACAGGTAACGTGTGAAGAGCCAAGCCAGCGTATTGATGAGTACTGATGGCAGGTTCTTCAGGTGTTCAGGTCTGACCTTGTCTGGGCCGGGTGCTGTTCATTTCTTTACTGACGAAATGGCATGTCGGATTTTGGAAGGGAGAACATTGGGAACGACATATCCATCTTGTGGAATTTGGTATGTTGGCAGGTGGACATGGCTATTGAAGAGATTTGAGTAGAAGTCATGGATAATCTTCTCCATTGCCCTTCTGGAAGATGTGATAGATCCATCAGGACTTCGGAGGGCAGTCATCTTGGTCTTGTAGTTGGCGAAGGACAGGCGGGCATTACGAATACTTTTCCCAGCTTCTGCCGCATCTACCATCACTTCTGCTCTTCTCTCTTTGAGGTCTTCCTTGATCGCATCTCTGCACTGCTTTGCGAGTTTGGACATTCGCTTGCAGTTGCCTGAGGCATGCACCAAGCCACATTGGCGAATAAGCTCAAGAGTTTTCGAAGACAGATGTTTTTTTGTGGCTATCTCTCTCTTGGCATTCCTCGCACAATCATGGAGGTGCTGAACCAGTCGATCATATTCCTCGTCAATGTTGTCAACAATGGCATTTTCCCATGTTGCCGCAATAGTGCCAAAGAGCTCCCAGTTGATGGTCATTCTGGGAGTTCTCTTCTTAAACTTTGCAGCCCTTTTTCCCCGCTCTGTGAAGTAGAATTTTGCACAAAGGAGACGGTGGTCCAATCCCGTTTGGAATTTTGGACGACATCGGTTAGGCAAAATCATCAATTGAATATGATGTGGTCTATTTCGTTGTGGAATCATCCACCTGGAGACTCCCATGTCCAATGTTTAGATTCAGCCTTCTGGAATCTTGAGTTACCATGGATGGTCTTGGTCGACATGATGAACTCAGACGGTCTCTCACCCTGTTCGTTCCATTCTAGGCCACCTGAATAAAGCGTTTCATAGCGATCACCCCAGCAGTGCTGAGGATAGGGGCCTGGGACCATTTTTGGTGATTCTCAGGCCCCAGCTGTCAGCTCTTGGAGGCTGCCAGTGTCACACCCTGGCAGCATGGTAGGGCTGGGGATTGAACTTGGTCATTTGTTTTGGGGTCACATATTCGCTGATGCTCAGGGATTACTCTTGATGGTGTTTAGGGGACCATACAGGAGACAAAGGATTGAACCCTGGCTGGTCATGTGCAAGGCAAGCGCCCTCCCTGTCTCTCCAGCCCCTGAATTCAGGGTCTTGCATATGCTAAGCATGTACTCCACTTCAGAAACATTTTAGTATAAGCTTATTAATATACCAAAGTGTAGCAGTAGCTTGAGTTTTGGGGGTGGAGACCCATTTCTGGTGACTCTTGGCCAGCCAGGCTGGAAAGTTCACTGCAAGGTCCCTGTGATGTTATGGGGGTCAGAGGCCCACTACTGCTGTGCTGGGAGGGGGGGGGTGGCAATGTAGTTCAAGGAATTGAACCCAGGTTCTTGTCTCTGCAGGGCATTGCCCAGCCCCCGAGCCCTCCTTTCCAGGGGTGCCTTTGGTAAGTGCACTTGAATAAAACAGAAGTTGCTGTTGTCGGATGTGAATTTACACCTCAGGCTCTCTTTCTTGCTTTAGAATGTGTTGATATCAACGTGACTCCGGATAAAAGGCAGATTTTGCTGCAGGAAGAGAAGTTATTGCTAGCAGTTTTAAAGACGTCTTTGATAGGAATGTTTGAGAGTGATGCCAATAAGCTTCATGTGAATCAGCAGCCACTGTTGGATATTGAAGGTAAGACTAATACAAGCCCATGATCAGCTTCTACAGTAGAGAGCTAGGATGCTTAGTTTCTTTTTTCTTTTCTTTTCTTTTTTTCAATTTTTTGGGATGATATTCTCAAGCAGTGCTCAAGGGTCCTGGTGACCCTTGGTCAGCCTGCCTGGTAGTTTAAGGTTAGGGCCCCATGTAACCCAGGCTACTGGGGCAGAGCACCTGGAGTGCTGAGGCCTTTCTGGGTGCCTGCATGTTTGAGCACTGGACCCTGACCTGGTGCTGTTTCCCACTCCTGAGGGAACAATGTTTTTAACAGGACCAAAATCTTTTTGAGACAAATGTGTCATCCGTGCAGTAGGTAGTTTGGTTGAAATGAAAGGGTGACCTTGTGAGCACACACAGGCATAGATTCTTCCTGAACCCCAGGTGGTTTTTGAGATGAACTCTCCCCACCTGCTGTGAGGCTTCTGGGAATTTCCGAGTTCTCAGGTAGTTTCATGTTTGTCACTTTCATCTTTTCTCTTCAGGAGGGATGTTTAGGAGCCTCTCTGCTGCTTCCCCCCTGGCACTGTTGGTTCTTCTCTGATTTTGCATAGAAATCAGGCTGGCACACAGCAGATGGGCAGCTGGAATCAGTCATTCTCCGACCTGGTGATAAGGGATCAGCCACTTGTTTAATCATCTACAGCATGTGCACGCGGGCATCTGGAGGGTCTGATGCAGGCCCACTGTGCTCTGGGAGATGGAGTTGGTTGCAGCCTGCTGGCACCTCTGAGAGCCAGATGCGTTCCTTAGGGTTCACCCTCGCTGAGCCAGCCTGCCCTGAGTGTTGGACTGGTCAGGGATGGGGGTGCTAGGTAGTTGTCTGTGCCCCTTAAACTAAAGGTTTGAGAGCAGCCAGGAAACTAGGTCTGGGGACAAGGAAGGTGATCCTATCAATACTCCTCGTGTTGTTCCCAGTAGAGCAAGTAGCTCTGGGATTACGCTTTGTAGCATTCCCACAGGTGTTGGGAGCCACTGGCCAGTGGAAAGACATAGGGGCCCTGGGGGCATGTGGGAGGTGATATGATTCTGTTCTGACATTGCCTGACTCCTAAGTGGGGGTAAGAACCATTTGGTATCAGTAGGTTAGGCTTTGTGAAGCCCACTAACCTGAGGATATGGTGAGACTATATAGTGAGGCGGTGGGACTGGGTACCTTCGCACTCATACCCACAATTGCAACTATGAGTATGGCCTGTGGTAGATCAACCCTGAGAGCTGGGAATGGCACCTGCAGAGCCACCTCTATACTTTGTGGTATTGCCAGTAGTAACCATATTCCTCACAGCTGACCCTGTAGCTTTGTTTGTTTGGGGGCCATAACTGGCGATTTTCAGGGGAGCTCAGGGGCCCATGCAGTGCTGTGCTGTAACCCAGGTCTTCATTGTGCCAAACCTGAACTCTCTTCCTCTAGGTCATTCCCTAGGCCTAAAGAGCTTGTTTTTTGAGAACATCCTGTTCAGGCAGAAATGGCATTTTGGTTCCTTAAGTGTTATCCCAGTCATTCTTCTCTATTTCCACTTAGGTCACTCGATCAAAATTTCTTCAACAGCAGTGGAAATGCCACTTCCAGGGATGCAATCCCATCCCGCCTCGCCAGGGGCTCGTGGAGAGGAGAGAAGGGCCGTGAGCATCTCCAGACTGAGGGAGGCCTTTGCTCTCCATCACACAACCGGGACCGTGACTCCGCACCCGAAGACCGCTGAGCCTAAGCAAGTTTCACCCAGACAGAAAAGAAGCATCCCATTGTGTGGCAGTGGGGATCTCCTCAGCTCCCAGAAGCTTGTCGTGGGCACAGGTTCCCCTGTCCCTCCGGAGGGGCTGAGGGGTTTAGATCAGAGTCCCCAAAACCAAATGGAGAAGGACTCGGGGTATGGCAGCACATCAACCAGTTCAGAGGGAGGCCTCAGCACCCCCGAAATGGGTACTTTATCCAGCAGTGAGGGGGCAGCCAGCTCCCTTGAAGACAGGTTTTCACAAGATAGTGTGACAGCTCATGAGAGGCCCCCTGAGGCCAGCTGTCCTATTTCCACCTCCAAGAGTCCCCTGGACCAAGAGGACAATGGAGACGAAGGGGGGGATCTGCCTCCACCCACTAAGCGCTTCAAGACAGAGGAAGGGGCTGGCAGCCCTGGCCAGCTGCTTGAGCCGCAGCACCCACCAGACTCTCAGGTGGACGTGGCCGTTGACATCAGTAAGAAAATAGTGCCCCTCCACTTCTCCATGCGTTCTTTGTCCCAGCGAGTAAAGCATCTACGGCACCAACAACAGCAAGGAGAAGGTGAACAGAGTTACAGAAAGTTCAGGGCCAGGATTTGCCCCGGTGAAAACCAGGCTGCGGAAGAGGAACTTAGGAAGGAGATCAGGTAAAATCCTTCTCAGCAACATGGGTTCCCTGACTTGAGCGAGCGGTACAGGGGACCCAAGATGAATGGCCATGCTCAGCTCTGTCCCCAGGTGTCTTCTCTTGGGCTCAGGACCCTCGGTGGCCCTGCTCCGACCCAGGGTCTGCCCTGCACCTGCTCCTCCTCCCTCCCTGCCCCATGTCCTCAAGCTGATTAGCCTTGCTAGGGCATACCTGGCTCTGATTTCTTCCCTGGGTTGCACCACAAATGACACCCTGGTGCCAGCTTCCCACTAGCCACAGCGTGACAGTGATGAAAACCCATTTCCCAAAGTGTAATTGTGTCGGTTGCAAAATTACTATGTTGCTTTTTCAAGGTGAAGTTTAGTGGTTGAGTCCAGGAAATTAACTTCCACAGTAGAGCACATCCCATACTAATGTTTGCTGCAACTTTGTGCTACTTCAAGTGGAAATAGTGGAAGTTGTGTGCTACCATGGCTGTAAGACAGAAACAGCATATCCAGGGGCTTGAGTGATAGTATGGGAGTGGGGGCGGGGGACAGGGTGCATGCAGCTGGCATAGGTTCAGTCTGGTCTGGGTTCAATCCCTGGCACCTCTTATGGTCCCCCAAACCCTGCTAGGAGTGATACCAGAGCACAGAGCCAGGAGTAAGCCCTAAGCACAACTGGCTATGAAGCCCAAAAAAGAAACAGCATATCTCATACCACAAGAGGAATCCACCATGGCCTAACTTTCTCTCCTCACCAAAAGCAAAGGAAGAAAGAAACAGCAGTAGATCTTTCCTTATGGGGCAGGAAAATACCTTGATGCAATTAGTGGTAAGGGTCCACTTTCATTTTGTATTTTTAAAACATTATTTGTATAGGGGCTGGAGCGATAGCACAGCGGGTAGGGCGTTTGCCTTGCACGCGGCCGACCTGGTCGGCCCAGGTTCGATTCCTCCGCCCCTCTCAGAGAGCCCGGCAAGCTACCGAGAGTATCTTGCCCACACAGCAAAGCCTGGCAAGCTACCCGTGCCATATTCAATATGCCAAACACAGTAACAAAAAGTCTCACAATGGAGACGTTACTGGGCCCGCTCGAGCAAATCGATGAACAACGGGAGGACAGTGCTACAGTGCTATTTGTATAAGGGGCACAGTGGGTAAGGTACTTCTCTTGCACACGGTGACCTGGATTTGATCCCTGGCACCTCATCCCCCCAAGCACAGAGCCAGTAGTAAGCCCTGAGTATCGCTGGGTGTGACCCAAAAATAAAGCATAAAACAAAAATCAAAGCATGACATTAATAGGCCAAAGTCTGGAAGGATGTAGGCCAAAATGTTCTGCATAGAAACTAATGCAATTCCTGGGAAGGTGAAGTGCATGAGTGAATAACAAATGTTTTCTTTAAAAAGTTGAATTACTGAGATTGGGGAGATGGCACAGGACTTGGGGAGCAGGCCTTGGTTGTGGCCAGTCCTGGTTTGCTCCCCCTGCGCTGCATGGTCCTTCAAGGCATCATGAGTTAGAGGCCACTGAGCATTCTGGGGTGGCCCGGATAATCCCCAGCACTGCAGGGTCTGAGAAGCACTGCATCCTCTGGTCCTTGCACTGAACTGTGCTCTATTGTCTTAGAATTGTCGGAAGGGGTCCCTAGGATCCCGGACACTACTTGGGAGCCTCCCCGCCAAAGATAAAAATGAAAAGTGGGAAGGGCTGGAGCAGTAGTACAGTAGGTAGGGTTTGATCCCCAGCACCACAGATAATCCCTGAGAGTAGAGCCAGGAGTAAACCTGAGCATCACTGGATGAGTCTCAGAAACCAAAAGAAAAATGGGATTATTATTGATTGTGGTTTGCATTTTTTTTCTGTTTCTTAAACATATATTGTTGTTTTTTAATTATTGTGAATTACAAAGTTACAATATTTATGATTGAGCTTCAGGAATATATTGTTCCAACACCAGTCCCTTCACCAGTGTCCCCTACCTTCCACCAATGTTCCCAGTTTCCCTCTCGCCCCCCAGCCTGCCTCTGTGGCAGGCACTTGTCTCTTCCCCTGTGTTCCCTTCTATAGCTTATTTCCTTCACTCCCTGTATTTCTTTTTCTTGTTACTGTTTTTATCATCAGGAGCTGTTTTTTAAATATCTTGTAATGTACATTTGTTGTGTGCAGTAAAGCAATGTTTGCAGAGATGGAAGTCATAGGCCAGTTTAACCTGGGATTTATCATCACCAAACTCAACGCAGACCTCTTCATAGTGGACCAGCATGCGACGGATGAGAAGTACAACTTTGAGATGCTCCAGCAGCACACTGTTCTTCAGGGCCAGAGGCTCATAGCGTGAGTTCCCATCTGGGCCGAGGCTTCACAGGTTCTGAGAGCTAGCCACTTATGTGCATGGGTGTGTGCCTACGTATTTTCGCCGTAAGCGTTCATCCCTACAGTAGATTCGCTTAGAGCCATAGCTGGAATGCCAAGACTGGAGCCAGGCCTGCTATGGACCCAGCCTTTTGCGCTATCTCCCAGGCCTTAGAGTAGATTTGGGGGGTGGAGGGTTTGATTTTTGGCCACCACTGGGTGTGCCCCAAAAGAAAACCTTGAAAAGGAAGTTCTCCGAGTTCTGTGGCGGGAAAGCACGTAGTGGAGTATGCTGTTTTACAGTGCCCTTTGGAATGCTGCAAGCGAGAGAATCCTGCTACCACGTTAATTCCATTCTCTTCAGAGCTGTTTAACTTCAGGTCTGGTGTCATCTCTTGTCTTTTTTTTAGACCTCAGACTCTCAGCCTCACTGCTGTCAATGAAGCAATTCTGATAGAGAATCTGGACATCTTTAGGAAGAATGGCTTTGATTTTGTTATCGATGAAGCTGGTGAGTGGTTAGTGTGCTAGGCAAGCTCTGAGGGCTGAATGTGGTGGTTGTTGTTGGGTGAAAATGGCTCCTTCCAAAGCACCACATGTCTGTCTGCTCTCTCCATGGGTCGTTTGCAAGTGGCACACAAATGAAATGCATTTTTCAAAACACGAACTTCTCCAAATTTTATTCTTTCAGCGCCAGTCACCGAAAGGGCCAAGCTGATTTCCTTGCCCACCAGTAAGAACTGGACATTTGGACCCCAGGACATAGATGAGCTGATCTTCATGCTAAGTGACAGCCCTGGGGTCATGTGCCGGCCTTCCCGAGTTAGGCAGATGTTCGCCTCCAGAGCCTGCCGGAAGTCTGTGAGTTGAGAGGGAAGTCCTCCGTGAGGTGTGGGCCGCTGGCCTGTCATTGCAGCGCTTCTCACTTTTGCCCCCAGTTGGCATGACAGGAAACTTCCTGAGTACCTGTTCTGTCTGCCACTATAACCCCGCCGTTGGCATGGCTGCCTTTACCCCTAATGACAGCTGCCTCACTTGGGGGCAGTCTTCTTTGGGTACTTTTAACAACCTATGCCATGAAGGCTTGATGCTCCTTCTGCAAAGGGGGGCATCTGCCAGGCCTGCCTACTGGTTGGGGGTGAGGGTCTCTTCTGCAGGTACCAGGTACACACCAGGAGCCGTTCGCTTGGGCTAAGTTGTGCTTGGGCTAAGGCCTGGGTGCTGTAGCACCATTCCCACAGGGGCATTTCTGAGCCTCTGCTGCAGCCCCCTGATCCAGGTGCCAGGGACACCCGGTGACAGAGGTAATAGCAAAGAAAGGCCTCAGGGAGCTGATTATTCTAGTGGGAAGAAAAAGACAGAAGGCATGATTGCCAGCAAGTTGGGTCAGGAAGTGGACATTGGTTAGGAGGAGTGCTCGGGGCCCAGGTCAGTGTCCAGCACCACCTGCCTTAGCACTGCCATATCACAGGCTGGCACTGCACCGGCTGGGCTGGTGGGCCAAGTATCAGGAGTGGCCCTGGGCCTTCCAAGCCCTGCTGAGGGCTCCCACAGGAAGAGCTAACATAATTCACACAGTGTCTGTGGAGAGGAAGGGCACTCAGGCCTGAACAGTGAGGTGGACACCCAGGGCCACTAGGTGGACGTGTGGGAGGTGGCTTGGGTCCCAGGAAGAGCAGACAGAACAGAGGCCCAGGGTTTCTCAAAGCCAGAGGCCAGCCCAGGTAACTTAGAGGAGACCCTGGTGCAGCACCTGGGGGTTTGAGCCAAATGTAGAGACAGCTGGGGGTGCGGGAATAGCAGAGGGGGGTGTGTGTGAGGGAGGAGGCTGGAGACAGGAGGTAAGAGTGGTCTCAGCCACTGGTTCCAATCTGTTGGTCTGAGAGGAGGGTCTGACATGAGTGACTCCAGAGCCAAGGAAGCACAGGTGCAGAGGGGAAAGAGGACAGATGGGCTCAGGCTTGTCACCCCTCCTTGCTGCCCAGGGCTCAATCTCTGCTTGCTATGAGTCAGTGGTGGCTGCTTGTCTCCACCTGGTTGGCAGGTAGTGATTGTGCCAGAGCTGGGCAAGGCTGCAGCACACAGGCTGAGAGGAGGCCAGGATGGGAGCAGGACCCAGGACCGTGAAGCAGGGGGTGAGCGCAGGCCTGGGCCTGGGGAGCAGTATGGCGGCCCTGAGCAGTGGCTTGCCCTGTGTCCTAGTGCTCAGAGTAGGTGGGGTCGCCAGATGTGGGCAGGTGTGGCCGGTGACGCCGCATCAGGAAACTCAGGCCGTGGTGCCAGTGCTGGACACTGACAGACCCGAGGAAGGTGTCCCTGTCCTGAGATGCTGGGTGGCAGGTTCTTGTGATGGAGCTGCTTGTGACCCCTTTTAACTCAAGAAGTGTTTTTGTTTGGACCACACCCAGCAGTGCCCCAAATGGGGTGTTAGGATAGAAGCAAGGCTGGCTGCAAGGCAAGCGTCCTACTCCCCTGTATGATCTTTCCTGCCCTGGTACCTGAGAAGCTTTTACATGGCTTCATGTGTGTAAAGTAGGTATGAAAATCAAACACCTGGTGATAATAAGCCAAATTTATTTTGAAACAAACACAGGGGCCCAAAGAGGTAGGACAGTGGGTAGGGTGCTTGCCTTGCTTATGGCAGGACCTGGGAGAATGGCCAAATGTAGGGAGCTATTGGCGGTACAGAGATGGCAGAGGAGTGGGTGCAGGAGGGAGGAGGCTATCCTTGGCACCCCATATGGTTCCCTAAGTCCCTCCAGGAGTGAGCCCTGAGCACTTCCAGGTGTGATCAACTCCCCCATCCTCCCACCCCCCCACCCCACCCCAAAGAAAGAAAAAGAAAATGAAGATAATTAAAGAATCCAGCTGCTAGAACACTATGGTTGTTGAGGTGAGCAGTGTGGGCGGCTGGGCGGGTGTGGCCCTCTCGGTCCAGGAGACCAGAGTCCCCTGCCATGGGCCCTGCCAAAAGCTGGTCTGGTCTCAGGAAGGTGCAACAAGGGATCCAAACAGCAGCGTTCTTGGGTGAACCCGTTTTCAGGACCTGTGTTTAAATTTTTTTTCCCCCACCTGGTGGTGCTCAGGGCTTCCTCCTGGCTTTGCACTCAGAGATCACTCCTGGTGACCTCGGGACCATATGGAGTGTTGGGGTTTGAACTCGAGTTGGCCGCATGCAAGACATGCACCCTCCCCATTGTCCTATCGCTCAGGACCCCTGGGCCTGTTTTTTTGAGGTCTTGTCCAGCCTTGTCAGAGCATTGTCCAACCAGAGCTGCCCTTCACCCCGGAAGCCAGTCCAACATGAATTGAAGCTGTTGTCTCTCATTCAGGTGATGATCGGAACTGCTCTCAACACAAGTGAGATGAAGAAACTTATCACCCACATGGGTGAGATGGAACATCCCTGGAACTGTCCCCATGGAAGGCCGACTATGAGGCACATTGCCAATCTGGACGTCATTTCTCAGAACTGACAATGTAGCTCAGCTGCCGGAAGTCCAGACTCTAAGTGTGGAGCTTCGGATTTGAAAGGCAGGGTTGTAACGAACCAAGCTTGGTTTCCAAAATTAACCTCTGCTACTTAAAAAGTACTGGGTTAGTTTGAAAGTGATCTTGAAAACCTTTCAAGACACCTTTCATTGCTTGCCACAGGGGATCTTCTGCACTTTGTGTAGGCAAGAGCACAGCTTACAAAGAACATGATGTGGCTCACTAAAGGCACGTGGCTAATGCAGAAAGAGGGAAAAAACAATCCGGAAGCACTTGAGGTGTTACCTGGGCCTCTGGCTGCATGTGGCGGTTAATAGTAGTTTGATTAGTAACAATTTACTTTCTTAAATTTAAAATCATGATCATCTGGTGCTGGTGGTCTTCAACCCTGATGCACCTTGAATTTTTAAAAAAGGAATAAGAGAATTTGCTTTGCTGAAAGGTCACACAGGCTGGAGCCTGGGGCTGCTGGCCTACACAGTGTTCTCGTCGGCAAGGGGAAATAAAAGATTCTGGTCTTCCCTACTTTGAATGCTGCTATGGGAGTTTGGCAGGGGAGGAAGGAGGGGTCGAAAACTGCAGGGAATTGGAGTTCTCCGCCCTCACCTGGTGCCTCATGCATCAGTTTCCCACAGAACCTTGGCCTGTTTGGGCTCTGTCAGAAAGGGGAGTGGGATGCCGCCGGGAGTCCTGAGCGGTGCTGTGTGGGCTGGCAAGCGTGGGCCCTTCTGTTCTCTCCCTTCCCCGTGGAGGTCATGCCACGTCACGTATCATATGCCATGTTGAGTACCCTTTATTCTCACCAGGACGCTCGGAGTTGGGGTGGAGAGTGGGCACAGATGTCTGATACCCAGAGCCCTGAGTCTGTAACGCATTTGGCCAGAGGGGCTTGGAGCAAGTGAGGCTGGTGCTAGCTCAGGGGCCTCTCTCCCGCTCTTGAGACCCCCCCCTCACCCCCAGCCAGGTCTGAGAAGCCGCAGGTTTCTAAAGGTGGGAGCAGGGGACCCAACTGGACGCGTGCATTGGTGGGTCTGCGCTGCTTGATGCCTCCAAGTGTGGAGGAAGTTGTGGAGCCAAGAATACTACGGGCTCCTGGTGTAGGTGAAGAGAAGTTAAGGCTCAGAGCCCAGGGTCAAGTGCTCAGGCTGGGGAGGGTCCCGCCTCTGCGATCCCTTTAAGCGGTGTGGCCGCGCCCCCGGTTGCCTGGAGACCGTCAGGCCGCGCTGCGAGGCCTCGGCTTCTGGACGTCCCAGGTGGGCGGAGCAGCGAGCCCAGCTCCTGGGACCCGACGGTTCGTGGGGGGCGACGCGGAGGGGTCCAGGAGGGCGGAGTGGTATGGCGGAAGTGGTGCGGGAGTGGGAAGAACCAAACTGGGGAGAGCCCCTCGCCCCGTCCAAAAGGGCTTCACTGTTAGAGGAGCAAGAGGCTGAGCAGGCGCCCCCCCCCCCCCCCCAGGAGACAGGAGTTGTGGGCAGGATTGGACTCAGCAGGGTGCACTCGTCTGGCATCCGGGAGATCCTAAACGCCAGCCTCAGATTCCACTCTGCCGGTGACAGCACCACCACCCACCCCAGTGCTGCTGGGGCTTGCTCCTATTTTAAGATGAAAAGTTGGGGTGTGGCATGAGAAAACTCCCTGGGCTGTAGCACGTGATGATGTGGAAGCCCCGGACCAGATCCCTGAGCTCCGTGTCAATCGAGCACTGCCAGGAGTGCTCAACCTGTGCCCAGACTTTCCCCCTAGCCAAGAAACTAAATAAGAAAGGAAACAGAAAAGCTCCTTCAGACACAGGACTGGCAGGTTGATATTCTGTCCACAGAAGTTAGACCTCAGTGGTAAAGGAAACAGTTCTTTCTTCTGACTGCATCCTGTTTGGGAAGGTGTAGGGGAATCATTAAAAAATAGAGGGGCTGGAGAGAGGGCGAGGAGGGCACTTGCCTTGCACACAGTCGACCCAGTTCGATTCCTGGCATCCCTGAGCACTGCCGGCGTATCCCCAAACAAAAACAACACAGGGCTAGAGTGATTGTACAGCAGGTAGGTTAATTTGCTTTGCACATGGCCAACCTGGGTTTAATACCCAGTACCCTATATTATACCCGGAGCCTGCTAAGGTGTGCTCTCCTGAGCACAGAACCAGGAGTAAGCCCTGAGCACCACCAGGTGTCGCCCCTAAACCAAAAAAAGGCATAGGAGCAGCCAATGCCAATAGCAAGACCATAGTATTCTGTATAAATGAGACAGCAGTCTTGGTTTCAGGCTCTAAGGATAATAGTATAATTTTTGGTATGCCCCATGCACACACAAAACTAAGAATGAGTGGCCGGAGCAATATTACAGTGGGTAGGGTGTTTGCCTTGCACGTGGCCGACCCAGGTTCGATCCCCGGCATCACATATGGTCCCCCAGCACCGCCAGGAGCCAGGAGTAATTCCTGAGTGAAGAGCCAGGAGTAACCCCTGAGCATTGCTGGGTGTGACCCAAAAAGAAAAAAAAACTAAGAACGAGGGGTGAAAGTACAGCAGATAGGGCGCTTGCCTTGGAAATAGCCCATTTGGGTTCGATCTCCAGCATCCCATATGGTCCACCTATCACACCTCAGCACTGTCAGGAGTGATCCCTGAGTGCAGAACCAGGAGTAACCCCTAAGCATAACTAAGTGTGGCCCCAAAACAAAAAAACAATATTTTAGACCTAGAATTTTAATTACCATGGAACATTAGTATTTGGAAGCTTTTACCAAAAATTGTGGTTTGGAGGCTGGAGAGAGAGTAAGGTGCTTGTCTTGGACACAGCCAACTCAGGTCCAAATGACAACCACATAAAGCCCGCCCAACTCCCGCCAGCAGTGACCTGAGCACAGGGTAGGAAAGCCTAAGCCAGCTGTGTCCCAAAACAAAACAAATTGTAGTTTTGTTTTGTTTTGGGTAATTTGGTTACAACAGAGTTGATGTTTTTCTACTGTTGCTTTGGGAACAAACCCAGTGATGTTCAGGGCTTACTGGTAGTGCTTTAGGGAACCCTATGGCATGCCAGGGATTGAAGCCAGGTCAGCTGTGTAAGGAAAATGCCTTACCTGCTATACTTCAGCCCGGTCCCTTATTTATGGTTTTGATGCATGAATTTACTACACCCCACCACTGACAAAGCACCCAGGCCACTCCACCATAGCTCCTATGTTCTTTTCTGTCCATTTCCTTGTTTGTTTGTTTGTTTGTTTTTCTTTTTGGGTCATACCCGGTGATGCACAGGGGATACTCCTGTCTCTGCACTTAGGAATTCCTCCTGGTGGTGCTTGGGGGACCATATGGGATGCTGGGAATCGAACCCGGGTCAGCCGTGTGCAAGGCAAACGCCCTACCCGCTGTGCTATTGTTCCAACCCCTCTTTGGTTTTAGTTGTTGTTGTTTGTTTGGGGGTCACAGCAGTGCTCAGGATTTAGTCCTGGCTCTGAATTCAGAAGTCACTCCTACTGTGGCTCAGGGGACCATATGGGATGCCAGAGATCGAACCTGGATTGGATGTGTGCAAGGCAAGCTGGGTTATGGTTCCGGTTCCTCTAGCTTATTTCTTTGTCCCCTCATTCACTCTTCGCAATGCTTGGTAATTTCAGTTTTGTAACCAAAGGCTGGGACTTGTCATCATCGGATTCTGGCCATTCCCTTTGTTGTTTCTCTGTGTGCCAGAGTTGAATGAGATCGTGCAGTGCTTGCTTGCCTCCCTCGGCCTTGCTTCTCCAGAGCGATCCGTGTTGCAGCGTGCCGGGCCACAGACATTCTCTAAACAAACAGCCTTTTAAAAAATTTTTCAGATAAAACTCATCAGTGCTTCAAGATAAGTAGCTTTCAGCCAAAGGAACTGTTTGGTCCTTCTGACCCTAAACTGGCTTTCTGGGAAAGATGGTGAAAGAAAAGAAAAAAACCGACAAGAGAAGCGACAAGTCTGCGCGCTCACCTTCCTCTCCCACGGACTTTCCCGAGCCAGTCAGACTGGACGGCAGTGCTGCCACGCAACCTCTGGCCTCTGCCCAACCTTCGGAAGTGCTTCGGGAGCAGCTGAGGGATGTTGAGAAGGAGAGTCAGCTGAGCGAGGACACTCTGCATTACGAAGAGCCCATCCTGACCAAGCTCATTGTGGAAAGGTACCACATCTGTTCCCTCCAGGCTCTGCAGGAAATCACCTCCCCCGCCACCACTTTAAAAATGGAAATTATCCTTCCTTCCTTCCCTGCTCTCTAGAATTTCAGGGAGAGGGCTTATCACTACTTTATCCCTGTCCCCATCACCACGAGACCCTCAGCCTGTCCCTCGGCCTAGCGAGCATCACCGGTTGGTTTGGCTGCTTTGCCAGTCTGTTTGCTTTCAGACTGTCCCACGTGTGAGGAAAATAGTCACTTCCTGCCTGACTTCACTTAGTATCACCAGCTCAAGATCATCACTTTCTGCCAAAGAGCACAATTTCCTCTTCCTCACAGCAGTGTAGTACTCCGCTGCACACAGCCCACAGCGGCTTTATCCAAGTCTTTGGAGACTTGTAGGCAGAGCCTGTGTTTATGAAGAGGGGTGCCCATAACCTCTCAGATGAGTGTCTGTGTCTCCTTGGGACAGATGCCTGCAGCAGTGTTGTTGGATCATCTCATATTTTCATGTTTTTATTGGGGCCACTCCTGGCAGTGCTGGGGGAAAGGGGGCTTGCAGTGCCAGGGCACATCTTGGGGCCTCAAAATACAAGGCGCATCCCTGGTGCCTCATTTTTGGTTTAGTCTGTTTTCCCATCCTACTCTCTGGCCCCCTGATGCCGCTGCTGTTTCCATGCGGTGCTTACAGCTTGCAGGTTGCCTCTGCGGTGGGGCTTCCAGGGGTCACATGCTCTGAGTTAGGGTGTGCTAAAGGTGTGTGTGTGGGGGGACTGTTCTCTGAGCAGGTGTCTGGGAAACGTCCCTCTGCTGGGCTCATTGTTCCCCAGCCTCCCATCACGGTGCTCACTGTCATATACTGCATTTCTCTGCAGCTACGAAGGGGAGAAAGTCCGCGGCCTATACGAGGGAGAAGGCTTTGCGGTCTTCCAAGGAGGCTGCACCTACCGCGTGAGTCACCCGGCCTGGCCCTGCTCAGGGACTAGCGGGTAGTGGTTTGGCTTTTCCCTCTTCCAAGAAATTTTACCTTGACCCCAGCCCATATTTGAGGTAAAAACGCCGTCACATCTGGGAGTCATGTGAGCTCCCTTTTTTTTTGTCTAGGATTTTTATTCGCCCTACAGATAGCTTAAGGTCAGGACAGAAAGCGATAAACAGAATTCCGGCTCCTTCCTCTTCCCAAATAGGATTTCTTGAAGGGACAAGCCTCACTGTGACACAAGACATTCAGTTTGCAGGCCGCGCTGTGGAGTCTCACCTGCTGTGATGCTTTCTGGTGACAGGCCTGTGCTCTACCGTGGTAGAGCACAGCCGAAAGTAGCCCCTGTAAGGAAATTGGCATGGCCTGGGTCAAGCGTTGGTCCTGGCCATGCTTGGCAGAACCAGCTGTGCCTTCTCACAAGAGCATTTCCCTGGGCACACCAGGCTGCCTGTGCTCCTCATGTGGGATGAGTGTCCTTGTAACAGCACCCAAGATAGCCCCTCATGTGGGATGAGTGTCCTTGTAACAGCACCCAAGATAACCCCTCCAAGGCCTTAGCACAGTGAGGGGGACAGGCCGGGTGACCAAAGGTGCCAGGATGCCCCTGGCTCCCCGGCAGTGCTTAGGGTGTCTGGACAGTGGTGCTCTGATCTGGTGGTGCTGGATTGAACTGGCCTGGTGCCCCTTCCCCTCAGCTCTCTCCCCAGAACCTCCATATTTTCTTCAGACTCACAGCCTTTGGGTTAAAATCAGTCATCAGTGAATCTTCCTGCAGTGGTGGGGAGACCAACCAAGCAGCCTTGAGGTACCTCCACCCTCGTCAGTCTGCCCAGGGTTGTCACTGATCTCTAAAGACTGTCAGGAGGGGTTGGGGATGTGACTCAAAGCAACAGGGCCTGGGTCCAGTCCCAAGCACTGCACAGCCCCCTGAGCACTGCTAAGAGCGACCACCATAGAATTGGAAATAGACCCCAACCACTACCAGGTGGTGTCCAAAGGCAAACAAGAAAAACCAGTGCTGTATCAAATCCTCATCTCCCAGCGAGGCTGCGTGATGTGACCCCCACATGCTGTGTGCTGGCCTGTAACTGGTCCTGTGTGGAGAGGAATCACTGTCCCAGAGACAGTACAGAAAATGAAGCACTTGCTTTTCATATGGCTGAGGTGGCTGCAACCCTAATTCAAATCCCTGGCCCCACATATGGGTCCTTGAGCAGCACCAGGACAGCCACCTGTTTTCCCTTGCCTCCCCGTGCCCAAGTGCCAGCTCCAGAGTAATGCTGATTTGGGGCGATGTGGTTCCTCCTTCCAGACCTCACCCCAATGAGGCAGCCCAGCTGCGGAAAGGGCTTGCTCTTGCTTTCTCAGATCGAATTTAGACATTCAGCAGTGTCTGTTAGGTTGGCGGGGGGCGGGGGCGGGGGAGGTGGCGGCACACTCAGAGGTGCTCAAGCGTTACTCCTGGCTCTGCACTCGCAAATTACTCCTGGCGGTGCTCAGGGGACCCGATGGGATGCCGGGGATCAAACCTGGTTTGCCCCCATGCAAACATGCCCTCCCCTACCAGTGAACTATCTTTCCAGTGCCTCGGCAATGTTTTTTAGGTAAGGTAAAGGTAAAGGTAAAGGCCCTCCCGTTGATCATCGATTTGCTCGAGCGGGCCTAGTAACGTCTCCATTGCAGACTTTGTTGTTACTGTGTCTGGCATATCGAATACTCTCGGTAGCTTGCCGGGCTCTCCGAGAGGGGCGGAGGAATCGAACTCGGGTCGGCCATGTTGGCCGCTTGTAAGGCAAACGCCCTACCCGCTGTGCTATCACTCCAGCCAGTAAATTATGGTTTTGTTTTGTTTTTCTTTTTGGGGTCACACCCGGAGATGCACAGGGGTTACTCCTGGTTTTGCACTCAGGAATTACTCCTGGCAGTGCTGGGGGACCATATGTGATGCTGGGAATCGAACCCGGGTCAGCTGCTTACAAGGCAAATGCTCTATTTGCTGTACTATCACTCCAGCCCCTAGTTAAATTATGTTTGACACAACATTGTGTCAATTTAAAGTTGCAAGACTTTTTGCTTTGACCCATTTATGTCTTTCAATGGGATTGCCTTTGAACACCTTCAGCCTGCCCTATTATGATCTTTTTTGGTAAGAAATAGTAGTGGGAAGAAGAGCCAAATTTATTAAGATAGATTATAATTCCATATTGTGTGGTGAGTTTTTAGTGACTTGCTCCTGTGAATTGGGTCACCCCCAGCTGTGTTCAGGGCTACTCATGGCTCTGTACTCAGAATCACACCTGACAGAGCTTGGGGAACTGTATGTGGTGCCAAGGATCAAACCTTTGTTGGTTTGTGCAGGGCAAGTGTCCTACCTACCATACTATCTCTCTAGCCCCCTAATAGGCATTCTAAACATAAATAACTATAGTAACAACTATAAATTATGTACATATATATGCATTTGTTACTCCATACTCACTATACTAACATGCAATTCCTAGTGAGGAAAAAAAAGTGCAAATATAATAATTTTGATATCTAGATATTTTAATCAAGTCGTCTACTTTAAATTATTATTGTTATTACTACTACATAGTAATGTTTGGGGCCATACCTGGAAATGGTCAGGGCCTACTCCTGGCTGTGTACTCAGGGTTCTCCTGGTACTGATGGAGTGCCTGGGGTTGGCCACATACCAGGCCAGCGCCTCACCCCCTCTGCTGTCTCTCGGCCCCCTGTTCTCTTTTTCAGGGCATGTTCTCAGAAGGGCTCATGCATGGATCTGGGACATATGTTTGGGCTGATGGACTGAAGTATGAGGTAAACTATAGAATGTGATTATTATGAGCAATAGTAGTGATTGTGAAATTAGTGATTGGATTCTCGCAGTTGAACTTCCACTTCCACATAAGGGATTCACAAGGGTTAAGAAAGTTCCCAAGGGGACCAGAGTGATAGCACACAGGTAGGGTGCTGGCCTTGCATGTGCCTTGCACGCAACCGACCCAGGTTCAATCCCTGGCACCCCATATGGTCCCCCAAGCACCGCCAGGAGTAAGTCCTGAGGGCAGAGTCAGGAGTAACCCCTGAGCATTGCCAGGTGTGACCCAAAAAGCAAAAAAAAAAAAAAAAAGTTCCCAGGGTGCCAGAGCAATAGCACTGCAGGGAAGGTGCTCGCCTTGCATGTGCCCAACCCAGGTTCAATCCCTGGCACCCCATATGGTCCCCCGAGCACTGCCAGGAATAATTTCTGAGTGCAGAGTCAGGAGTAACCCCTGAGCATCACTGGATGTGGCCCAAAGGCCACAGAAAAAATGAAAGAAAGAAAGAAAGAAAGAAAGAAAGAAAGAAAGAAAGAAAGAAAGCTCCTAGGCTGGAGTCATGCTCAGAAGACTGAAGTAGAGGTTTTGCATGCGGGAGAGCTGCAGGGTCCTCAAGCATCACCTAGAGTGAGCCTATGGAGCAAGTTGGGAGTAGCCCTGTGCACCACAGGGGGGTGGCCCCAACCTCAGACAAAAAGGGAAAGAATTGAGTGCCTGCACCCAGAGGCAGGTGATAGGGTTCGTTCCTGCAGGGCCTCAAGCTCCAAGACCCAAAGGTGTGAGGAGAAGCTGGTTCCTGCAGGGCCTCTGCTGCTTGTCACTGCCTCTTCCTTCTGTAGGTCAGCTCAGGAGTCAGGTTCTGGGGTGCAATTCACAAATACAGGTTGCTCATTCTCCGCTCTCTCATATGCCTTTAGTTTTCAGAAGTTACACTCTCCCTTCATCTGGATTCCCCCTTTTTACTGACTTCTTGTTGAACAGAAAGTGTATTTTTATTTAATTATTTATTTGTTTATTTGATTTTTTTTTTGTTTGGGGGGCCACCCTCAGTAGTGGTCAGAGCTTACTCCTGGCTTTGCATTCAGGGATCACTCTTGGTGGAATTTGGGAACTATCTGGGGTATTGGGGATTGAACCCAGGTCCACCACACAGAAGGCAAACACCTTACCTGCTGCACTATCACTCTGCCCCAGAAAGTGTATTTTTAAAGCCACCCCTAGCACTGCCCGGTCCTCTATTGTTTGTTTTTGTTTTTGCTTTTTGGGTCACACCTAGCGATACTCAGGGATTACTCCGGCTCTGCATTTAGGAATTACTCCTGGCAGTGTTTAGGGGACCATATGGGATGCTGGGGATCAAACCTGGGTCAGCCGCATGCCCTTTCCACTGTACTATCGCTCCAGCCCTGCCCAGCCCTCTGAGAGAGCGCCCCATTCTTAGCCCACCCACTGTCTGTTTGGTATGAGTAGCCTGACACTTTTCTACAGCTCAGCTGCCCGGACACATGCACCCAGAGCCAGGACTCAATCACGTGACCACTGGGCAGATGTGTAGTCGGAGCAAGGGAGGGGTCAGACACGTGACCACAGGCAGACACGTGTAGCCAGTCGAGGGATGTAGCCCAGATTGTTCAGTTTCGCACAGGTCTGAGACCTCCATCACTCCTATGGCCGTTTTGTCTTAGGGGGAGTTTGTGAAGAACATGCCCATGAACCACGGCATATACACATGGCCAGACGGCAGCACGTATGAAGGGGAGGTGACCAATGCCCTGAGGAATGGGTTTGGTGTGTTCACGTGCAGTACACACCCCGTGTCCTACATTGGTCACTGGTGCTACAGCAAGAGGCATGGAAAGGTGGGTGAGGTGGCCACGGGACCCCCACTATGAACAGGGCTGAGGGTGGGGAGGCGCAATCCTCATCTTGGAGATTCACCCCAGATGGGTCCTGAAATTTCCTTCACTCCAGATCAGCCTGTGCAAGATAAGGGATCAGGTGGTATCTGCGGGAGTAGGGACCCAGCAGGAACAGCGTGGAGGGACCAGTGGTCCAGCTCCTTGCTTCTTAATCTGGGAGGTTTAAACTGGTGAAAAAATCTAAAAGAAGTTGATTCAAACTAATGCCCTTCTGACTGCAACTCAGTGAACGTTTGCTTAGCCTCCGACCCAGGGCGGTGGACATGTCTCGGGAGAAGAGGTGTGCGCGGTGAGGCCCCATCTAATCCCACCTTCCTCTTTGGCATACTCACAACTCAGACCCACCAAACCCCATGACCTCCCTGCTCCTTCCGCCCCACACTGTGCTCTCTCCCTTCTGGCGGGGGAGGGCAGCTCGGCATGCAGTGCTCCCCTCCCCTCCCTTATGACATGGTCCAGACTCTGCAGCCATCCTTCAGACAGCCGGGGCAGGGCTGACTCATGACAGAGGTGCCTGGAAGCTGCCCTGGGAGATCCAAGGAGAGGAGAAGCACACACGTGTACCACAAGCACATGTGGACATGCACACACATGCACACGCCCCGCCCAGAGGAACAGCACACACATGCATGCGCCCACATAGACATGCACACACATGCACACATTCTGCCCAGAAGAACACCCCACACATGCATGTACACACATGAACATGCACACACATACACACTCCCCACCCAGAGAAACAGTACACACACGCACACATGTGGACACGCACATACATGCACACGCCCTGCCTAGGCAGGAAAGGAGCCTGGGTCAGGTTCTGTCCCCTTGGCCCATGTCGTGGAGGAGTCATCCAGGTCAGGCTGTGTTGTGCCCACTAGGGTTGGCAGGGAGTGTGCCTCTGGTTGCAGCAGAAAGGGCTCCATGCAGAAAATGGTGCCCGGGCGCATGGACACCACTTGCCTCATTCTGAGTGCCCCGTGTGGGATCTGATGTCTGGCGGTCACTAGCCAGGAGAGAAGAGAGTGGGACGCTCCCTCCCTCTCAGCCCTACGTGGCACCTGGCTGCCACTCGGGGTCAGTACTAATACTGTGCCCTTTCCTTGACTGTGAGACTGAGGCCAAAGTCGGTCCCTTGCCTGCTTGTCTGGCGCCTTCCGAGAGGACTGCACTGGTTCACTGAGGCTGCTTTCCCCATGTTCATTTCAGGGCTCCATCCACTTCAATCAGGAGGGCACCTCCTGGTACGAGGGAGACTGGGAATACAACGTCAAAACGGGCTGGGGCATAAGATGGTAGGTGTGACGGTGGCCCCTGAGCCCCGCATGGTCTCTGCACCTCCCTCCCTCTGCTGGCGTGGCAAGGGCCTTATCCACCCTGGCTTCGTCTCTCCCGCCCAGAAATGGTGCAGGTGAAGCCAGCACACCCTCCCGCTTTCGTGGATTGCTCTGTGTCCTCTCCGTTCTTGCATCTCTATCTCGACTCGTATATTCTTTCTTTCTTTCTTTCTTTCTTTCTTTCTTTCTTTCTTTCTTTCTTTCTTTTTCTTTTATTTTCTTCTTTTTTTTGCTTTTTGGGTCACACCTGGCAATGCGCAGGGGTTACTCCTGGCTCATGCACTCGGGAATTACTCCTGGCAGTGTGCAGGGGACCATATGGGATGCTGGGAATCAAACCCAGGTCAGCCGCATGCAAGGCAAACGCCCTACCTGCTGTACTATCACTCCAGCCTCATTCATTTTCTTTTTGGTGTGGGGGACACTCTGGGGCCTCTCCTCCAGAGTCTGTGCTTGACAGCTACCAGGGCCTTGCCAGGCAGTGCTGGGGGGGGGGGGGCATGATTGACAAGTTTTCTTCTTTCTTCTCTTGAGGGAGTGGGTGGGCAAGGGTGGGTCACACCTGGCAGTGCTCAGGGCTTCCCCCTGGCCCTGTGCGCAGGGGACCATGTGTGGCGCCTGAATCTGAGCTGGACGAGTTGCATGCTCTCTCTGGCCCTGAGCTGTCTCTCTGAGAGGACATATGGAAGAACATCAGTGAATGTACAGTTTCTGTGTAGTCCCACGCTGATTTTAACTGCTTTGCTTTTGGTCCTAGCTACAATTCTGGAAATATCTACGAGGGTCAGTGGGAAAACAACATGCGCCACGGGGAAGGCAGGATGCGGTGGCTGACGAACAATGAAGAGTACACCGGCCAGTGGGAAAGGGGGGTCCAGGTACTGCCCGGGCTGTCTCACCAGGCGGGGCTCTGTCTCCATCCCCCCTCACACACAGTAGGTTTGCTGGCAAGCTGAGATTCAAGCTCCGTGAAGTGTAGAAACCCAAATGACAAACTCCTGTTCTTTTGTTATTATTATTTTCCCTAAAGGTTTCACACTGATGGGGGCTGGAGCGATAGCACAGCGGGTAGGGAGTTTGCCTTGCATGCGGCCAACCCGGGTTCGATTCCCAGCATCCCATATGGTCCCCCAAGCACTGCCAGGAGTGCTTGAGCCAGGAGTAACCCAGCATCACCGGGTCTGACGCAAAAAGCAAAAAAAAAAAAAAAAAAAAAGGTTTCATACTGCCTAGTTTCTAACTATTGGCAAGTCCATGGTTTACAAGCGTCCTGTAGGGACCAGAATGCTTTTAATGTCAAAAATGACAGATTTCTGGGCCAGAGTGATAGTACAGTGGGGAGGGCAATTACCTTGCATGCGACCAACCCAGGCTTGGTCCCACATTTCACATGGTCCCCCAAGCATCTCCAGGAGTGATTCCTGTGCACTGAGCCAGGAGTAACCCCTGAGTATCTCTGGGTGCACCCCCACCCCACCCCAAAATAACGTTTCTGAGAAGAAAAACTTAATATAATTTATATCATTTAGACAGCTAGGATTTTCTGCTGGACCATGCTACTCATATTCCGGGACCTTGCTAAACTCACAGAATAGTTCTAGGCACTTTTTATAGAATCTTTGTGCTTTTTTGTTTGTTTGGAGGCCACACCCAGTGGTGCTAAGGGCTTACTCCTGGTTCTGCGCTCAGAAATTATTTCTGGCAGTGCTCATTGGATCGTATTGGCTGCTGGTGATGGACCTCAGGTTGGCCATGTCTAGGCAAATGCCCTCCCCACTGTACTATCACCTCAGTCCCTCTTTGGGTTTTTCTTAAAAACGTGGACCATCACTCCATCTGAAGCACAGTCGGATTTCTCTCTTTTTTTTTCTTTTTGGGTCACACCCAGCGATGCCCAGGGGTTATTCCTGGCTCTGCACTCAGGAATTATTCCTGGCGGTGCTTGGGGGACCATATGGGATGCCGGGGATTGAACCCAGGTCGGCCGCGTGCAAGGCAAATGCACTACCCGCTGTGCTGTCACTCCGGCCCCGGATTTCTCTTTCTATAAACAGAGATATTTCCTTTCCCTCCTCCTGTGCGCCCTCCTTGGCTGTACTGTACAGAGGAAATGAGGGTCTCAGTACTGGCGAGTTTGCAGGGAAAGGACTTAACCTTTCAAGTGGGATGACCGTTGCACATTAATTATTAAAGTTTCATTCGGGGGCACAGCCAGTGGAGCTCAAACTCCCACTTCAGTGCTGGTTGCTCCAGGTGGTACTTGGGGGCTCAGACTGATCTTCCCTCATGTGAGGGATGCACTCAGCCCATTGTCCCGCCTTCCACCAGAATTTCCTTAGAGTGGAGTTATGTTCCACGCAGAGCGAACCTGTGCCACGTCGTGTTTATTTATCATGATGCAGAGGTTGGATTTTTACCCTTTACTTGCTGTTGTGAATGTGGACGGACAGACAGCTCTTTATTTTGTTTATTTTATTTATTTTTATGATTCCAAAGGTGATAAATTTCCTTAAAGCAGGAAATTACTTAGAATTTGTCAGCATGTTAAGAAAAACAAAAAGAGCAAAAATTATAGTGACAAAAAGAAATTCACTTCATTTTCTAGGTACTAGAAATTTTTAAATTTTGTTTTGTGTCAGAAGGATATTCCTTAAAATTCCTGTTTCCAGTTCCTTGGGTCTTTACCTAGAGGTTTCACCCCATTGTTGAAAAAATGGTACATATCATGATATGTACACATAATATATTAATTTAGTGTATATATGATTATAGGTGCCTGGGAAAAATACAAAATTAATTTTAAAACCCACGGAATAGTTCTGCCTGGAAAGAAGAATTGAGGAGGGTCAGAGCTATAGTACAGTGGGTAGGGCATTTGCCTTGTACACACAGGCTCCGGGTTCGATCCCCAGCATCCCATGTGTTCTCCTGAGAATCACTAGGAGTGATTCCTGAGTGCAGACCCAGGAGTAACCCCTGCGTATTGCCAGATGTGATGTCAAAATCCAAAAAAAAGTAAAAAAAAAAGATTGAGGACAAGTTTGGTTTTTTTTTTTTTTTGCTTTTTGGGTCACACCCAACGATGCACAGATGTTACTCCGGCTCTGCACTCAGGAATTACTCCTGGCGGTGCTCAGGGGACCATATGGGATGCTGGGAATCGAACCCAGGTCAGTCGCATGCTAGGCAAACGCCTTACTCACTGTGCTATTGCTCCAGCCCAGGAAGGGATATTTTTAATCAATGTTTGTAATAGTATGTGAAATAATCCACATTACATATAATTTTTGCATCCAATCTGCAGGCTAGGAATTGTTTCTATTTTATAGTTTAAACACAGAGGGCGTAAGTCATTTCCCTAAAACAGAAGATGGGCCTGGAAGTAGTGGACACTGAACCCCCAGGCATAATCACTGCCCCTTCAAAGAAGTCATTATATCTGATCCAAGCCTCCATTTTTGGTTTGTTTTTGGGTTGATTCCTGACTCTGCACTCAGGAATCTCTCCTGGCGGTGCTTGTGGGGCCCTATTGGGTGCCAGGGGTTGGCTGTGTGCAAGGCAAACACTCTCCTTGATATACAACCACCTTGGTGCCTGATCTGTACCTAATTGAAGTGTTCAATTTTCAAGTTGAAGGAGGAAGTTCTCATCCTCCATCACTGCATAAAGCAATCTGTCCTGTGTTTGCTTTCTTTTTAGAATGGCTTTGGAACACACACGTGGTTTCTCAAAAGAATCCCCAACTCCCAGTATCCTCTGAGGAATGAGTATGTGGGAGAGTTTGTGAATGGGTGCCGTCACGGCCATGGGAAGTTTTACTATGCCAGCGGTGCCATCTACGAGGGGGCATGGGTCTCCAATAAAAAGCATGGTTTGGTGAGTGTTGGCCTGCAAGGGCACCATGTTGACCCAGAAGAGGTGGGAGGTACAGCCACCCCCGTCTCCTCCAAGGTGTGACTTACCATTTGGTTAAGATGGTTGTATGAATTTCAGAATTCATATATTTTTCTGTATCTGATTCCACAAGTTTTTTGTATCTTTAGACTTTAGAGGTTCTTAGGTTGTGGGTGAATGTGTGTGGTCGCAAGTTATAGAAAAATCTAGCTTCATCTTCCATAAATGATAAGTAATAATGTGAGCGTCGGGATTTGATTCAGCATCTCAGTGCACCCAGAGTCTCCCCTGTGGTGACTGCCCCATAGGAGACCACCGCGTCAGCTGTGCCCTCGCATGACCCTCCCTCATGATCGCAAGAGGGCTTCTGTGGCCTTAGGCATCTCACCCATGGGCCATGAGGAGGCGAAACAGAGTGGAGAAACTAGCTTCTTGTCTTTAATCTCACTGACTGAGAGTTGGCCTAGGTTTCACAGATAGCAAGAGAGTTGGGGTTTGGTCACAGGCCTTCTGCTGGCCCTTAGCCTCGGTTAGTGGCATGGGGTCCTCAGAGCTGGAGAGAGGGGGTGGATCAGAGAGGAAGGGAGAAAAGAGGCTTTACAGAGTGATGTGGGACTCCCTGTCACCCCATCAGATGTGGGCTCAGCGTGTGTCTCAATAGACAAGCACAACCCCACCTGAGACAGTGATGGAGGCATTTTCACTAGAGCTGTTGAAGAAAACTTTCATACTCGAGGCTGGAGCTCTAGCACAGTGGGGAGGGTGCTGGCCTTACACATGGCCTGGGTTTAATCCCCAGCATCCCAAATGCCCTCCCCCATCCCGAGTCCTCCTGAAGTGATCCCAGAGTGCAGAGCCAGGAAGGAGTAAGCCCTGAACACTGCTGGGTGTGGCCCCCAAACAACCAAACAAACAAAAAATAACTTTTACAATCTGCATGAAGACATCTTCCACCTTCAGGGCCGACTGACTTTCAAGAATGGACGCGTGTACAATGGCCTGTTCTGTAATGACATGATAGCAGACTTTCCGGAGCTTCAGGTGGAATTAATTCATTCCCTGGACCCAAGCACAGAATTGCTATGCTGGTGCCCAACAGGTGGCTCAACCATCACGGCAGGTAGGGAGCTGGGCCCGCCGGGGAGGCGCCTTATCTCTGCGTCCCAGGGACTCCACACCTCTGCATCGTCTTAGCACTTCCACCAGTCCACATGTCTGTGCGCTTTTGTGGTGGGGATAGGGGAATGGACTGCTGGTGCTCGGGGGAGTGTGTGATGCCCAGGAAGGAACCCAGAGCTTCCCCTGTTAATCATGCACTCCGGTCCCTGAGCCATCTCTCCGACCCACTCCAGTAAACACTTTCCTTATTTGGGGGTTGAAGGTGGTTTTTTACCACACTTGGTGGTGTTCAGAGCTTACTCCTGGCTCTTTGCTCAGGAGTGACCCCTGGTGGTGCTGGGATAACCATTTGCAGTGCTGGGGATTCGAACCAGGGTTGGTGGATGCAAGACAAGTGCCTTAACCCCCATATGATCTCTCTGGCCCAGCAAATGCTTTCTTTTCTTTATTTCTTTTTTTTTTACAGACTTCTTAAATTGGCTTTTCTTGGGCTTGGGCAGTCACACCCCGCAATGCTCAGGGGTTACTCCTGGTTCTACACTCAGGAATTACTCCTGGCCGTGCTCAGGGGACCATATGGGATGCCGGGGATCGAATGTGTGTTGGCTGTGTGCAAGGCAAATGCCCTACCCGCTCAACTATTGCTCCAGCCCCAGCAAATACTTTCTTAATAGGATTTGTGAATAGTCCCATATTCCATGGGTGGGAAATCATCCTGGCATAATGCTGGAGCGTGTACACGCTGTTCCCTCCCGGGTAACCTGGTCCTCTTCTATCTGTCTTCATATTCTAGAAATTATCAGAAAGCTTGATGGTAGCAGCAGTGAATCGGTGTTATGGTCAAACATTGAGCTGGACCTCACTGCACTGCTGAGTAGGTATCCTGAGAAAGACCAGCCACAGGAAAAGAAGCAGGTGAGATCTGGGGTAGCCTCAGAGGAGAAGCAAGTCTCTGACCTTCTGGGAGGCTAGAGCTGCGGATCTCTCCCTCCTGGGGTGTTTGTGATGTTTCTGCATTAACCATCCTCTGAGGTGCAGGAGAGAGCAGGGATAGAGGGATGGACGGATGACCAGAGCCCAGGGCCGATGCCCCCTGTGGGAGCCTGGGCTGTGGCCACCTACTCTGACCATTGCTCTGCTCTGACTGTCATTCTGCCAGGGATGCTCATGGGCTGCCGGCGTCCAGACTGATTAGGGGTCAGGAGAGACAGGACAGAGGGCAGGACACTTTCTCTGCATGTACCTGCCAGATGGGTTCAATCCCCAGCACCCCACAGGGTCCCCTGAGCTTCCAGGAGTGTCCCTGAGCACAGAGTCAAGAGTAAGTCCTAAAGGGCTGGAAAAAGCACAGCAAGTAGGGCATTTGCCTTGTACACAGCTGACCTGGGTTTGGTCCTGGCATCCCATATGGTTCCCTGAGCACTCTAGGAGTGATCCCTGAGCACAGAGCCAGGAGTAACCCCTGAGCATCGTGAAGTGTCCTCCCTGGCCCCCTAAGGAGAGAATAAGTCTGGAACATTACTAGGTGTGACCCTCCAAAATAAACATAAAAGGTTGGGTGACCATTAGAGATGGGGACCATTAGGGTTCCCACAGTTGGCAGATCTCAAGTGCTTAATGACACTTGTGTCCTGGTGGGCATCTCTGGTGAAACAGTGGCAGAGGTGTTACTGGAGCTGGAGAGCACCAAGATCTCAGTACCACGGGCCTCCTGGCCCTCGCTGTGCTGGGCCTCCACAGCAAGGAGCCCCCAAGCCCAGGTGGTCCCTCCCACTGCAGCTCAGCACCCAGTATCCCCACCTCAGAGTCCGAATTGGAGTTTTTTGGTGTCCAGACAGATGCTCAGCCGTGGAGCCACACACCTGGTCCATGCTAGGGTCCTGTGGACACTCCAGAAGCTCCCTCACTTCGTCTAGTTTTGTAGCCATATGATGGGTCGGGAACACAGAACACATAAGCAGATGAGAATCCCCAGAATGCGGCCAGCATCTTCCCACTTCTGCATCTATGCCAGCACGGCTAGGCCCGGGCCAGCTCATCCTCCCTCTTCTCACGGAGCCTTGCCCGTGGGCTCTTCAGGGCCTTCCAAGTACTGCCCAAGAGTGTGGTTTCATCCCAGGATGGGAGAAGCATGCTGAAAGTAGACTATAGACCAAACATGATTGCCACCCATTGCCTCTTTTGCAAACCACAACACCCAATAGGAGAGAGAGAACAAAAGGGTGGGATGGGGGTGGGTGGGGGGTGGGAGGGATACTGGGACCCGTGGTGGTGGGAAATGGGCACTGGTGGAGAGATGGGTATTTGATCATTGTATAATTGAAACCCAAGCACAAAAATTTGTAAGTCTACAACTGTACCTCATGGTGTCTCACTAATCCACAGTCCACGGTCCACAGTCCTCCCATTGTTCATCGATTTGCCCGAGCGGGCCCAGTAACGTCTCCATCGTGAGACTTGTTGTTACTGTGTTTGGCATATCGAATACATCACGGGTGGCTTGCCAGGCTCTGCCGTGCGGGCTAGATACTCTCAGTAGCTTGCTGGGCTCTCCGAGAGGGGCGGAGGAATCGAACTCAGATTGGCCATATTGGCTGCGTGCAAGGCGAACGCCCTACCGCTGTGCTATCGCTCCAGCCCGTCTCACTAATAAAAATTTAAAAAAAAAAGTGTGGTTTCAGACCAATACACCATATGCTCAATGAGCAATGAAGCAAGCCCCTGGTCGGTTTTCCTTTATGTATACATCTTCTCGTTTGGGGGAGCTCAGAAGCGCCTCCTGACTGTGCTCAGGTCCAGCCTTCATCAGGTGCCTGCCCCGTCAGGGGGGACGAGGTGAGCGTGGCATCTCTCTCCAGGTGGAATTCGCCATCCTGAGGAACATCACGGAGCTGCGGAGGATCTACAGCTTCTACAGCAGCCTGGGCTGCGACCACTCCCTGGATAACACCTTTCTGATGACAAAGCTCCATTTCTGGAGGTTTCTGAAAGATTGCAGGTTCCACCACCACCAAATCACTCTGGCTGACATGGACCGGGTCCTCTGGGGTGAGCTTCTGGGCCCTCCTGCATGTCCCCTAGCAGAGACCGTGGGAGCTCCTGCAGACTGTGAGGAGGCAGTGCTGGAGGCAGTGGTCCAGAAACCCAGCCCGATCACAGAACCCAGCATGCAGATGCTCCCAGGGGGTTCCCTGGCAGGGACTGTGCCCCCACCCCCTTCCACCCTCAGGCTGACAGCCCTGAGACAGAGGCGAAACCACCCTAAACAGGCAGGTGAGGAGCCGAGCAGAAGAGCCGAGTGGCCTTCAGGGAGGCGCAGCCTAGTCTTGGCTTGAGTTTGGTAAATTCATACCGTGCAGTGACCAGCTGTGAGGAAGACAGAGCACCCTCAATGACCTTCTTGGACTCATAGACAGCAGCACAAACAGCATCTTAAGTCACGTGCCAGTGGCTGGGTGCCCTCTGTGCCACAGCATTGGCAGGGGGAACCTGGGTACCCGAAAAATCAGCAGTGGGGTCTTTTATTTCCATGTGTGGCTGTATGAGGGCTGTGGGCTGCTGCGTCTCAGGGCAGGTGGTTACTTCTCCCTCCCAGGAGAGCGTTCTTCTGGGTTTGTCCTCAGGAATCACTCCTGGTGGTGCTCGGGGGGACCATACCAAGTGCCAGGGATAGAACTTGGATCAGCCGAGTGCCAGGCAAGCTCCTTCCCTGCTGGACTATTGCTTGAGCCCTGCATGAGAGCATTTTTTTTTTTTTGCTTTTTGGGTCACACCCGGCGATGCACAGGGGTTATTCCTGGCTCTGCACTCAGGAGTTACTCCTGGCAGTGCTCAGGGGACTATATGGGATGCTGGGAATCGAACCTGGGTCGGCCGCATGCAAGGCAAACGCCCTACCCTCTGTGCTATCTCTCCAGCCCCAAGAGCATTCTTGAGGGAAAGAAATAACCCACAGCGGTAGGGCGTTTGCCTTACAAGCGGCCAACATGGCCGACCCGCGTTCGATTCCTCTGCCCCTCTCGGAGAGCCCGGCAAGCTACCGAGAGTATCTCGCACGGCAGAGCCTGGCAAGGTACCCATGACATCTTCGATATGCCAAACACGGTAACAACAAGTCTCATGATGGAGATGTTACTGGGCCCGCTCGAGCAAATCGATGAACAACGGGAGGACCGTGACCATGACTTCTCTGACTGCACCAGGAGCAGATTAAACAGACTCTGGGCACCAGTAAGTAAGCCTCTCTCCGGTCCTGATTCCAGCCAATAACTACGATGACATACCCGTGGAGGCCATTCACTCTCCATTCACCACCATCATGCTGCGGACATTCCTGAATTACCTCCTGCAGCTGGCTTATCACATCCACCACCGGGAGTACCAGTGAGTACCCGCTGCTCGTGCCTCGGCTCTCTCCGCCATGAGCTAGAAACAAAGATTGGCCACAGACAGAATTGCAAACCCTTGACGCCAAATTCAAATGGGAACCAGGCTAGAGAGACAGCAGTGGGGGCACTGGCCTGGCACGCGGCTGACCTGGGCTCAATCCCCAGCATCCTCTGTGGTCCTCTGAGCACCACCAGGAGTAATTTATAGTGCACAGCCAAGAGTAACCCCTGAGCATTGCAGGGTTCGTTCCCAAACAAACTGTCACTGTCACTATCCTCCCGTTGTTCATCGATTTGCTTGATCAGGCCCAGTAACATCTCCATTGTGAGACTTGTTGTTACTGTGTTTGGCATATCGAATACATCACGGGGAGCTTGCCAGGCTTTGCCGTGCGGGTGCGATACTCTCGGTAGCTTGCCGGGCTCTCCGAGAGGGGCAGAGGAATTGAACCCGGCTCGGCCAGGCCGGCTGCGCACAAGGCAAATGCCCTACCGCTGTGCTATCGCTCCAGCCCCCTGAACAAACAGAACACCAAATTTTTTTTTTTACTTTGTGACTTTACTTCCCAGGAGTCCCATAGCACCTGCCCAGGGTCCCTCTGGGTCTCTGGCTGAGAGTCAGGGGGCAGCACCCGTCACCCCATGGGAGATGTGGTCAGGGTTTCCCTGGCTGCTCTGCTGATGTTCCTTCTCTGGTCCAGCAACTGCCGAGCTCCGTCCGCCGGCGGGGCCAGCAGTTGAGAGCGAGGGCCATGTGGTGCCTGGGCCAGCCCAGCGGTGCTAGGGAGACCGTGTGATATGGGATGGACCCGAGGCGGGCTGCACAGAAGGCTCCAACACTGCCTCTCCCACCCCACGACCTTGACCTGGAGAAGCACCTTGACCCATGATTTTGCGCAACTTTGCTCCTTTTTACTGTTGTCCCATCCCCTGGAGGCTGTGGGAAAGGAGCCTGGGAAACAGAGGCTGCGGCTTTAGTACTGCAGCCAGGGGGAGTCGGCCAGGGTGCTGCCGTCAACTTGCTCTGTCCCTCTCATTAGACGCGGGTTACTAAGTGCACCCCAACTCGGGGAGGGGTGCTCACGTGTAAAATCTTATCACACCGAAGGTTGTGTGTTCACGGGCTCACTGGATGGCACTGTCTCACCGCCTGCGTTCGGTGCTCTAGAGCCGCTGTGTGTGGCCTGGATCGGAACGGCTGTTGGCCAAGGGCAGACGGAAGAAGAAACGAGGGCCAGGCCGATCTATATCAATAGTAGTTTATTCCAATCCTCTTCACTCCTGTCTTTCTCTGCCTCCTTCTCTCCTGGGCCCCAGTCTTGGAAGCTCTCTCCTTCTGGCTCTGACTCTGGATCTCTGGAGCCCGAGCTCTCTCGCTTCTGACTCCCTTTCCGAGCTTACGTCTTAGTTTATATAGCAGTCACATAAGGCGGTGACATAAAGGTGGGTTGAATACTGACGAATCAACAAAGAGAGGTAAGACCACTCCTCCAGGAGATTAACTCAAGGATAAAATCTCATCTACAGAGATTACTTCAGATTACTAGGAAATCCACCCAAGGGTGGGATCCCAACAAGGGTGTGTTCTTCCCTCAGTTAGCAATCTACTTAAATAGTTGTAATAAATCTACTTCTAATATTTCTAGCAATGTCATTCTGTATGAGCACAGTAAGAGATATAAATTTAGTTTGGTTCTTCCTGAGAACATCTCACTATACATTTCGCAGTCCTCAGGCCAGGTTAATCTTTCTAGCTCCAGCAGGGTCCTAGTCTCGTCGTTACTTACTTTTGGATCATGACAGCATTTGTCCATGATCATGCCCTCAACTTATAGTTGAGTAGCGTGGCTCTTTGGCCTGGCCCATTTCGATGCCAGGGTAGCTCACAGCTTGCCCTGGGTCCATTCAGTCCCTCATCGGGACCCTGCTTTTGGGGTGCTAGGAACTAAGGGCAACTGAGTCAAGAAATCAGATGCCCAGGAGTAAATATTATTCAGAGTCAACCAACTCCCAAGTTACAAAGCATAATATTAACTGTCTTCCTGTGTCCACACAGAAAGGACATTGCTTACAATACAAGTTCAGTGTCCTTAGATGGGTGTGACCTGACAAACCTAAGCTACCTGAGGAAGGACAAAAGAGTGTTATCCTACACTCACGCCTCTCTCTGATCCCAGGAACAGAAGCCCCTCGCTCTTTCTGTGTTTCACCAAGCTGATGGCTGAGAACATTCACCCCAATGCCTGTCGCGTGAGAGGTGAGCTGCAGCCCAGGACCCACGTGACGGGCGCCCTCGACCTCAGTACTGACCACTGCCTTCTGGGTTTAGGCAACTTATTCGTTGGGCAGCAGCGCACACTCTACTCAATGAACTACATCGACAGGAGCTGGGAGATCTACACAGCCCACTGCATGCCCAGTGCAGCCCCTCCCCATGAGCTGACGATGAGCATGCGACACTTCCTCTGGATGCTGAAGGTGGCCGCGATGCTCGGGATGGCCTGTGTCCAGTACCTGAGTCCTTCTCCCAGCCGCGCTGCAGCTCAGGCTGTCACCTGCACCTCTGCAGAACTTGGTTCCCAAGGCCCGCGCCCCACCGGCTCTGTCCCTGGTTGTGTCCCCCACTTCTGTCTGTTCTTCCATCACTCCCTGGGCCCTATTTCCCACAGTGGCCAGTACTGCACCCCCCAAAGCACAAAGCTGCCCTGGAGCCCCAGGCATGAGGATCTGTTCTCTCTGAGAAGGCCAGTTCTGGGGGGCGGGGGGAGGTGGCACTTAAGTGTTTTCTGACAGGGGGCGGGGCATGGGAGCCTCTAGAGAGATGGGGGTCATCTGCTGCCCCGGCAGTACCCTCAGAAGGAGCCTCTCCCTGTAGCCAGGCCTAAGGAGCAGCCGTTTCTCTCCTCCAGGACTTCAGGATGATAAATAAGGAGCTGACGGCATCCAAGTTTGTGGAGGTGATAGCCGAGGACAACCCCTCCATGCACGATGGAACTGACAGCAACTTTGAACTGGAGGTTTGCAACGCACGGCTGTGTGGACTCAGCCTGGTGGTCGGGCCAGACGTGTAGCCCAGAACCGGCGGGGGGGTGGGGGGTGGGGGACTGAGGATGTTGTGTCTGTTCTTTCTTGTTTCGGGCCACAGCTGGCTATGGTCAGGGCTTACTCCTTGTGGGGCCCTCAGGGCACCATTGGGGATGCCAGGAATGGACCTGGTTAGCCATATGCAAGGCAGGTAGGTGCCCTCCCTGCAGATCTGCTGTTCTGGCCCTGAGAAGAATCCTGAGCCAGACAGGACAGCTTCACCCTCTGCCCTGCCCCTCTGCCCCGCACCCGCTAGCAGTGCCATCACCTGGACCAGAAATAGCCAGTTGGAAAAAGGGGCTGGAGCGATAGTACAGTGGGGAGGGCATTTGCCTTGCATGTGGCTGACCGGGGTTCAATCCCCGGCATCCCAGAGGATCCCCCGAGCACCACCAGGAGTGATTCCTGAGTGCAAAGCCAGGGAAACCCTGAGCATCTCTGAGTGTGACCCAAAAAGAAAAAATCCCTGGCATCCCATATGGTCTCCCCACACCCCTGGCCCCATGTACCACCAGGAGTAAACTCTGAGTACAGAGCCGGGGTGACTCCCGAGCATCTCCCAGTGTGACCCAAAAACTTAAAACAAACCAAAAAAAATGAAAAATGTTCTCTCAGTCCTCAACCCCAAACAAGTTCTGTCCCTCGTATCCCTTGTTGCCTCATTCACTGGCCCAGCTCCTGGGATGCACTTTCTGTTTAGACCTATCACGCCAGTGGGGGACATCACAGCCTTCCTGGAGCCCCCCAACTCCCCCTCACATACACACTGCCTCAATAAGACTATTGAGGTCCTGGTGCCTTCATGCTGACATGCTCAGGACTGAAATGATGGGTGTGGAGGGTGGGTGACATGAAGCCCTGGGCAGAGGCCACCCTTGGTGACCAAGGGGGCAGTTCAGCCAGATGCAGGTCCGTGTCACTCAGGCGAACAGGAACACCCTCTCGTGTTCGCTTAGATGGAGATCTTGGCCTGATAGTGGCCACAGCCATAGTCCAGCAGGCAGGGTGCTGGCCTTGCACAAGGCTGACCCAGGTTTGATGCCCAGCACCACATACGGTCTCCTAAGACCCCCTCCCCCAGGAGTGCTCCCTGAGCACAGAGCCTGGGTAAGTCCTGAGCACACTAGGTATGGCTCAAAGCCGATCATAAAGGAAATTGTTGAAAACACCTTTTGGGTTTGCTGACGTCTCTGCAGGGTGAGCCAAACCTGGCAGGGCTCAGCGGCTCCTCCTGTTCAGTGCTCAGGGGCCTGACCACGTGTGTGCTATTGCTCTGACCCCCCAGATCAGTTTTTCAAAAGTGTCCCCCCACCCCGATTCCTCGCTGTGATGTCGGGGTCACACACCACCCACTTGGGCATGGTGCTTACTAAGCCATTCCTCAGGTGGGGCTCTGCACCGTGCACGGAGGTTTGGGGTCACTACCAGTGGCATTCACGCGTGGGCTGGTGGTGGGGACCAAACCCGAAGCCCTCATACCTGGGGCCGCTGCTCAGCCTCTTAAGGAGGAAACGCTCTGAGGTGACTCCTCAGGGAGCTGACCGTCAGGTGCTGCGTTTGCTGCTCGTGAGCCGCGGGCCACTGTCCAGCACCCGCCTGGGGACCGCGCCTCAGGCCGCACCTGTGTCCTTGTCTTGCAGCTGGTTTTCCTCGAGTTTTTCGAAGCCCTCTTAAGCTTCGCCTGCTCTGTCACCAACCAGATGACCAAGACTTGGACCAGTATCCTCAACGAGGAACTGTCTGGGAGCAGGTACGGGAGCATCCACACCCTTCTGACCCAGGTGAGCCCTGGGTGTGATGCCCTCCCCTCCCCCTCTTACTCACCCCTTCCTCTCCCTCCCCAATTCTCCCCTCCCTCTCCCCTCCCCTCCCTCTCCACTCCTCTTCCCACCCCTTCCTCTCCCCTCCCCCCTGTCCACTCCTCTCCCCTTCCCCATTTCCCCTCCCTCTCCCTCCCCTCCTTTCTCCCTCACTCCTTCCCCTTTCTTCCCCTCCCTTTTCCTTTATTCTTCTCACCCCCCTCCCCCTTGCCTCACCCCCCCCTTACCCTCCCTGTTCCCTCTCCTACCCTTGTTGGAGCAGGGGCTTGGCTGACCTTCCAGATTAGAGGAATCTGAAGAATAGGCAGGAAGACCCTGAGCAGGGGGTGCTACAGGGCCTAAAGATTCTAACCTGGGGTCAGCCATGTGGGGCCACAGAGGGCTGGTGCGGCCCTGGAACCCCCATCTGGGAATTCTTTAGAGCCGCTGCCAAGGGTCTTTGTGCCAGAGCAGGACTCCCCCGCCCTCCCCAACATGCCACGGACTGGAGCTCCGCATTAACATCCAGGATTTCACTGTCCACATCACTGACCACAGCGCCGCCTACAGGAGGGGCACAAGCTGCCCTGAGTTCACTCAGGGTGTGTGGACGTGGCTCTCAGGAACGCCCTGACCCAGACGCCCTGGGGACAGGGTCGACCCAGCAGGGACAAGAGCTGCTCCAGGGTGTGATGAGTGGGGGTGACGGGTGGGCTCAGGACACCTCTGGGGCCTGACTGCAGGTGCTGTGTGATGTTACAGACTGCGGCCCTTGCACTGTGTGGGGGGTCTCCACGGCAACCTGGAGTGTGTGGGTTCTTGCCCCCAGACCCCCAGCCTGTGAGCCCGTGGATTCTTACCCTGCCAGACCTCCAGCCCTGTGAGCCTTGTGTGTTCTTTTGATTTTTTTAGTTTTTCTAAAAAATTTTATTTTCATAAAGTTGTTTACAATAATTGATTACATTCAATATTCCAACACCAATCCCACCACTATTACTCCTTCCTAACATCATTATTTTGAAATTTACCACCACCACCCAAGCCTGCCCCAAAGACAGATGCTAAATAATTTATTTTGTATTGCTTGTTATGAATAATCGACTAAAAATGATCCAGAAAACTATCTTTAGAAGAAAATGTGTAAAATCACTAACGTGTTGTTATAGGTTGAGCCTTGTGTGTACATATATATTATTATTATTATTATTATTTTAATCAAGATTGGTTGCCTTCTACCTTACATTCCATCAAATGTGCTGTGCTACTCTTGGCATATCAGTTGCATAAAGTATGAGATGTCCAAGAATTCTAAAATTTTAAATAGGATGCTAGAGCCGGAGTCAATTTTTTTCACTGGATGGTGACTTGGGGGTCCGGACCATCTCTGCAGTGTGTTGCTCTCTTCCGAGATTCACTTGTGATTCTCTGGATCATGACCATTAATATGCTTATTCGGTGCCCAGAGGCAGTTCATGGGCTTGACTGCCAGGGACCTGCAGCACAGGGAGGTGGGGGAGGGGCCCATTCTTGACTTCATGTGAGCCTGGTGCCCAGGCTGGAGATTTCAGTCACAAGTATGGCATACGTGGGTTTTTAAATGGATTCATTCTTGTGTGAGGGCTGGGGAATGGGCCTGTGAAGGTTGGCCATGGGCAGGGTGGCGATTGGGAGCCCGTGTGTTCTTGCCCCCCCAGACCCCTAGCCTGGTGAGCCTGCATGTGTTTGAGCCCGTGTGTGTTCTTGGCCCCCAGAACACCAGCGCTGTGCCCAGCCAGGACTCTGACGTCCAGCACGGCTGCAACTTGTCCTCCTCAAGCAAGGTTGATGTCAGCAAAGTCAAGAAATCTGAGGTACTAAGCCAGGTGCTCGAGAGGGTACTGAGGTGCGGCTGTGGTGACTCACTGAGGAGGCACAGTCATGGTGGTCATCCCTGTTAGCAGAGGGTTTGCCAAGGGCTGCCTGGCTGGCAGGAGGAAACTGAGGCACAGGAAGCAGTTGGTCCAGTCCCTATGGGAGGGGGGGAGGGCATGTCCTCTGAGGTGTTGCGGCCATGCTGCGGTCACTGTGGGGAGGCAAGAGGCAGTGGGAGCACCTGGGTCAACAGGAGGCCCCCCGAGGCACGTGGGGATGCAAGGCTGTGCCCCAACCCCTAGGTCTCACAGGCCCTGCTGGTGCCCAGGCTGAAAGGCACTTGAAGGATACCCTGGCCTTCTGCAGGAATGAGCTGGGGGCGAGGGGCGAAGGGGACAGGAAGTGGGTCTGGGCAGAAGAATGAGGGACACAGGCACAGGACGATGAGCCCCAGGGGCCAGCAGCCCGGATATGCTCTCACCCTCACTTCCTCCCAGGGAGCCAGCGCTGCTCATTTCCCTAGTAGCGCAGACATCAGCCTCTCACCAGGCTAACCGCAGCAAAACAGGCTTCACAAGAAGCCAGGTGATTCTCAGGAGATGAAGTGGACAATCAGTCTCGTTCCATGAAGACACAGAAGTAACCTGTGATATTTTTTCCCCTCCGAAAGCCCGTGCGGCAGTCTCTCAGTGAAGAAAGAATACCCAAGATCAGTTACAAGCCTTCAGGGAAAGGAATGACCTTTTTTTTCCCTTCAAAAGGTATTTTTATTATTTATTTATCCTTTGTTACTGTGTTTGGCATATTGAATACGTCACGGGTAGCTTCCCTGGCTCTGCTGTGTGGGCGAGATTCTCTCAGTAGCTTGCCGGGCTTTCCGAGAAGGGTGGAGGAATCGAACCCGGTTCGGCAAGTCTCAAAATGGAGATGTTACTGGGCCTGTTTGAGCAAATTGATGAACAATGGGAGGACAGGACAGGACAATTTATCCTTTATTTGGGGGCCCATGCCTAATGGTGCTCAGGGCTTACTCGTGGCTCTGTGCTCCGGGATCACTTCTGGCACAGGATTCAGGGGTTTGAACCAGGGTTGGCTGTTGACCAAGGCAAGTCAGTACCCGAACCCTTGTTCCAGATCCCCAGCCCCCAAAAGGGGAGCCCTGTTTTTTATTGTTTTTTTTTTGAGGGGGGGGTCACACTCAGCAATTCTCAGGGGTTACTCCTGGCTCTGCACTCAGGAATATTCCTGGCAGTGTTCACGGGACCATATGGGATGCTGGGGATCAAACCCAGGTCAACGGCTTGCAAGGCAAATGCCCTCCCCGCTGTATTACCACTCTGGCCCCTAAAGAGTCTTTTAATGTATAGACCCTTAGTATCTGCAAACTGCCACATGTCACAGATGCTTCAAATGTGCTGCACCTCTACTGGCAGATGGCCAGGCTAGTCAGTGCTCACATTGTGACTCCAGGCACTGTGGCCTCACAAGGGTCCTTCCCCAGGGCTCCTACACCTGCTCCCACTGCCCCCCCCCCCCAGCTCTGCCTCGGGAGCCCCTAGATGCCTGCAGAGGCCTCACCTGAGCTGCTCCCACTTGGCACTGCACTGGCTTTGCATGTTTGGGCCCTGCACAGTGCAATTCCCCAAGCACCTTCTTTCACTGTCTTCTTCATGAAAACTCCCTTTGTTTTTATTTTGTGGGGCTTGGGGGCCATACCTGGCAATGCTCAAGGGTTATTCCTGGCTGTGCTGGGGGCTCTACGTAGTCCAGGGAATAGAACCAAGCATAGCTGCTTGCATGGTGAGCACCTTCACCCTGCGTGATCTCTGACCTTAAAAAGGTTACCTTTCGGGGTTGGAGCGATAGCACAGTGGGTAGGGCGTTTGCCTTGCACGCAGCCAACATGGCCAACCCAGGTTCGATTCCCAGCATCCTATATGGTCCCCTGAGCACCGCCAGGAGTAATTCCTGAGTGCATGAGCCAGAAATAACCCCTGAGCATCGCTGGGTGTGACCCAAAAGGCAAAAAAAAAAAAAAAAAAAAAAAAAAGGTTACCTTTCAGGACAAGCAAAACCAGGGGGTGTCTTTCTAGAAATATGGGAATTATGAATTTTCTGAAATTCCAGAAAACCAAAATATGGCAGACCTTTACTTTAGGAGAACAAAGCTCTGCCGAAGGGCTGGGCACAGCTAAGACCCAACACCTTAGTTTCGGGGTCCCCCAGGCACCGGAGCGAGCAGACGCCCCAGCCCCACAGGGCAGCAGTGATGCCCCTCTTAACGTCTTTGCAGAGAAAACTGAGAAGCTCAAGGATGAAGCCCCGGAGGAGAAGGACGAGCAGAAGGAGCAGCTGAATGCGTGGCTCAGCAACATGCACACGTTCTTCGTGGATATGCTCTTCCCTGCGCACAGACACGACGAGATCGTCAAGGAGAAGATGAAAGAGAACAGGCTGCGTCTCGAGGCCCTGGCCGGGCAGGAGCGGCAGGAGGACGAGGAACTGGAAGCCAGGTCAGGGCGGCCAGTGCCACCCCCACCTTCCTGGGGCTCCGGGCAAAGCCTGCGGCGGGGCTGCATCAGAAGCGAAGAGTGCAGGGCACATGCCAACTCGGCCCCTTCCCTGGGCCAGTGCCTGGCCTGGAGCAGACTCTGCAAGCTGCCTGTGTGTGCGGGGTCAGCCTACTCCTGCTGGTCTGTGTGTGTGGGAGGGGACACACGCCTGCTGGTCTATGTGTGCAGGGACAAGCACATACCTGCTGGTCTGTGTGTGTGCAAGGCAGACACACACCTGCTGGTCTATGTATGCGGGGATTAGCACACACCTGCTGGTCTGTGTGTATGCAGGGCAGGCACATACCTGATGGTCTGTGTGTGCGGGGCTGGGCCATGCCTTCTGGTCTGTATGTGCAGGGTTGGGCACACGCCTGCTGGTCTGTGTGTGTGCAGGGCAGGCACATGCCTGCTGGTCCATGTGTTTGCTGGGCCGGGCCTTGCTTGCTGGTCTGTGTGTGTGGGGCCAGGCACACGCCTGCTGGACTGTGTGTGTGCACGGCTGGCACATGCCTACTAGTTTGTGTGTGAGGATGTGGGGACAGGGTGGGTATGTGCCAAACCTCACGTTTAATCTCCAGCAACAGCAGGTTTGCCCCCCTGAAAAGAAACCAACAAAAAATTGGAAATGTATTTTAGCAAACCTTTGAGAGTCTAGGGAGTAAGCTGGACCCCAGTTCCATTCTGGTACTTCATATGGTTCGAGCACCACCAAGGGTCAATCCTGAGTACAGAGCCAGGAGTAAGTTCTTGAGCACCATCAGGTGTGGCCCCAAAGCCAAAACTTCTGTGATCTGTTGCCTTAGTTTTCCTGGTGTTAGGGCGGAATAGTGCTGCTCAGGTCCTGTGGTGCAAAGGGCCATGCAGTGCCGGGAAATGAACCTGGGTCCCTCTGAGGTATTTCCTGGACCCTGAAGAGGTGTTTGTTTGCTGATTGGGGTCACACCCAGTGAACGCCCTACCTGCTATACTATCGCTCCAGATGCTCAGCTACAGTGAAGGGCTTGATGAATAGTTTTTTTTTTTTTTTTTTTGCCTTTTGGGTCATATCTGGAGATGCGCAGGGGTTACTCCTGGCCCATGCACTCAGGAATTACTCCTGGTGGTGCTCGGAGGACCATATGGGATGCTGGGGATTGAACCCGGGTTGGCCGCATGCAAGGCAAACGCCCTACCCACTGTGCTATCGCTCCAGCCCCCACTGATGAGTAGTTTTAGACCATGGATTTGTCCCACTGGTCGGCTTCTGGCTGACTACGTCAGGCTGGGTACTGGAGACATCACCCTCTCTGTCTGCTACAGGCTGCAGAGCCTCAAGGAGGAGGAGTCCAGAAGACAGGACTACGAGCTGGACATGAGTGCCATCAAGGACATGATTGCCACGTCCGTGAGCTTCACGCAGAGCCCCCCCAAGGAGGAGCCGTTGGTGACCCAGCCCAGCAAGGCCGGCCCCAGCAGGAGGAGGAAAAAGTGAGGCTGGCCAGTGGGGCCATGTTCCCGACCAATAAAGTATGTCCCGGAGCGCCAGGTCTTCGGGGCTTCCTGTGTGCTGCACCACCCACCCGCCTCCCCTTCCCTCCGAGTGCACAGAAAGTTGATGTTTGAAGTATCAAAGCGTGGGCTGGTGATTCTGTGAGAATCTCAGGAAGCTGACCAGAGGGTGGGGAGTGGATGAAGCCATTTCTGCTGTCCCCCTTCCTCGGCCAGGGAACCAACCCCGTGTGTGTCCCCACCCCCTGTGATTCCCAAGGGGGCCCAAGGTCGGCTGCAGTGTTGGCTGCAGAAACAGACTGAATCTCTGTGAAAAAGCTGAGCCGTCTTGTTAGTCAGAAACACAAAATACCGTTGCTAACTGCTGAACTAGCAGAAGGAGGCAAATTCCAATCCACCATTAGTGGGAAGAAGAAAGAGAAAAGCCAGGCAAACACAAAAGGTAGGGGTGGGGGGCAGAGCAAATGAATCAGGGATCAGGGAGCGGGTCTAACCTCAGCTCAACCCGCCCCAGAACCAGTCAGCTTGAACACAGACTCAACGTCCAGTTCCTCTGTGCGAGAGACGTGTCTTACAACCAGGGCAAAGGATGGAAACAGATGGCACAGGACACAAAGGAGGTGACACCAAGCCGTGGGAACAAGTAACACTAAGAAAGTAGAACTTAAAGCAAACGACTGCTTGGGGCTGGAGTGATAGCACAGTGGGTAGGGTGTTTGCCTTGCACGCAGCCGACCCGGGTTCGATTCCCAGCATCCCATATGGTCCCCTGAGCACTGCTAGGGGTAATTCCTGAGTGCATGAGCCAGGAGTAACCCCTGTGCATTGACAGGTGTGACTCAAAAAGCAAAAAAAAAAAAGGCAAACAACTGCTTGCGGGCTGCAAGTGCAGAGAAAGGCTTGACTGCAGCTCGGGAGCCGTCCAGGGAGGAAACAGCGGAGGAGGGGACAGACAGGGTCAGGCCACAGACGGCTCCGGCCACCAGTGAGACAGTGGACACAGCCGGAAACCAGAACACCCAGCCACGCACAAGACCCATTTTAGGGAAGTATGATTCTGGACACTCCCTCCAAGCACAAGACCTAGTGGTGTGGGCCCTGAATCGCCAAGGCGAGTGCCACCGAGCTGAACCATAGGCCAGACGCAGAGTGAATGGTGACACGGGAAGGGCCACACTGACCTGAGGCACCCACTGGTGGGCATCGGGTCTGTGGAGACCTCCCACTCCTGGCTAGTTTCCACCCAAAGGCTGGGATGTCCGAGCCCCACAGCTGGGAAGGGACAGGCACGTGTCCGCAGGGATGCTGAGAGCAGGCAGACAGGGCACTGCCCTGAGTGCCATCACATCTGGGCAGGCAGAGGCCGGAGTCCCCCCACAGCAGCTGTCCTGCCTGGGGAAGGACCCGCTGCCAGCCCAGAGGTGAGGGTTCCCCAAGAAATGCGAAGACCAGCAACAGGAGACTCGATGCTCAACGAGCATTTTAAAAACTTTAACAATTTATTACTCTTATTTTCCAGTAAAATATTCACATAATGTCAAAAGAATGGAATGGAAAGAGATGTAGCCAACTACCTTTACCCACATAAATATTCAAAATCTAAAAACCTTGGGTTCATCGGACTGAGTAGAAATTTGATTCTTCAAAGCAACTATTGCTGTACTCTTGTCAAGGCCGCCCACGCGCTCGCCGGGCGGCGCGTGATCAGTCCAGGAAGAAGATGTTATTGAACTGCGTGGCACACAGCTTCTTGACCTCCTCTGCGGAAAGAATAGGGAAGAGTGAGCCAGGCCCTGCACAGCGCCCCACACCAGGCTCCGGGGTCTGTGCTCGGCCCACCTGCGGGAAGCCCGGGGAAGCAACGTTCAAAATGCAGGCACAGGAGAACCAGGCCCAGACGGCTCCATCTGCTGGGCCGTGGGCGCCCCACGGCAAGACCAGCAAGGGTCAGGGGTTCCCAGTGAGTGGGCAGCTGCACCTCGCCAGGAGATGAGGGCAGTGAAGCCTCCCTCTGGCTTTTCTCATTGTTACACCAGCACGTGTTTTACACGTGTGTTCGCAGGGAGTCCGCCAGGCCTCGGACACAGTCAGCAGCAAATTGGCTCTCCCGGGAACCTTCGTGTGTGGACCCGGGAGCCTTCCCTGGCCCTTGCTGCAGTCACACACAGAGCCTGAGGGAGCCGAGGGAGTGGCACCCCCCCCCCTTTTCCTGGGGTGGGGCCCAGCAGGGCACCAGAGCACCTCGATTACTTGTGCCCTGACTGCACTGGGGTGGGCTGCAACAGCCCCTGGAGGCGGGCACCTTGTTTAGTGTTACAGAGACTCACTCCCACTACAGGCGGCCCTGCACGACAAGACACTCACACACTTTCTGGGGGCCACTCCCAGAGGTGCTCAGAATTTACTCCTGGCTCTGCTCAGGGATCACTCCTGGAGGGTTCAGGGGACCATATGGGATGCTGGGGATCGAAAAAGCCCTCCCCATTGTTACTATCACTTTGGCCCCTGTCATATACTTTTTTTAAGGAACCTGAGACTGTTCAAGTTGAGAGAACATAAATCAGATCAACTGAGGCCTCAGCTTAAACTCTCTCCAGCCACGACTGTTCCCACTCAGCCTGTTTTTCGGGACAGAGGGTAGGAAATTCTCAGTGTCAACAGTGGTATTCTGCTCCCAGATCAAACCCCATTTACCATTTACTTCAATCAGGTTTGCATTTTTCTGATTCAAAATAACATAGAGCTCCCGCTGATCGGACTTTTTCCCAACAACCCAATAATCACTCATTGCTTTCACGATGATTTCTTCATCTTCATCCACCCTGTAAGACAAGAGTTGCAAAACGCCATCACTTCTCACTCAGAGTGAGGGGCACACGACATGCAGTCTGCAACGAGGAACCGGACCTGTGCAGAGCGTGGGAGTCAGGGGCTGGGGGGCCAGACATGTGGCTCTGGAGGAGGCAGGCGTAGGCCCCCAGCTTTGAAGGTGAGGGTCTATTAAGAAGGGGTGCCTGATGGGGAGGGGGTGCTACCTCGTGAAGTCGCTGTTGATGTCGCCCAGGATCTTCATGAGGTCGGGGTGAACAGAGGTGAGGCACACGCTGGGCGTCTTCCTCATGTGGATCGTGCTCTTCTCAGCCAGGTTCATGTGGTTGAAGTAGATGAACTTGAACTGTGGCTCCTTCTCAGACCTGCACACAGCGGGCGTCAAGATCGGTGACACGTGGAAAAGGGAAAGCTCCAAACTATCACCCCGACACCCCACGGCTGGTCCTTCCAATCACAGCTCAGCCAGAGGATCTCACTCACCAGCTGCGTGTCTGCTGTGAGATTATCTAAGGCGGTGACGTTTTTCAAAAGGTCAAGTGCACTTTTAAAAATCAAATGGATTTTCACCCTGGTGCTATTTTCTCAGCATAAGGATACCAGGGTTTTTCATCTGTATCTTAACACACACCATGCGTATGTACCAGCAAAGGCAGCTGAGGAACCACGTCTCACCCATATGGCCCTTGGTCCCTGGGCATCTGTGGGACAGGACACCCCCATGTCTGGGGCTGGGAAGTGAGCTGGTGTCTAGCCTGCTGGACTGAAGCTCTCTTCACAGAGCCTGCATCATCCTGCATGGGAATCCCTGAAACGCATCCAATGCTCAGCGCACTCACTGGCTGCTTATGGTCAGACAGGGCAGCAAGTGGTGGGCAGGCACCAGTGCTGGGCCGGCTCTGGCTCTTCCCAAGGTGCCACCTATCCTGCTCATGCAGGCGGCCCAGTCCCCTCTGGAGCACGCAGGGAGCCACCCGGGGATGCACTGTAGTAGAGCGGCCCTGTGGCTTTTCAGCGTTGGGAGTGCCGTGAGGACTAGGCACGACACCGTCCACCCGGTGACACGGGACACAGCCCAGATGCTCCCCGTGCCAGTGGGAACTCAGGACCAAGGCAGGGATTGGCTGTCCCATGCATACGCAAGGCACTGCTGCTGCCACACCCGGCACAGAGACAGTGTGGAGACCAGCCCGGCGCTGTCAGCACCAGAACACACCACCTGGTGCGTCCACACAGCATCAGTTCCCAGAAAACATGTCCATAGGAACCCAGCCAGGTGAGGTGGAAACCCCCTCAATCCTTCTCCACGAAGGGAAGTACGAACCCCGATATTCTTTTGTTGATGTTGAACTGCTCACAGATGTCTGATGCCAACACGGTCAGCTGTGGTCCCACAATGCTGTCCAATCTCCGGCAGAAATCCAGTGTGGGCTGGACAGAGGCTGCGGCAGGGAGAGAGGTCACTCAGGGCAGAGGCTGCTGAGCTGGGGGCTGTTCCAGGCTCAGTGCTCAGGGGCCGTGCGGGGCCAGGGATGGGATGCAGTCCAGGAACCCTGGGCTCCACCCGACCGTCTGAACAACAGTGGACAGGTTGAACCCTGACTGGCCAATGGCGGAGGCCTTCTTCCCGCCCAGATGAAAGGGAAAGGGATGCGGCAGGGTCAGATCCGACTCAGGGGAGAGAGTAACAGGCCAGTCCAGATGATACAACAAGGACGGTCTTGAGTGTGTGGGTGCAGGTTCCTGAGCACTGCACCAGGTGTGAGGCGTTACTAATTCCCCAATTCCCCAAACCCTCGTGACTGGGGGAGGAGGCAACAAATGAGGCATGGGGGCCGGGAATGGGGGCCGGGAGTGGGGTGCCTACCGTCGATCATGAAGCACACGGCTGCACTCATGGCCTGCATGGGCAAAGAAAGTCAAGATTACAGAGTGGCACGAGGAAGTCAGTCACGCTCACCACACGTAGTGATGGCAGCTGCAGCCAGATGGGAGCACCGTAATTGGAGTGCAGCGGGCTGCCCGGAGGAAGTGGGGCCTGAGTGAGAGTCGCCACTTGACGTGCAGAGTCATAGGGTTTAAAAGGAGCTGAAAGCAAACCCGTATTGGGACCAGCACACTGGGGGCCTGCTCGCAATCCCCGCCTCCACTCCA